ATCGTGTTCCCACTTTCTACGGGATTTTTGTTTTTCGATTTAATTTTTCTTTCTGTTTTAGACTGATTTTTTTTTTTTTTAAATCATGCATGTTTACTATAAAAAAACAAATAAAAAAGAGATATCGTGTAAAGTTCTATATATTAAATTCAATAACCGACCTCACAAAGAAAAGAAATACAAATGGCTGAATTGTTCCTTTTGTTTTTTGATTGATTTTGATAATCTTTTAAGACCAGTCAAATTTTGCAAAGTTGTTACAGCATGATTAGAATAGAGGTTTGGTGATTTGACAAAAAAGCACATCTCTACTATATACTAACTCACAACCGACATAATAGATATTACATTTTTGCAAGCATCTTTTGTCTTATACTATAACTTTTTGATTAATTAGTAGTGTTTTGTTATCATACGTGAGACAGCAAAAAGTTTGCTGCGGTTAATAAACATTTTTACATAAGAGTTTTCTAATTGTGTTTTGATTTGCTTTGTGCTTCCATGACATATGACTTAAAAACACAAAGTTCTGATCATTTCTTCTTTAAATCAGTATTGCTTCCCGTTACCTAACTTACAAGACCGTCGTACTATATTAAAAATATTACATGTAACTGGCGCATGCAATGTAAAAGATTTTCAATGTCACACAATTATCTTCTTAAAATAATTTGTTTGATATGTATATTTACATTTAATAGAAAATTGGATAGTATCTCCAAAAAGTTGAAGATGGTCGTAACTTCACAGTAAACACGTCAAACCGAGTCGTGCTTGTCTTCTAGTATATTTAAGGAAACCGAAAGTTGAATTATATTTTGTGATTTAGCAGAGTTTGTCAAAGTTGGCGAAAGGTGGAGATGAAATCGACCAAAAAAAGTTTTTGTCAAATTAATGTGTGCTGGAGGCAACCCATTCCTAAGTCTTTCTCAATTCTCACCAACTCCTTCCTGTTGTGTTACCAAACAGCTCAATGTCCTTTTTCTTTCAACCATGTACCAACAAAAATATTTAGGTCTTAGGACAATGAGTCTCAACAAATCAAATTAGAGTTACAGCTGCAAGGTGGATATTTTAGTGGTCAAAACTACACTTAAATAAAAAATTGATTCAAAGGTCTTGGCAAATACCAAAAAAATAATGTAACCTTTGTGGAAGAAATGAATAAGGCCTCGAGCATTGAATGTTGGCAAAAAAATTCTCAGGGTGATTGAATTATATATGGACCAAGCCAATCATGTGAATCATTGAAAGAAACTTTTAGGTAGGTGAGTTTTAGTCTCGACCGTAATGGAAATTAAGATCACTTCTTTGGATGTTTGTACCCCATCAATTTTTTATAGTCATCAACGTGGTTCTAGCTGTTGTTTGAACAAATAGTATTTGCATAATTGCATCTTTCGAGAATTAAAATTATTTTCTTGCCTCGCTATGTTGTATATTGTTCTTAGAGATTAAGTAATGGTAGTTAAGTTCGATTTCACAATGTAATGCATATCATACATACCATCAGAGCTGGTTTTGAACCCAACTTATAAAACTTGGGATTGGCTACAAATCTATTATAAAAACTTCATTAGTCACATAAAAGTATTCTGTACATGCTCCAACATTTCTCACACTACCTTTTGGTAAGGAAATTTCAAACATGGTCATGGTGTCGGAAAACACTAAAAATGACGTACTGGAGAATAGTATGTATTGTTTTCAGTTTATTTAGTGGTTGTCCTGAATTAGTATTTTCTGGAATATTTTTAAAAAGTCAACAAAATTTTAGTAATAATATTCAAAAGATCAATGAAACTATTCGTCGAAAAACCAACACCAAGGAAAATATAATAACGAAGTAAAGTCAATTTGGAATAAATAGGTTATTTGTATTCTAATGTATTTTTTCCGTGGCAAGGCCAGACCACTGCGTATGGGGGACCAGCTCTTTTAACCATATTATCGTGTTTGTAGCATTATGGTCTATTGAGATTTTAGGAAACCATCCAACATTTAGTTATGAGTGTGAAAGTGATTGAAGCAAATCAATATGAAGTTACGAGTCTATGTGAGCTACTTTGTCCCAACCTCATTTTGATGATCTTTATGAGTGTTCTGCAGTGCTAGGCAGGGGCCCACCGTGAGTTAAGGTTGAGCAAGTGCATGCTTTCAGCCTCAAATTGATTTTTATCTATGGCTAATTGGCTATATTGGCCTTGATCGCTGGAACCAGGCAGCATCTCCCTACTCCGAGTTGCATTGCTACATTAATCTCATCTAATCACTTGGTTCATGTTCATACACCTCTAATGTTACTCATCCATTCTAATTTCATCATGGTACCTCAAGCAGGGGCCGAATGCAAATCAACATCCCATCATAGTAGTGTGGGATATAGAAAACTGCAGTATACCAACCAACGACCTCTGATCCCGCTGTTGTGATGTATTTAGTCAAGAAATGGATCAACTCCTTAGGATTGACCGGTCCATTAAATTTCATAGCTTCTATGGTAAAAAGGCTAGACAATGTCCAGTGCAAAAATATCAAAGCTGGGCTTCCCCGTGGATGTTTTGGAAGTGGGAGTTAAAAATGTCATCGACGACTATCTTAATGATAAATTGTCTAAGTTGCCTTATCCCACCAACATTGTTATGCTTAGTGGTGATCATGGTTATGTTAAAGATCTGATTACTATGAAGGATAAATGACACTTAATCATCCAGTCATACGAGGATAATAATGTTGCTAATACGATGAAAAAGGTTGGCTCAGCGTTCTCATACTGGCATAAAGTTTTAGCTAGTAAGTTTGAAAATGTATTTTATTTAGTACAAAATATGTAAATATTTTAAAGGACCTGTTTGTTGTTGTTTGTGCAGGAGCGGCCACCAAGATATGCATAAGAGGACTTCTTAGTGATGTTAGGATCTCAGAAGTGCGAGGTATTTTTCGCAAACCGACTCAAATCCACCAACCCCCCTAAGTTGAGTTGTTACTTGCACAGAACATGTCCTATGTAACCTTCCTCTTAGCTCAATTGACGATCAAGTTGTATCAAAAGCATGTAAGAAATTCATTTTCATCATATTAAGTAGTTGTATAGGTTGGTTGTTTCGGAGTTTCACTGAATTTCTGATTGTTTCAGGAACTTAGAAAAAAACATGTTCCTTCACCTTGAAGTTGTTCGTCCAAAACTTAAAAAAGAAATCAAAGAAAAAAGCATCCTCCTCCTACGCCAAAAACAGAGACGAAAGAAGAGACAAAAAAAGAAAACAAGAAACCCTCGCCTGCCAAAATAAAAGAAGTGAGGAGAAATTGAATAAGAAAGTTGTGAATCAAGAGAAGAAGACTGCATATCAAAAGAAGAAGACAAAACCAAAGAAGTAGAAGGGCTGCGAATCAAAAGAAGAAGACATCCCACCGTATTGGTGTGAGATATAGAAAACTCCAGCATACCAACGACCTCTGATCCCGACAAGATGATCTAAAGAATTGTAACGTATCATCTTGATACTAAAACAGCTTTAAATCTGTTTCGTGGTTCACTTTGTTGTTTCTTTTCTTTAGATCATCTTGATACTCAACTTAATTTATACTCAACTAGAAAAACTCAAAAAGAATAATCGAATTGTTACATGATCACTGGAGACGATTAAGTGAAGAATGTGATGATGAGTAAGAAAGTTAATGATCTACCTCAAACGTTGCCTACAAAAACCAAGTTTTTTCCCATATATTTTAAGTGCGAATCAGAAAACAATTTGAACGCAACTCGCCGTATAATTCTCTTCTATGCCAGACTCTAATTGTGTAGAGTTACACATTTTGGTAGCTAACTATTGAAAACAATAGACGACAATAGATGCATAACCTAGTTGGTATATTCCAGTTACTTGTAGGAAACATTATCTGAGAAAAAGACCTTATTCTGTCTAAGTCAACTGTTTTCATTTCAGAATTTGTTAGGAGACACAGTAAGGGTTTTAGATATTTAATTATAGCAGCATGATGTACAAAGTGATTGGTGTTTGTTTCTACCTAAAAGCCTAATGCTCGTACTGGTATCGACAAACCATCTTAGATATCTGATGTTAATAAGAACACGATCATGACCAAAAAAACAACTATTTTCAAAGGTTTTTTTAAATCAGTTTCAGTATTGTGATGGCTAGAGCAAGAGTGCATTGACATACCAAAATCAGAAGGGCGTAAACACGTCTATTAATGACATAATAGTAGCTAAACTACAAAGGCTGTCTCCAATAATCGAAAGCACCATCAGATGCGTTGTATGACTCTCTATCATTGCTTTGCTTTCCCTTTCACGTTTTCTGTACTCAAGTGAACACAAAAATAATTGTTCCCTTTTCAAGATTCTAGCCTCTATGTATCATTTGTTATGTCTCTAGTTCCAAGATTATATATATAGCTGCATAATTTCTGCAACATAACTCTCTCTGGCTGTCGAAATAAACAACGAGCTTAACACTAAATAATCTGCTGTAAGGATCTCCTACAGATTTTAAATTGTTAGACAAGTGTTTAAGGTTAAGGCCACGATTCTTTCTTCTATTCCGTAAATAGCGATTCCGAAAACATTTGTGATATGTACATTCAGCAAAATCACAGAATCATTCAGGTTATTCCAAGCCAAAAATCTCCTCCAAAATCCATTCCCCGATTAATCTACACCTCTGTTCAGTGAAAGACAAAACAGAACTACAAAAGATGTCTGAACATTACAAAAGACGATTTCAACTATCAATCTCACTTCATCACTATACCACACCTATAAACCTTTTGTCTCATCAATTTACTCGCATAGATTAAAATTTTCGGGAAAGAATATAATCATAGTACACTGACAAAACAAACAAAATAATCTTACAAAAGGAACAAACGAAACAAGAGGGTTTTTTTTTTTTTTTTTTTTTTTCTTTTTTCTTTTCTTTTCTTCTCCTTCTTCATGTTTTGTTTACCTGAGCTGAGAGGGAGATAATTCTAGTTTATCACGCTAGCCAATTTCGTCTCCTAGAGGAAGACGACGGCGCATTGAACATAGAAAACGACGACCTGCTCCTACGGGTAATCCGTGATCTCGACCCGGACGCTGATGATGTTGCTGCAGCTATGGATCCAGATGACCCGCTGAAACATCCAAAGAGTCTCATGATCCGACCCGCAAACCCACCCGCTCTCTCTCTACTACCTCCTTCTCTTCCTCCTCTTCTCGAGCCCCACGCTACTCTTCTCGGAAGTCTCTCGTCGCCGATTCGACCTCCGTCTACCTCCGTGTACACCACCGGCATCATTCTGTCTCCTCCTCTCCATCCTCCGGGGATTCTCCCCACGGCGAATCCTCCTCCTGGTAACCTCCAAATCGTTAGTCCTGCTGCAGAGTCTTCCTCTTCCTCTTGCGTTACTGCGGCAGTAGCAGTCGCAGCTCCACCACCACCACCACTTGCGTCGGTGGAATCCTCCGCCGGTAGCTCATGACGGCAGACTGGGCAGGAGTTTCTAATCGCAAGCCAAGGAAGGATGCAATCGGGATGGTAAATGTGGTTACACGGCATCTCACGAGCGGCGGATTTCAGGATGAAGTTCTCTTTACAGACGGCGCAGTGAGATTGAGAATCCGATAGGAGATGAGTCGGATCGATTTCGATCACAGGCAAAGCCTCGATCGCCGATTTAGAAGCCGGAGGATGCTCACACGAACGATTGTTCCGATTCGTGTTGAGCTCGATCTGAGAGATCTGATCCAACAACCGATCGAATCCAGAACCCAACAGAAACTCCGTCATACTCGGCGGCAAAGGCCTGAGACCCGAATCGGTACCGTCATCGTAATACATCTGAAAAGCAGATCGATCTAAACCTTCGGAAACATCAGAAGGACCAGATCCACGGAGAACAATCACGGGATTAGGAGAACGATTGCTCCGCGTTCTGGTGACGGCGGGAGACGGACTGTTCTCCGCCGTGGAGGCGTGCATAGAAGATGTGGAGGAAGAAGACAGAGGGAACCTGGTTGGGCTGCGGTGTTGACTGGTTACACGGTGGAAAGAGTCGGAAGGTGTGAAATCAACAGTCTCCTGGATGTGTTCGAGGAAGCCGCCGTCGCAATCAGGGCAGGAGATGGAATCGGAGACCCAGACGAATCGGCTACAACTATAACACCAGTAGGATCCAGAAGCCATGGGAATAGGGATCTGAGAGAAGGGAAATCAAATCAACAACATCTGAGGGTTTTGATTTTTGATTTTGACTATTTGAGTATAGAGAATCGAATCGGGAGGATAAACGGAGAAGAAGAAGGGAGAGAAGATGAAGGGGGAGAAAAGAGCGGTTCTGGTTTTGTCTTTAACAAGAAGAATACAGAATTGGCGTGCACCCAACCGTCCAATTCGTGTGCTGTCACGTTCTCCTTCTCATGCCTCCTCTCGCTCTCTCTTTTTTTTTTTTTTTTCTGCTTTCTTCTTTTATTGTTGCTACTAAACCGTTTCTATAGTTTTAAATTTGTTCTTATCATCGCATTAACCTTTTCTTTTTGAAACTGTTACTTCATACTACTTTCTTTTTTTGTTAAAGTAACTAATTAATATTTGACCAAAAACAAAAGTAACTAATTGAACAGGGGCAAAGTTAACAATTTTTAAAAGTCAAAAAAGAAAAAAACGTAACCTTTTACAGTAACAGTTATGGGGGTAAAATAATATTTAACCACTTTAGTATTTTATTGATAGCAATAAATCAGAAACATTAAATTATAGAAGTTAAGAGATTTGGGGTTGATTTATTATAATATATGACAGAAAACAAAAAAAAAAAAGAGAATCATAGGTTAGTAGAGAATTAAAAGTGTTAGGATATGAAATTAAATGATGTTTAGTGTTTTAACGGTAAAGTTAAAGTGGAAAGCATTTTTTCATCTCTTTTTCTTTCCACTATACCAGTTAGAGTAAGAAGCCCATTAAACCAAAAGATAGAAGCCCATTAAACCCAAAGATATAGAAGCCCATGATACAAAGAAGAGCCCATAAAAATCTTCTGGTTCCGCCACACAAGTCTGAATCCCACAGCTTCTTCCACGTTCCGCTCTTTCAGTTTTGGAGCGGATTTGATCATCATTTGCAGGTTCGTCTGCTTGATCCTTTACAGCGTCTTCTTCCTCGTTGCAGTTTCTGTTCCTGCTTCTCTGTTCCACACTGCTTGTCTAAATTGCTATTTGTAACCTGGAGAATGTTCTATTTTGGGAAATGAAAAATATCCAAATTCTGCGAATATCTGTGGAATGAAACAGCCCAGATCTCGTTGAGCTAGAAATCGAAATACATACTTACATATTTAGATTCTGTTTTTTTCTTTTTCTTTCTGAAGATTTCTTCTTTGCGTGTGAGTGTTTGATCCTTATTGCTCACAATCCAGTTGAATATGTAATGTTTGTCCTGTGTTTTCTTTCTATCTGCTCTTTTGCTTACCCACCGAGAATATGTCATCCTTATTACCTCTCAAATCTATGGATCATCATCATATACGCTTGCAAATGAACTTTTTATTAATGGATTGCTATATACAGACAATATATTCGAATCGTTCTCTTTCACTATAGTTGCATTACAACTATCGTAATTGCTAACAATATAAGCGTTTTAATCACAATCTGAGGTCAACATGTCCGTTTGCTTTACAACTTTTCTTCCGAACCCGTTGCTCTTGTCGATTTCCTGCTTCATATCTGATTGATAGCTCTAGCTTACTGTGCTTAATCTGCAGTCTATGATTGTTGATTTTTGCAAAAAGAACCTTTCTTTGTATTTGTTATCTTGTCGAATTTTCATCACCTTGCTTTGTTAACTTGGTCCTTTGTCCTGTGCTTGAAAACGCAGTCCATGACAATAACATTAAAATGGCTTTGTTTTGTGTTTGGTCTTTGTTAAAGATTTAAAAAATGGGAGCTTCGAAACTTTCCGGGATGCAAAAGCAAGTCTTGAGTCTCTACAGAGGGTTTCTAAGAGCAGCTCGTTCAAAGACAACAGAGGAAGACAGGAAGAGAATAGAGATGATCGTTTCAAAAGAATTCCGCAAGAACTCAAAGGAGGTTGATCGTAAGAATTTTCAGTACATCGAGTATTTGCTTCGGTTGGGTACGAAACAACTTGATCAACTCAAAAGCCCTGATATGGTCAGCATCTCCTCTATGAAGGTCGTTACATCTTAAAAACCTCATCATTTATCTAGTCTCAGCCTTTAGCTTATTGCTCAAGTGGGTCATACTGTTATGTAGAGTCCATAGATAACAAAGTGAGGAAATTGATTCCTTTCCCTCAGTTTTTAACATTGGTTTATGTTTGTATGATGATACGTAAACTGCAATAGCTGTTCAAAAGCCTTATAAATAAAAAATATATGTGTTTTACAATTGGAATGTGTTCATCTGCTAATACTAATCAAGTTGAGAGTTTTGAGATTGCAAATATTCATCTTGAGAAGAAATCCAGCCAATAGTGTAGTGGTTGACACATGTTTGTCAAATGCTCTTGCTTTACTTGTGAATGTATATACAGTTTCTGGTTATAGCTCCTCATTTTTCACATCTAAGTGTGCCAACCATGCAATAGAAATGTATTATGATAAGGCAAGTTTAAAATATGAATCATAAAAAAAAAGAGAGGACAAGAACCAATTCACAATTACACAAAGGGAGGGAAAAAAAAAAAAACCAAAAAGACACAATAATAGAAAAACAGCAGATTATTAATCATAGGTAGGAGGAGAATGCTCAAAAGTTGTAGACACAAGTTCCATCGTCACTTCTAGCCGTTGGATCAAAGTTTTTGGCCGCAGGATCAGTACACCCTTCAGGAACAGGCAGATTCACTTGCTGTGCACTTTTACCTGCAAGGAGAAGAGTTTTACACTAAGATTTCAGAAACCTTTGATTATCCATTTTTCATCTTCTTTCTCTCATATCCCATTGATTCAAACCCGTTGGCTAACCAAACGATAAAAGCTAAAAAAAACAAAAGAGCTCAAACCTCGGGTTCTAACCGTAGAAAGTTCCGCGGTCGATGGCGTCCGCGTTTGCGTCTCCCAACGCAGCCTCGTTAAGGTATTGGTCAGCAAGCTGGACTCTCTTGACGTTCTCTTGCTCCATCACAAGCATGTTTCCGTACTCCATAAGCTTCTCAAGAGTCATCTCGGGTTGCTCGAACACCGGAGGTCCTTCCCTCGAGTTCACCAGCCTCTTTCCGATCTTCTCAACTCCAAGTCCCTCAACGAACTTCCTCACTTCATCGTCGTACACTCTCGCCCTCAAGGCACCGAAGAAATCTGTCCACACCAAAGTGTAAAAATCAGAATCTGCACGAGACTGTATATACAAAAGAGAGAGTACTCATGATCTTTATAGTTACGTACCGATGGATTGGCCAGGGAACTGATCAACAAGCGTGACAATGTCTTCATCGTTGATCTTGTCGGTCCTGAAGATACCTTTGCAGACACCGATACGGTCCTCACGGGTCGGGGCCCAGTAGAACTTCTCCATACGTCCGTCACGGATGAGAGGAGCGTAGAGAGTGGAGAAATCGTTACCGGTGACGATGATGGGGACACGTGCGTTGTCTTCCTTGTTGTACATCCCTGGGAGCTGGACGTTGGTCGGGTTATCAGCAATGTTCATGAGCGTTGCGTTGACCATCTGGTTGTTGACAGTGTACTGAGTCGTACCGCCCATACGACCCGCACCAGCGTCAAGATCGTTGATGAAGAGACAACACATCTTTCCTTTCTTGATCATGTCGGCTGCCTCACGGTACCTTTGACGGATCAGCTTCGCTGGTTCTCCTGCGTTCCCACTCTCGAGCTCTCCAGCACTCATCATGATTGGGCTGCAAAAAGATTTAAACTTTGTTACATTTTTGTTGATTCAGATTCAAACCTGTTATAGATTGAAGATCGGAGATGGGACTCACTTGATGCCCATCTTGGCCATGACAAGCTCACACTGGAAGGATTTACCTTGACCTTTGCCTCCCCAAATACCCAAAATAAGTGGAACCTATAGAGTACAAAACAGAGCATTTCAAGATTACATAAAGTTGGAAGCTTTGATGTGTTGTTAACTAATGAAAAAGTCTGTGATTAGTAACCTTGATGTTAGGCAAGGTCAAGAAGTTCTTGGTGATGTGAACAACAAGCTTGTCCATGAAAGCAGGAGCAATGTAAAACCCATCCATCATGTTGTCCAAGTTGTACCTATTTGTCAACAAGAAAGTCTATTTAAAACCAGAGATTCTAAGTCTATGGAACTGATGAGAGATCTAGAGAGAGAGAGAGATGAGAGAAACTTACTGCCTAAGGCCTTGGCTGATGTACTCATAGGAGCTGAGGACAGCATGGTGAGTTCCGGTTCCCATAGGAGCTTGGAAGACAGAGTCGACCATACCTTTGCCTCTGGTGATGTCTTGTTGATCATCAGATGTGTCGTAGGCAAGTCCCTTCCATCTGTCTCCATCGGTTTGTTTCTCTTCTTTCACAGCAACCACCTTGAATGATCCGTTGCTCTTCTTGTTGCTCTGTGCGAATCTCGACACTGTTACGACTTTCTTTCCCAAGAAGGTTGTAGCTGGGACTGAAGCAGCTCCTGCTCCTGACCCGTTTAAGCTCAACTGCAAAGAGAGGCCAAACTCAATTTTTGAATTCAAATTTGGTTCATACAGTTCACGAGCTGGTCTGGTCTATAAACTATCATAACTCCCAAGGATATAAAGTTTTCAATCAAGATAAAACTGAAATCATTCTAACCGAATCATGTATCACACTCTAATTTGGTTCACATAGTTCAAGATTAGACTATCCCTGTAGATTATGACAGTTTTCAAAATTTGGATAAACTAAATTTATTTGAAGTGAAGCAAACCAAAACTAATACTTATTTCAAATATTTGAAGTTGTTTGACTTTCTTGCATACTACGTATATTCATTTCAAATAAACCACTGTACACTCTTTAAACTATGAAGGTCGAATACCAGAAACCGGTTTGGACAATTGTAGTTCCCAAGAAGATAAGAAAAGGAAGCATCAAAGTATATCTAGTTAAAGTCTAGATTCTAACAACATCTCAAAGTGATGTAAGAGTAAGACAGAATCTTAAAGTGATGCAAAAAGATCAAAATCTTGTGATGGAAAGTAACGGTAAACCACTAATGAAATGATGAAAAGTGAAAGGGAGATTGAAGAAGTACCGGAGCTCTGTTGATGGCACCGACGGTGGAAACTGCGGCGGCCATTTCTCACGACTGCGACGAGTGTGTGTGTATCACACAAGAAGCTGAAGAGAGATTTTGATCGGAGAAGAAGAAGTATTGAGAGATGTTGGTGTGGGCAAGAATTTGAGAGACTTATAAAGCCAGTGATCAACAACAATTCGTTATCTCTTCTTAACTCTCTGATCGCCACACGATCCGGATTGGCCAAGTCGCCACGTGGCGCCACGAGGAAGATGATGAGGAAATTTCTGTTTTGATTGGTCCACGTGGAATGGGTTTATGAGGTTGTCTACAAATGGCTGATCTGTGCCACTGGATTTGTTTTTTTTTGGGGTCTTAGCTTCGAGTGAAGATTATAACGTTATTTATTACCACATATGCTTTTGAAAATCATTTGTGTTGCTTTTTTTTTCTTTCTTTTCTTTCTGAGGATGAGGTAACCATTCATATGTGATCAAGAAACTTCTACATAACTCTTCATACAATAAAATTCCAAATAATAGATAATGACATTACTTAGTGATAATGTTGTTCTAAATAATCGGTGTAAACTGATTGGCCGAGAGCAATTCTCTACATACCATAAATTATTGCATATATATATATAATTAACAAACTAGCCATAGTTATACAGGCCACTTTTCAGTGAACTAAATAGATTTCAACTGATGCTTTTATTCTAGATTAGTTGTTAAATGTATTGTTATTGATTATTCGATTCATTCGATGGAGAATCTTTTTGAGTTACAGAAAAAAGTTATACTGATATATATTTTGTTCTTGTTGTTGAAAGAATTTGCTTGCGATATGTTTATGTAGTTGTTGTTGTGCATCCTACTAATAAAACATTTTATATGCAAGACAAGTGAACAAACATTAAGGAATGAAATTGAATTGAGTTTTTGGAATATATATACAAGATACAATGTTGATTGCTGAATAAACAAAACGATTGCTAATCTATGTGGACCTACTTTTTCTAAGTGTAAGAATAAAAATCTGGTTGTTTTGATGAGTTCATAAGCTACAATTTTGTTAGTTAAAATGAGAATTGAGAAACCACATTTTATCCTTTTCAAGATTTGAACTTGGCGCAATCACTCTAGAATAGACACCTTAACTACTACACCATCCAACACTTTCAAGACTTTTAAATCTAAACAGAATATATAAATTTAAAATTATAACATAGTCCTAAAATAAATATTATGTTAGTCCATTATTGATTCCAAATAATTCATTAGGCGCTAGATCATATTTTGAACATTAACTTTACATAATGTTCCTTTACGATACATTGCATAAGTTATCTAATGCTGAGGCAAGTAATGAAGCATATAAATAATGTTATAATCTTCACATATTTGTTTCTAAGACTAAGTTCAATAATCAAGATTTTGCCATGCTTATTACAATGTACATATTCTTGCAACCTAGAATGTAATCATTGAGTTTTATGTATTGAAGCTTATATTTGGGTAAGATTACATTGTCTTGTTGATGTATAGGCTCTCATATATTTTCTTAAGTATTGTTGTTCAACTGAATAAGTTATAAATCGTTGATACAAAAAGTATATCTTTCCTTAGATTAGTAGTATTGATGAGATGTGTTTTGTGACCCTAGTGATGTGGATTTGCCAATCTTTATGAGTTTTTATTTTGCTTACTTTACACTTTGATTTTGTTCATTTTTTATAATTTCACACTACAAATGATAATTTTCAAAATTCCCCTGTAATATTATATTCCTTCTGATGTTGTCATTTTCCCCTTATTGGATCATTTAATCACTTTATTGAACAGAAAATGGTTACAGTAAAGACGAAATTTAAAAGAAAACATAAATACGAACATCTTTGGTCGCGTTTACAAACAAATACTAAACCTTCCGTAGGAGGAGACTTTTCATTGTCTCAAACTCAGTGTATTTTGCTGCGAGCTCATAAAATTTATAAGAGAGAAATCTCAGTACGGATTTGCTGATTTGGGGAGAGAGTGGTAGAAAAGCCCTAGATCGGAATTCGATTCTGGGTTCTAAAGAATAAAAGTTTCTGCAACTTCTTCCAGGAATTTCGCCGCGCGGAAGAGAGAATCGCGTAAGTTTGTTTGGTTTTTTTTTTTTAAAACACTGATTAGGGTTTATTCTTAAACAGTTCTGCTTCGTATCATATTTTTTATCTGATTTAAGTCCAGTGGATGCGAAAACCCGATGCTCATGTTATACTGATTCTTTTTATATTCGGAGTGTTGGAAACGTTTTGACTAGAGTATTCACACTTCTGATGATATCGAAATGTGGGCTATTGGGTATCGAGAGTAAAATCTTTAGAGAATTTAAGAATTTTGCTTTTTGGTTTTACTGACAAAAGGTTGTTCCTTTGGAGTACTAAGTGATCAAGGTATAAAAAAATGGAGTCTTGACGTTTGTTTTATAGAAATTTGGTTAAGCGCAGTGCCTTTTTCTCAAGGGTTTCCTTTGATCGGAGCTTTTTCTTTGAGATAACTTGTGAATGTGTGTTTTGATATATAATGGAGTCTTGACGTTTGTTCTATAGAACTTTGATTAAAGCCAGAGGTTTCTTTGTTTTTTTTTTTAATATCTCAAGAGCTTACTTTGGTTGGAACTTGTGTAGTCTTTGTGTTATTGTTGCCTAACGTTTTCTTGGAGATAACTTGGGAATGTGTGTTCTTGTAGACGATGAATAGAAACCCTATCTTGGATCCTACCCTTCAAGAAATTCTTCAAGTGATTAAACCCACACGAGCAGATTGGGACACGAGGATCGGCGTCATTGATCAGCTGCGTAGTGTCTTACAATCCGTAGAAAGCTTAAGAGGTGATGACCCTTGCCCTTTTCTGCTTCTTACTGTATAGTGTTGCCCTGAACCATATGTGGGCCTTTTGGGTCTTGTTTGCTTATATACCATTTTCTGGTTTGGGGATTGATAGGTGCCACTGTTCAACCATTTGGATCCTTTGTGTCAAATCTCTTCACAAGATGGGGAGACTTAGATATCTCTGTTGACTTATTCAGCGGTTCGTCCATCTTGTTCACTGGAAAGAAGCAGAAGCAGACTTTACTTGGACAGTTGCTTCGAGCACTGAGATCGTCAGGTGAGTCAAGTATAGCTACTAGTTTCTGCAAATTATCCCCATGGAGATTCTGTCTGATCTCCATTATCATGCGAATAACCAGGTGCATGGTACAGACTGCAATTCGTTGTTCATGCGCGAGTTCCCATTCTGAAAATCGTGAGCTGGCACGAGAGAATTTCTTGTGACATTTCGATTGATAACCTGGAAGGACTCTTGAAGAGCAGGTTCTTGTTCTGGATCAGTGAGATTGATGGGAGATTCCGCGACTTGGTTTTGCTAGTAGGTTAAACATTGCTAATATAAAACCAGACTGTGCGTTTCCAAAAGGTTTTAATTGTTTCAAGACAAGTGTATTTCCTCTATAGGTGAAAGAATGGGCCAAAGCTCATGATATCAACAACCCAAAGAACGGGACTTTCAACTCTTACACTCTCAGTCTCTTAGTCATCTTCCATCTTCAGGTAAGATTTTGCTGTTCTATGTTCATTGATTTATGCTACGTCATTGTAAGACATGGTGCCTTTAACATGGTTTGTGTTGTTTGTTTCAGACATGCGTGCCTGCAATATTGCCGCCTCTAGGAGAGATATATCCAAGGAGTGCGGTTGATGATCTGAAAGGTACGTTCTGTGAAAATGTTTTCAAGACAAACCACATTACACTTTAACAGTAGGTTTTGGGATTAAAAGTAGCAGGCATGGTCTCTTGTAGGTGTGCGGAAAACTGCAGAAGATAGCATAGCTCAGCTTTCTGCTGCTAATATAGCGAGATTCAAATCAGGCACATCAAGATCAGTCAATCGAAGCTCGCTCTCTGAGCTTTTGGTCTCGTTTTTCGCAAAGGTGAATGATTTCTCACACAAGATCTTAGCTTTTAGACTTTTTGCTTTTCTTAGTGTATCTCTCTTGATAGAGATTTTCTCTGTGGCTGTAATTATCAGTTTTCAGACATAAACGTAAAGGCCGGAGAACTGGGTGTTTGCCCGTTTACTGGAAGATGGGAAAACATAAGCAGCAACACTAGGTGGCTGCCAAAGACTTACTCACTCTTTGTAAGTCTCTTTCTCTGTCTCTCTTTCTCTTACCCTCTTGTTGAGTTTATATCCCATCTTATGGCTGAGATACACACATGTGTTTTAGGTTGAAGATCCTTTTGAGCAACCAGAGAACGCAGCAAGGAGTGTGAGCCGTAAGAACTTGGACAGAATAGCGCAAGTGTTTGAGATGACATCGCGCCGTCTTGCCTCCTCAGATTGTAACAGAAACTCCATAGTTGTGGTTCTAACAGCGCCACTCATTTCACAGTCTTTGTGCAGAACAACGAGCCTCCCTAATCATCATCATGCAAACGGTGTGCATGGTCAGTCTAGGCCATGGAACAACCAAATGCAGCAGAATTGGTCACAGAGCAACAACATCATCCAGAATCCGCCGTATTGGCCAGCACCGAGACGCCCCCGACCGCAGCAGAACTGGTCTCAGAACAACCCCAGGAATACGCAGGGACAAACACCTGTACAAGGCCAAGCTCAGACGCAGAAGAAGAGCCATTATCAGAGACCAATTAAAAACACATCTGCAGGTTCAAGTCAGAATCATCAGGGTCACATTCCACCAGGTCAAATTAATGGTGTGAACTTTGCAAGGCCTGCACCAATAAGTCAAAGTCAACGCGGGCAGATGTGGAGGCCAAGACCCTGAGCAGTAGAATGAGTTTGTGCAGACCTAGAGATATTATTTTATCCCCATTAATTTTGGACGATAACATTGTATTCTTCTGACTATTGGAGAAAGTTGTGCTATTTTTCTTTGGATCCTTTTGTTACAATACAATCAACTGATTTGCAATTGCAGAACTGTTGTTTACTAAAAGTCGGGGAAACTAGGTAAAGCTTTTAACCACAATCAAATTTACAGATACATAATGAAGAGAAAAAACAAACAAACAAACAAAAATGAAGAGATGTTACCAAACAATATACTCTGTGTGGACTAAGTGCAGTAATTTGTCTGGGGGGTATTAAGCTCGAAGGAGACGCTTCTCGCATGTTAGAATCCTGTAACTTGCGTGAGGACCCTCGGATGTGTCACGCAGAGACGTATGCCAACCCATAGCCTTTGTGATCTCTTGAATTTCTTCCATAACATCGATTGAATCCCTAATGTATGCTCGTCCTCCGGGTCTCAATATCCGGTCCATCTCTAACAATATGGTTGACATCTCACATCTGATACAGCCAAAGTAATCCATGAATGTTAACCATTTATTCAGCATTATAACTCATGTACAAAAGTAGAATGGTCATGAGTGAATCCCGTATTGTCATCATCAATTGTGGATGTGAGTTACAGATAAGGCTTACCTTTTTCTCTCGATTGAGAAGAGTCCCGAGGCATGTAAGAAGTCATATGTCCTCGGGTATGTATCAAATGGTTCACACCTGAGGTACAATGCACGATTTGTTAAACAGCCGGAGCCAGAACCTAAATCTTAGTTTAACTTAAGACAGCTAAACAGATGAAAATCCATGTTTTTATTTGATAGATTGTAAGGACAAAAGCAGTACCAATCGTGCATCACTCCTAATAGTCCGCGATCATAAATGACAGGCAGTGTGTTAGGCCCGCTTACAGGAACCACACTCAGAACCCAGCAATCGAGTTTATGATCATTTAGTGCAGCTGCAAATCTGCCAAAACGAAAGGAATCAAACCCAGAGATACAGTACTTAAGAAACTGAGGTATTATACCGTGATAGTACTAAACAGAAAGATATCATTTTCATACCCGCCAAAGCCTGCTCTCATGTCCAAGACGTTTCTTAGTTTCATCTTTCTCCATTTTAAGGCACGGACATAACCCCCAATTATTTCATTCCAGAATTTTGATTCTGCCTTGAATAGCTCTTTCCTAGCAATGTAGGAATCAAATTTTATCGTCTGCAGCCTATCAGGTGGAGTGTGGAGACGGGCGGGCCATGAAGTAACATTGCCTCCATATCCATTCTCAGGTATGCGACTGATACAAGGTTTCAGGTTTGTGTACCTTAAGCAAGAACAAAGCAATATGAGGCAAAGAAAATGTGATTTTTTGCACTTGTATCACAAACAAAGAAAGACAAAAAAAAATTTAAGCAGCTGTACCAAACATTATCGGGGTCATCAGACTCATCGCAAAGAGGAGGTTTGGTTCCAGCCTCACGACTCAGATAACAGTTGTTGTTGAGAGGCTTCTGCCAGACTGCAATGTATCCTTCCTTCTTTATCAGCTTCCAGCAAAGGCTATTAGTAAGATTCAGCATCTCTGGAAAGCAAAACGTGAGATTAAAAGAGTACACTATTTTTTGGCTGAATCAAAGTTAGCAAATGGAAACAAAAAGCGCTCCCTATATCACCCACGGAGACAAAATATGATTGGTTGAAAAAGGGTTATCATTTCAACTTTCCATGTTCCTGATTTCTCCAACAAATCAGGTTAAAAGGGTGTACCTGTCCACTGTTCTTCCAAAGCGGCTTCATGCTTATAAACAGGCTGTGCAGCCCAAGCAAAATATCCTCCAGCGCGCAGCATTCTATTGATCTCAAGGAGTAAAATTCCATCTTTATCACAAAGAATGAAACAGCAGAATGAGAATTTTCTCCACAGGGAGTTAAAACTAAATTAGGTGCGACCTTATAATTCTCTGCTGTATTACGTGAACAATCAAGCAAGCACAGCAAAGAGTCTTACCATCACGAGTCCAGTTGATTCTACATCTTGAACAATGAATAAGATCAAAAGCTTGGCTTGGATACAACAAACGCCTTGTAGCAAATGCCGCCGCCATAGCAGGCACACCACGCTCAAGAGCAAACTGAATTTGGTTCTCGTGGACATCTTTTGGTGCAACAGACATTGTCAAAACATCGCGTGTCAACAGATAAGCGCCAAAACTCGCCACACCACAACCAACATCCATAGCAACGCGAATACGCTTTCCAAATGTGATATCAGAAACCATCTGCAGACACAAAAGCCGGAGTTCAATTCAACATCAGATGAAAAAGATAATCAGACAGATAACGTGAAGCAAGACCCACTACTCTGAAAATGAGCAACCTTAGAGATCTGGTCCAAGTACTGATCAGCACCATGAATAAACTGTGTACCGCCACCCGGAAACTTGAACTTGCTCTTGTCTCGTGGGTCTCGTGAAATCCAGTTCTGACCACCTTTATCTTCAACAAGCCGAGTATGAGGAACATTGCTGAACCACACCTATCCGTAAACAAATCATCCTAAACTTTAGCATGTTATCTGAATTTTCCAACAAAAACTGCAGAAACTCTACTGAAGCTCTATTCACCCATAGCATCAAATCAAGTAAGAAACGAGCATTTGAAAAGAAAATTGGCAGTGTTCATAGAACAAATAGTTACATTGCAAACAAAGGACAGGAGTACCTCGTCACGGCTTTTAGGCCATGGAATCGGCTGACGGTAACCTTTAGGAGGTGGAACCAAGCAGTTCAAGCCTTTACCTTTCTCAGGGCAATGGCGCTCGAATTTTTCCCCTCGTTCTGTAGATTTGAGCTTCTTAATCGCATCGGTGTTATCCAAACAAGGTATATACTCTCTCATGCTCTCAGGACACATCCCAAACTTCTTAATTCTAACCCTAGGCTTGAAATCGCCGTCCCTTTTCGCTTCAACGATCTCCGTCTGGTTCCCCCAATCTTCAACGGAGTCGTTCTCAACCTCTCCCACCTCGAAATCGTCAGACATCACGCCGTTCGCATCTATTATCCCGAAGCTCCGAACCGGACCAGGTGGAGGTGGTGAAGGAGGAGGAGGAGGAGGAGAAGGAGGTGGAGGTGGAGGAGGATTAGCTTCCACTTTATCAACCTCCGTCTCCGTCACCGCCGGCGGAATCTGCTGTGTTGGGGAGGGGATTTCAATCTCGGTATGATTGGCAGGGATTATCGCCGATATATTGAAGGTCTTGTTACTGTTCGGAGAGATGGAGACCTCCGGGATCGAGGCGGAGGAGGAGGAGGAGAAGAAGACGAGCTGCTGGTAGCCATCGTCGGACCAGTGCTTGCCCAAGTAGAAGAAAGTGACGGTGACGAGAACTAAGGAGGAGATCTTAATCAGCGTGGGGCTTTTGAGCAGATCGCCATTGGCGAAGGGCTTCATCTTTGCTTGCGTGTGAAGGATCACAGATCTTTTGGATCTGCGCAACTGTTCGCAACTGTGGGTGTGTGTGTGATGTGTGACGACGACTAGTGAGTTCTATGGCACTCGGTAAAAATACTTTACCAACTTCAGATTTCCTTTTACATGTTGCAGAAACTTTTTTTAAATATTAAAAAGGTCTTTAATTAATTGGCAGTTACTTGCATTCATTAAATTATAGTAATTTTTATTTTATTTTAAAAAGAAGATTAGTTTAGAGATTGAGGAATCATGAATGGATGACAAACTACATTTGACATTTGTCGAAATAATGTCATTATCATTTGCATCATTTTGGGTACTATCTCTAAAACTCTTTTCTAAATTTTGATAAAATTTCTTCATCAATCTTTGAAACACTTTGATTATTTACACTATCAGATCTTCACAAAAAGTTTCACAACCTAAATTGTTATAGAATTCTACCAAAAATTTACTTCATTCAAATATTTTTACCATCTGATTTCACCACTTCTTTATTCAACTATTTTCACCATATTCACATATGATTCAAAACTTATCTCTCGTCGCAATCACAGAACATTAAATTTTACTAGTTTTTGCCTTTTTTTCTGCTCATGGTTTAAATTTCTGATAAACCATATTAAATGCAGAAAAATCATTACGGATTAATTTTGGGAGTTAAAATTGTAAATTGAGGAGTTAAGGTTTCATTTATTTTTCAAAATCGTTTTTGAATGAGTTTTCTACAAGATAAAATCAGGTTTAGAGTTTTTTTTAGTAACGTGTATATATTAATGTTAGCATGTTAAAATTGAATTTCCACATAGTCAGCAAAAAAATTGCGTCTTTTACTAACAACAAAACTGAACAGTTTCTTGTAGTTAACTTCCTTTTTTTACAATTTATAACTATTAGTAAAATAAAATAAAAAAAGCAGCGAGAACGATTTCCCCCAAATTGTCATCGTCTAGGTTATCAAATTCTGATTCCAGGTTTTGTTTACCATTTTCAAATTTATCATATATTCGGTTAAATTTCTCATTTAGCGACGGCGATCATGAGCACCGCCGGTGTGGATCAGCTGAATCCGGATTCCGTGTCGACAACGGTCATGGAGACGGTGAATGGATCGCACCAGTTTACGATCAAGGGTTACTCTCTTGCGAAAGGCATGAGCGCCGGGAAATACATACAGAGCGACATCTTCTCCGTCGGCGGATACGATTGGGCGATCTACTTCTACCCCGACGGGAAGAACCCAGAGGACAACTCCGCGTACGTATCTCTCTTCATCGCTCTAGCGAGTGATTCTAGTGACATTAGGGCTTTGTTCGAGCTGACGATGATGGATCAGAGCGGGAAAGGGGTTCACAAGGTGCACAGTCACTTTGATCGGACGCTCGAAGGTGGACCTTATACGCTCAAGTATAAAGGAAGCATGTGGTAAATTACTAAATTCTACTTCTTTTAGTGTTTTTCGTTAGTGATGGGATCTCGTGTCATATGGTTTTCGAATTCTGCAGTGTTGAATTCAGATTTCAGCTATGTTGTTTATCTTCTGCTTGAGTTGCATGCCCCGTGGAAATGAGCTATTATTAGTTTCCTTGAGAAATTTTCTGTTTGCTGAGCTTTAAGCTTTAGAATCATGATACCACTTCTTTTGCTGAATAGATTACATGTTTGAATTTGTCTGAGTGTGATTGCATAGACCCGTGTGTCATGTTTACTCTTTTGTGACATTTTGAAAGATGGTAAATGGTCTGTGAGGTTCTTTTGTGTGCATGCTGCTTTTGAAGTCTTGTAAATCCTTATTTGAACTCTTCTTCTTCTGCATCATTTCTTGAGTTCTTACTTATTTGCTTCGAACTACATTTTCTTACTCTGCCCCACCATCACGTATTTACGGTACAATGAGATTTTCCTTTTTTAGCATGACTTGTCATTACGAATTTCAGGGGTTACAAACGCTTTTTGAGACGAACAGCCTTGGAAACCTCTGACTACTTAAAGGATGATTGTCTTGTCGTCAACTGTACTGTTGGCGTTGTTAGAGCCCGTCTTGAGGGTCCGAAACAGTATGGCATTGTGCTACCCCCGTCGAATATGGGTCAGGGATTGAAAGACTTGTTAGATTCTGAAGTTGGCTGTGACATAACTTTCCAAGTCGGAGATGAAACGTACAAAGCTCACAAATTGATCCTCGCAGCACGCTCACCGGTTTTTAGAGCTCAATTTTATGGACCAATTGGGAATAACAATGTGGATCTAATAGTAGTAGAGGACATCGAGCCTTCTATCTTTAAGGTGATGTTTGTTCAATATTTTGCGAATAGCCAGTTGTTTATGCAACTTCAGTTTTGATGACTTGAGATCTTGAAATTTTTATAGGCTATGCTTAGCTTCATCTACACCGATGTACTTCCTGATGTGCATGAAATTACGGGGTCAGCTTCTGCTAATTCATTCACAAACATGATACAACATCTCTTGGCAGCTGCTGACCTCTATGACCTTGGAAGGTTAAAGATATTATGTGAAGTTTTTCTATGTGAAAAACTAAATGTTGATAATGTGGCAACAACACTAGCGCTGGCTGAGCAGCACCAATTCTTGCAGCTCAAAGCCTTCTGCCTAAAATTTGTTGCATCTCCAGAAAATTTGGGAGGTGAGTGTTGCATGTATGCTGATTAATGAAAGTTTCAGGTTTTATATATGCTATTTAGACTTTCTGTGCGTATGTATCATGTTTTCTTGCTTCGATTGCAACAGTAATTAAGGGTGCTGCCATGGAATTTTTGTCATTAACCTACAACTTGAGTTGTACTTCGATTTTGGTAAACAATAGCAGGAGTAACTGAGAGAACATATTTATGAGGCTTTATATAATGAAATCCCATATTTTTTAAGCTTCCAAATGAAATTTAAGCCTCTTGTTTTCCTCGTATGCATGATCAACTGCTTTTTGTGTGTTTTCTGTGATTCGGTTTATATAATGCATTTGGTGCTTGTCTCGTGGCCCATGTTTCAAGGATGATCCATCGATTGAATCATTAATGGAACTTTATGTGTACTATTAAATTATTATATGACCTATGGTTTATCTTGCTAGTATACTGAAATTTAAGTTTCTTGTTTTATGTTCAATTTCGATATAGGAGACTCGATGTTTGATTAGACGGGCTGAAGTTTATCATCCTCAATTAGGTGCGATAAATAGTTGTTTCTGGACTATTTCTTATAGACAATCTAGTTTAAAGTTAACAATGCCTAGCCGATGGGTAAAATATATTGCAGTCTTCAAATAAAGAGGTTCTTTAACGCATGTCCTGGTCTTAATGTGTTGAATTTCAGTAAATGCTGGTATCTGCTTCAAAGGCAGTACATACATTTCCTGAACTTAATTGAAACCACTGAATAATGGATATGATTTTTCCAATATGGTGGACTTTTGTTGAGTTTGAACAGAGTGATATTATTACTTCAAAGCTATTATCCCTGTAGAGAATCAAGGAAAAGCTAAAGAAGTAGTGATTGTGTTTGTGCAGCTGTAACGAAGTCTGAAGGGTTCAAGCACTTGAAAGAGAGCTGTCCCTCAATGTTGTCAGAGTTGCTGAACATGGTTGCAGCAGCGGATAAGAGCTTGACGAGTGGACAATCAAGAAAGAAGAGAAGTGCGAGCAGTGTGTTAGGCTGTGATACAAGCACTACACATGCGAGACACGTGAGGAGGAGGACATAGGATGTATCCAAATGCAATAAACTTTGCAAGTAAGCTTTCCACTGGTGCTACTAAAACTGATCTGGAAGCAAAGCAGACACCAACTCTGTTTTGCTAGACTTTTTATTTTAAACTGTTCGTAGTAATGTCAACAACAGTAGTGTAAAGCTTTAGGAAATAGAGACATCTCTTTACTTTTCAGTAAGTACCTTCAGTTTTAGACTTGGCTTTGTTTGTTAGTAAAAGCTATGGATTATCTGGAAAAAATCGTTTTATAAGAGTAAACCTCACACGGTGAATTCGTATTTGAACAAATTATACTTGTGTTTATATATATTCCTCACTGGTAACTTTTTCATTGAAGACTTGTCACTGAAGTAAACTCGAGACAAGAACCAAACTATTTACATTTCTCGACTAAGAACCGAGAATAAGACCCAAATGAAAACCCTAAAACTTCTACCTCACGTTCAATTCCTCATCAATCAAAACCCTAAAACCCCTTCATTTCTAATAACTCTTGAAGATCTCTACTCGAAAACTCATAATTCCATTAATCTGAATCCTCGAAAGCGGCCATGGAGATCCTCTTACTCACCTGTTTCCTCACTGAAAGCCTTTTGGTGTCGATAGCTAAGCAAACCTGTTGAGTCTTTTTGTGCTTAAACATCCAAATCGTGATGAAATCGCAAAACTCCTTGAGCTCATAATCTCTGACGAACTTCCTCCACCCCGTCGTCGAAGTCGAATCAGGCGACTTCTTGTCATCAGGAAACATCTTCATCTCATGAACCTTCCCGTCTGGTCCGTACACCGACACCTTAGCTCCTCTTTGCCCGCCAGGAATCTCTGATTCTCCAAGAAACTGCAGAAATTTCTTCCTCACTTGGGGTCTCGATAACGAAAGCCTGATCCGATCTCCGTCGCCGCGCACGTCGCTCGCCGTCAGCTGCTTTCGTATCGGTCTGCTGCATTGCTCGATCAAGCGGCGGTTGACGATCTTTCCCGGTGGTTTCAACGGAGTTTCCCATCGGCTCAGTGACGCCAAGGTCTGTTCGGAGTCGTCTTCGTCTTCGTCTTTCGATTCCTTTTCCCTCTTCTTGGTTCTCAGCTCGGGTTGATTCTCGGCTCGGGTTGTGTTGCTTAAATACTTGATGTGGCATAACGTGAGCGCAGCGATAACCATTTCGTCCTGCTCGTCTCTTTCTTTTTCTTCCTCTGGAGTTGATCTTCTTCTTGCTGTTGTCTCTCTGTTTCTAGGATCAGCATCTTTGACTTCCGAGGCCACGGTTTTGTTCAGGTCCGCTTCTTCTTCTTCCTGTTTGACATCATCATTCGGGTCTGTTGCGGCGCCTTTGTTCAGCTCTGCTCGATCGTCACCGTGTTCTTCGTCAAGTTCCGGTTCTTTGTTCAGGTCGATTTCCACCCTCTGGTGTGCTTCTTCGTCAATTTCCGGTTCTTTGTTCAGGTCGATTTCCACCCTCCGGTGTGCTTCTTCGTCAAGTTCCGGTTCCTTGTTCAGGTCGATTTCAACCCTCTGGTGTGCTTCTTCGTCAAGATTCGGCTCTTCGTTGAGGTCGATTTCTACCCTTTCGTGGGCTTCTTCGTCTTCTTGCGTTAAACTTCTTTTCCGCTTCTTTGGAATCGCCATGATCTCTGTTTTCTGCTTCTTTCTCAAGAAAGACGAGATGACTTGTTTCTTTTCTCTTTTTAGGCTCTCTCGAGTGAAGTGGAATGGATCAATAATTATTAAATCACTTCAAGTATATATAGACTTGCATTTTGACACGCACGTGCCACGAGCTGATTCAGTGATATCTAATTAACGAAATTCACCTCTATAACACCAACCGTTTATAATTTCATTTTACCGTCTATTTCATCATTTTAAGTACCTGTAGTTTATAGGTATAATTATCAACATAGTATTTCAATACACAAATGACAAAACTATCATTTTTCAAATGTAGTTATGTTATCACTACGTATAGGACATTTCTTTGTTATCGATCGTTTTAATCATCAATACTAAACCTAAATTAAATAACATGAACCAAACTCAAAACAAAAAAAATGATACATATATTTGACTAGATCAATATCATTTTAAGTTTAAGAGCAGATCATGTCATTTTGATTCGGGAACAGTTTATCTGCTCATTCATGTAAATTTTTTTTTGTTAACAATATCCAATCATACAGCTATTTAAAATTAAGTTTGTCAACACTAGTGTAAAAGCTTTAGGCAATAGACATCTCTTTACTTTTCAGTAAGTAACTGCAGTTTTAGACTTGACTTGTTTGTTCGTAAAAGCTTTGGATTATATGGTGAAATGGTGATCTGAAATCGTTTTCTAAGCGTAAACCTCCCACAGCGAAGTGAGTATTTTTGTAGAGAAACGAGTCTCAAACTTTACCAAAAAATACGATTTGAACAAATTATACTCATTACTATACATAATTGATGACTTGTGTCTCAAGTAAAGGTCACCAGTGTTCTGTTTCATGCACTTCCGGTTTGTATAAATCATCACTGGTAACTTTTTGCATTGAATGAATTGTCACTGAAGTAAACTCGAGACAAGAACCAAACTATTTTACATTCCTCGACTAATTAAGAACTGAGAATGGGACTCAAATCAAAACGCTAGACCTTCTACCTCGCCTTCAACTTCTCAACAATCAAATCCCTACCAACGATGTCCCTTCTTCCTCCTCCGTTCTCTGTATTTGAATTCTGGTGCCATGACCGGACCACATCGTATTCTTGATGCAGATGATGATGGAAGTGAGGAGGATACCTACGAGCTGCATGAAAGACCAAGGCCTCACAAGATGTTCGAAGGCGGCAAGCATGACGGAGACCAATCCGTCAAGCCATCCAAAGTCGTTTCCCAATCCAATCATCTTAAATGTTCCTGCAAAATGCAAGTAAGCAAAAACAAAGGTAAGAAAGATGGGGACATCAACTTCTTTTGGATCACAGAACATGTCTCCCAAAAAAACTATAACCCTAAGAATAGACATTTCTATAATGGACTTTCTAAGCTGCCCTAATGTTTCACATGGTGCAAGTGCTTCCCTAATTCTAGCTAGCCTATCAGTATTCCATTGCGCCACAAGAAGTATCTCAACAAAAGCAGTTGCGGCAATAGCTAGACAGTAAAGTGTTATAACTATAGCACTGTGATAAGTAATCCAAAGGTTCAAAAAGAAAGTCCATTCCACTCCTATTGGAAGTGAAGGCGCAGGAGCTACAGGACAATGACAGCCTAAAGGATTTTCAGAATCTATGTTATCCCCAATATGAGCATCCCAATACTTACTAACAACAAAAGTCCCAATAAATCCTATGAAAGTAACGATGGCATGGAGAATTAGGATCTCTTCGTAACTATATAACCATGCCACACCCCGACAGACTAGTCTAAACAACCCGCTTATAACTGTCCATAGAAAATTAAAAATTGCAGTAACGCAAGTTCTACAAAACATAATGGGGACTCGTACTAGCTAGGTCCGGTAGAGGAAGAAAGAGAGATGAAATCCAAAAACTGAAAAAGAAAAAGAGATAATAGTGTAAGAGGCTCCCTGGTTCTTGTGAGAGATATTTTGAATCCTTGAGGCTCAAGACTAGACGCCGGGGAGATATAGAGGCATGAATGCTCGATATAAGAGGATGAAAGATTGTAAGTTTCCGATGGTCTTGGTGAAAGTCCCAGAGAGAGAGAGAGAGAGAGAGAGAGAGAGAGAGAGAGAGAGAGAGAGAGAGAGAGAGAGAGAGAGAGAGAGAGGAATTAGGGAAGAAAAACGGGACTCGACTTTTTGAAATTAAGTAATAGCGACGAGAGGTTGGTGAGAAGTTCTTGCGCTTTCGGGTTAGAGAACGAGAGAAAAAAAAATGAAGATCGGAAATAGGAATGAGATATCCTCGGAAGAGATCAGACTCGCATTTGTGAAATTCAGTAATAGCGACGAGAGGTCCGGTGAAACAACGAGAGAGATATGGTGAGGAGTTCTTACCCGAAGTTGTCTTCTTGACTTCTTGACCTTTCTTGAACGATTCTTTGAAACGCGAAAGAAAAGAAGGAGGCAGAGAATAATTCTCGGAGAGAAGAAGATTGTAGTTGCTAAGGAAAAGGAGGAGGCAGAGAATGTTGTGATCGTCCGATACATTTTTCAGCGTGTTTATATAGAGGTTAAAGGACGTGATGTTAGTGTGACCTGATGTGACGTGCCTCCTAAGGAAAAAATGAGATGTCTACGTGTCGCTAATCCATGAGATCGTGAATGCGTGTAAAGGCCGACTCAATAATTACGTGGAATGCAGATGTGGACTTCTCGGGTCTCCGATTTATGTTTTATATTTATTTTTTCTATATGACGCTAGACTTGAAAACACGTTGACTCTTTTCTTTGTCTTGACATGAAAAGTGAATAACTTGATATTGTCTTTGATCGGTAACATACGATATCTTTGATTTAATTTGAGTTATGGTGGGTATTAGAGTTTGAGTTAAAATGTATTTATTAAATAATTGAGTTTTATCTTTGTAAAATTGATAACTCAATTCAAAATTTTAAAACATAGTTATTAAGAAACTCAGTAATTTATTTTGCATTAACATTTAAGAATTTGAGTTAAGTTTACAAAGATAACTCAAAATTTTAATGCAACTATAACATATTATATAACTCAAACTGTATTGCAATTTTTTTTAACATAATGTATGATTAGTAACATTTTTTATTTATGGCTATAACTCAAAGTAAATCAACATGTCAGTAATCAAAGCCTAAGACTTTGAAATGTAAATAATTGAAAAGATAAGGTTAAGTGACCATGTTATTAGCATATTACATAAATGTGCATTTATTATGGAAATAAGAATGATTCTGATGAACAATGATACAAATTATCAACCCTAGTATTCCAATATACAAACTACAAAAAAAAAAATCAAAAGTTGTTATGTTATGACTACAATACAATTATTTGTTATCATTTTAATCATCAATACTAACCTAAATTAAATAATATGAACCAAACATAAACTTAAAATAATGATCCATATCTTTGACTAAATCAAATATATCATTTATTTTTTAAAAGTTTAAGAGCAAATTGTGTCATTTTAATTCGGGATTCAGTTTATGCTCATTCGTATGATTATTTTTTTGGTTAAAAATATCCAATCATACAATATTTAAAAATAAGTTTGTTTCTTTTTTAATTTTCCGTTTCAAAGGAATCTTCCTTATATAATGCGATTATGCGAGTAACAAGCGACCCCTAAGAAGAAGAGATAGAAGGCGCTAAAGTCTGATAAGGAAAAAAAGAAAAACATGACAGAGAATGCAATGGAAGATATGGAGACAGGAGAAGTGGAGATAGCGAAGAAGGATGAGAGTAGAAGAACTTGGAGAATAACATTGCTTTTGTCCGTAGTGGTAATGGCGATATCTCTGCTCATATTTTGCCTAACAGGAAAAGCCAACAATATGGAAGACGACTTAACAACATATGTATTAATATTCATGGGGGAGCATTTTATAATACAATATGCAGTGATCGGAGCAATGGAAGTGATCTTGACATATGTATTTGACTTTCCTCTTGGATCCTCACCACTAGAGATTCGTCTGGGCAAGATAGCGACGTTGGAGCAGGCATTTGTCGTGTATATCTGCATTGTAACGCTCTGGTCGAGAATGATGGAGATTTTCGTCTATGCCGTGTCCTCCATCATTGGCCTTGTTGCAGTTGTCCAGCTTTTTTCTTCGAGGGTTGACCATCCTTTTGACACGAACCATTTGTGGTTCATCATTGGCTTAGGGACAGTAACGGGATTAGTTTGTCTAATTCCATATTTGTTCTTCTTCTTTGGCTGCTTCTCTATGTTTATCTTGATCTACGTTTTTATTCTACGGTATAACTTCCCTGACAAGACCCTTGTTGAAGTGTTTGCCATGGTAGCAGAGGTTTTTAGATTCTACTAATAAGGATAGCTATAGCTTTTGTTGCTATGTTTCTGTGATTTTTTAATCAAATTATTACTAGGGTTTTTTTGAATCTTTAACAGAAATTGATGCTTTAATAATCTGTTGGTTGATATCTTGGGGAAAGTTATATCTATCCCGTAAATGGTGCAAACTAAATTCAACCGTCCCCAGCTAGATATTCGCACAAATCCAATAATTTAACTTTTAAGATAATCAACCTACAAATTCTTTTTGTATCCGGAGGCTTTATATATAGGGAACAATCTTAAAGTCTTATATTGAGATAATGGTCTCTAATACAATACCAAAAGACCCTTTTGTGTGTGAAAAGAGAAAGACTCATAATATGACATGCATTTACAGTTTGTGTAATTCATCAATGACTTGTCACTGAAGTAAACTCAAGACGAAGAACCAAAGTGATTATTTTTTCCATGTAGTACTGTTCTTTTTCTGCCAAATATCTACATTTTTCGACTAAGACTCAAATCTAAACCCATAAATCTCTTAACTCTTGTTCAATCTCTCATCAAACCCTACTAATCAAATCTCTAAAACCCCTTAATTTCTAATTTCCCTACAATATCGTCCTCGTTGAGAAACTCTTGATGATCTCTAAACTCAAATCCTTTTATACACTTCACTTGAAAAATCACCTTTCCATCAATCTGAATCCTCGAAAGCAGCTTGAGAGATCCTCTTACTCACCTTTGTCAAAGAAAGCCTTTTGGTGTCAATAGCTAAGCAAATCTTGTGAGTATCTCTGTGCCTAATCATCCAAACCGTGACGAAATCGCAGTACTCCCTGAGCTCGTATTCTCCGACGAACTTGCTCCACCCCGCCGCCAAATAATGCGAATCCTCGTCGGCACACATCTTCATCTCGTGAACATTCCCGTCTGGTCCGTACACCGAAACCCTAATCCCTTCTTTCCCGCGCAAAACCTCCGACTCTCCAAGAAGAAGAAGAAGATGCGCAAACTTCTTATCCACCTGCGGTTTCGATAACGCGAGCCTGCTCTGTCCCTCGCCGTCGCTTACGTCGCTCACCGTCAGCTGCTTTCGGATCGGTCTGCTGCATTGCTCGATCAGTCGCCGCTCAAAGATATTTTCCGGTGGTATCAACGGAGTTTCCCATCGGCTCAGTAAACTCATAGTTATTTCCGAGTCGTCTTCTTTTGTTTCTGTCCCCGATGCGATGTTCTGCTGATTCCTAGCTCCGTATCTGTTGCGCAAAAACGTTAAGTGGCTTATCGCCCAAGAAGCATCTTCTCTTGCTTTAAAATCTTCTGGAGCTCTGTTTCTGTGAAAGCTTCTTTCGTCATTAGCATCTTCGTCTTCCGATTCCGTTTTGTTCTTCTCTTCTTCGCTTATCTCTGACTCAGAGGCCACGAATTCGTCATGGTCCGCTTCTTCTTCTTCTTCCTGGATGGCATCATCATCGTCCGTCTCATCGTCTTCGCGATCGAGATCGTAATCTTCGTCAAGCTCGGGTTCTTTGTTGAGGTCGATTTCTTTCTTTGGGTGGGCTTCTTCGTCTTCATCGTCCTCGCGCGTTAAACTTCTTGTTCGCTTCTTTGGAGACGCCATGATCTCTGTTTTCTTGTTTCTTTCTCAAGAAAGACGATAAGACTTTGTTTTGGGATTTTCTCTCGTTTTTGTTTTTTTTTGGCTCGCGAGTGAAATGGAATGGATCAATAACCAAATCAATTAATCCACTATATATAGAGTTAGGTTTTCAAAAGTAGAGTCCTTTGATGTCACAAGAAATGGAATGGATCAATACCAAATTTATTGTTTTAGATTAATTAACACATACTTTTCGAGGGTTTTCAAACTCTGACTAACAAAGCTATTAAGCTACTAAGAAGTCCTGATAAAAATCCTTAAACTTCTATTTATTTCTTCTAGTAAAATCTCATAAAAACCCTAATGATCGATAGCCTAAAAACCCTTAATAGTCTTTCTATATACCTTATCTTGAAGAAAGAAAGAAAAAAAAAACCCTAATTAGTCCAAAAAAGTAGGAGTGGACACAAAAACCATAACCGAAAAAACCAAACCATACCGAACCGAAAAAAGTGATATGGTTTGGTTATAGTTAAACCTAAAAATCCATTTGGCTATTAATTTTTTATAGCTTTGGTTTAGGTTTGGTTTGGTTAAAAACCGTCAAACCAAAAAGTTTTTTCAGTTTTTAAACTAAATTTTAAATAATTTATATTTTTTTAGTTTCTTAATTTAGTTTATGTATATATTTTATTATTTGGCTTAGTTATTTTTATAATTTAATAACTTAACTCATAAATTTAAAATATAATATTTATAAAAAATATCTACATATAAATAATAAAGTAAATCTTAATTTTTCAATAAAGAAAAACGTGATTAACTCTTTTTCTTCACATTCAAGTCTTCTAGTTCTAGTTCCAAGGCTATAGGTATTAAATTTTAATCTAAATTTGTTTATTGTTTTATAATTATTAATTATGAAAGATTTGATAATTTGTTTGTTTCTTTATTTTGAAATCTGTCCTTATTGATGAATTTTTTATGATTTAGATTCTATTTTTTGGATTTATTGTTTTATTTCACTCATATCTATTATTATTATTTCCATTAGTTTGAATCAAAAACTTTCGTGATAGTATAATTCTAAAAAAACGAAATCAAACCATATCAAACCGAACTGTAAAAAAACCAAACCTAAATGTATATGGCTTTTATATGGTTTGAATTTTCGTAAAACCGATAAACCGTAAAACCGACCAAACCAAACCGAAACCAAACCAAAAACCGAAGTGCCCAGCCCCTACTAAAAAGTCTCATTTTCCCTAATCCGAACCTTCGACTTTAAAGGCAGTCTTCGAGATCCTTCTACTCAACATCCTCTTTATAGGAAGCCTAGTGGAGTCGATAGCGAAGCAAATCTTACGAGTCTTTGTGTGCCTAAACATGGAAACCGTGAGAAAGTCGCAATGCATCTTAAGCCCATATGTCGCCACGAACTTGTTCCATCCTGACGTCAGCACGGGAATTTTCTCGACCCACATTTTGAACATCATCTCGTGAACTATCCCGTCTGGTCCGTAAACCGAAACCCTAATCCCTTCTTTCCCGCGAGGGATCTCTGATTCCTTGAGAAATGGCAGAAAGTTCTTCTCCACTTGCACTTTCCCTAACATCAGCCTGTTCTGATCTTCCTTCACGTCGCTCTCCGTTAACTGCTTCCGTATCGGTTTGCTGCATCGTCCCAAGGAGGCAATGGTCTCTTCCGGCAGAAACTTCGGCTTTGAATCACTGTTCCATCGGAGGAGTAATTCTAGGGTTTCTTCGGAATCGTCTTCCTCGACGATTTTTCTCTTCTTAGCCGGCTGATTTTGATGATGATCATCATCAGCTTTGTTTATGTCGCGCAAAAACATAAAGTGGCTTAACGCGAAAGCAGCAGTAACCATTTGGTCTTGCTCATCTCTTTTTCTTTCTTCTTCTGGGGTTAACCTCCTTCTTGTCGGCATCGTTGAAGTAGCCATTAATCCTGTCTCTCTCTCTCTGTCTCTCTCCGGGAAAGCTGCCGTGAAATGCAAAGGTTTTAGGGTTTTATCTTTCCTTTTCTCTCTTGTGAAACTAATAAGAAAATCATTTCCTTTATACACCCCACTTGAATAACAAAATGGACAATATAAAAGTTAAATAGCCTTAGGCAGCCCAAGAAAATTACTGTTTGAGGCCCAAAATCCATTTTGTTTAAAATCAATTATATCTATTTTGAATTACATATGACATTATGTTATATATAATTGATAAATAAATCGAAGAATTAAGAAGCTGGAATGCTCTGCGCTAATATATGCAAACAACATTATGTTATGTTATAAAATTAGAAGTATAATAAACTATGGGCAAAATGCAAATTTCGGTGGGTCAAAGCTGAAATCAAGGGGCTGCCTAACTATCAACTTCATGAAGTTGCTTCGGTGTATTCCCACAACTTCTCCTTTTGTCACTTTTACACTTCAATACTTAATAATCATTTAACTTTCTTATATGGTTATTAATTTTTCTAAACCGAAAATTGATCAATTGTGTGGTACTGCTATGTGCATATGGGGTTACCGCGGATCTTTGCGTTAGCTGCGCGTTTGATGGTGGCGTGTCTTTGTCAAAATGGAATATGCTTTTAACGTTAGATCTCAGACGCTCTTTTACTGTCAAAATGATATCCATAGAGACTCTTAATTTCTTATTGGTCGATAAACCACTCTCAGTTATCATTATGACATATTTGTATATCATCAAACATGTTTATCTATATGCCAATTAGGAATTCAATTATTGTTGCCTAATTTATACAATATCGAGAAATAACAGGCATGTGGAGAATTCTTTAGAAGCCAGCACTTACTACTATTCACTTCATGAGATTTTGGTTCTTAAAACTTTAGAGAATTGTGATTTTATGGTATAATCATTTGCATCCTAAAACTGTAAAAAAATTGAACTGCTGAGAAAATAGAATTACTGCAGTTTTTGGGATTTAGTTTGCTTATTATGATGACGTGTATAGTAAGTACCACAGAGATGCATGGGCATAAATGATTAGCTTATCCTGTCATTGTCAAATTTTGGAGGCTTCTCTTTAATTAGTAATTGCAAAAAAGTAGTAAAATTAGTCGATGGGATCTATGATAGATCATGAGATTTCTTGATTCCTAGAACATTTATAAATTAATAATATTGGAACTCTCAAATTTTATTAATTTATAAAGTTATTAATTAATCGATAAATTAATAATTATTAATTTAACAATAAATTAATATTTTATTAATTTATAGAGATATTTTTAGTTTGAATATTTAATATTCATCAGAAAAACAAAATTAATATTTTCAATAATATAAAATTCATTCAAAAATGTCACAATAATAAATTTAGAAAATAATTCAAACAAATTTTATAAACTTGAAACAATAATATTATCATAGTTTACTATATTATATTATTAATATATGTTTTAATGTATAATTATTAATTTATATTATTATTAGGACGATATTTTTATATAGAACTTTCAAAAAAATAATTATCTTATTATCTTATCGAATTTTGTCAATTTTTACACTAACCCGACTTAGAATTGGTAAAAATTATTAATTTATAGTGATTATTAATTTATCGAATATTAATTTATAGAGGTTTCATTGTAGTTGTGTTTTTTGCAACATGTTTTTTTCTTACAATATTTGGTTACACAAAATCATGTCTCAATGATTTATGGAGGGTTAAATCTTTAAAAAAATGTTATTTTTTATTCTAGCTACTGTATTTGTAGCTTAAAAGAAAATTTCTAGCTAATAATAATGTAGAGATGTGTTGCAATTTAAACATGTTAATATACAAGATGGACAAAATTCAACTGATGAAACAAGATTTGTAAACAGACGTACACAGTGAGCTTTCTAGAAGTAAACTGATGAAAAAAGATTTATAAACATATACATTCATACACTGATCTAAACCAGAATTAGAAATCTTGATGACTTAAATAGACAAATCAGTTTCTTCTAAATTATTTTATGTCATATTATGCACCACTATGTTTATAAAATCAAAAGTAATAAGAAAATCACAAAGGTAACATGTCGGTTGCAATTGCACCGCTAAATATATAAAATCCAAAGTATTTTAGAAAAAGAAAAGTAACCAAAGTTAACAACATGTCTAAATCAATCACATGGGGAAGAACGTAAACTACAAATATTCACATAAAAGTTGAAAACTATAAGGTGAAGACAACATTAATAATTGGAAAAAGTTTAGCGAGAATGTGAATCATGTGATGGATCAAATTTAGGTATATTCTCTTTAGCTCTTTAGTGTTCACAGCCTCTGCCACGCAGCTTCGCTCTTATCAAAAAGATTGGCCCGCATTATAGAGACATTACACAATTGCAATACGAACGTTTTTTATAAATTAGTGCGTGCTGCATATCGAAATAGAATCTGGAGATTCATAAAAGTCTAGGCTACCAAACCCACTACATTATCAAAACTGACTTTACTTATATACATTTAGTCTACACAATTTAAATTAGTTTTTCTATAAAATTCTGAATACATGTATATAAATGCATGGTACTATGACATTACCATGTTGAATAATACCACTACTATTCCGTTGTTAAAACATTATTTTGATATATCATGACGACATAATATATATACAGCTTGACTGATAAAGAAATTACATATTTTTATTCCACAAACACACAAAATATTGAAAAGTTAGTTTGTGGAAAGAAAAACTAACTAACAAAACAGCATCTTCAATTCCACAAAAGAACATATTTTGAATGATATCTACAAAGAACTTCAATGATGATAACACAACGATCACTAACAGTTGCCATTTGCCAAAACCTTGGGATTTGTTTTAAATGTGCATTTTTTAAAAAATATATATATATTTTTTTAATATGAAATTAAGAGTCAAACTCTAGAATAAACCAAATTGTTGATTGTGGATCTAAACCTAATTATTTAAGATATACCTTGCTAGTTGCTGCTACCTTCTATTATTATTTTTTCTCATTGTAACGTTTAACTTCAAATGGAATATATATACAGTACTACCAAAGTCTTTAAAACATAAATACGCACTATATAGTAAACAAAAGAAAATGGAGCTTAAATAAGGAAATTACATTTATGTGAATAATAGAGATTGCTCGCGCAAATGAAGGTTTTGTGGATTGGTAAGCATCTACGCGACGATAGACCTTTACTTCTCCACCCAAAAAAAATAAAATAAAGTCAAAGTCAACACGTAAATAAAAATCAAGATTTTACAATATGGTTGGTTTTTATATTAATATTTATTACTTGCATTTGTAACAATTACGACTCTTTTCGTCTTCGTTATCTCCTCCACGGTGTACGACTAAGATATAAAGGGTGTCCCTTTGATAAATACAGTTTGCCTTTCATTCGCCAACGGACGCTCTTTCCTCATCACAGCTCAGAGCCTGACCCAACTCTCAGGCTCTTCTCTTTCTCTCTTCATTTACGATAAGACTTTTAAGAGGTTTTCGAGCTTCAGATCTCCGATCCGGTTAAGGTAATGCCTCCAATTTCACACTCTGCTCTTGATTCGATGTACTGCATGTTCTTGTCATTTGAATTCTGCCGGATTTTCGGTTTTTGATTCAATTTTTTCTTTCTTTCTTGCGGATCAGATTCTGCGGTGTTTTGGTGTCTTGATGCGATTATGCTTAATTTTAAAAATGACGACTTTAGTAGTTTCCTGAATTTTGTTTTTTTTGGTCCGATCTGGGTTTAAGCTGGGATTTTGATTATGGTTGTGACGTGATGCAACATTTTACTGCTTTTGGATTGAGCTGATGTTGTATGATTACACAACATCAACAACATTTGGATTATGCTGATGTTTGTTTGTTTCGTCTGATTGTTGTTGTTGTTGTGTCGTCTCGGTCTATTGTGTTGTGGATCTGAATTCATTCGCCGTTTCTATCTGATATTTCTCACTAATTTGCTGTAATGTTGTTTTGTTCCTTAGATCTAAAGTTTCGTTTTTTATTTGTCGGTGTTCTATTTCTATCAGTGTGGTTTAAGCTTGATTACTTTTTAGTGTTGTGAGAGTTTCAAATGTCACATGATTCGTATAAATTTTGCTGCTTTTGTATCTACTGAGCTCTTAAACATCTCAAATTATAAATTTCTCTTCTTTAGCTATACCCACATTGTTAAGATCTAACGTTGGTATTTAACAGGAAAATAAAGAGTTAGTACATCAAGATGAAGGCTCTCATTCTTGTTGGAGGCTTCGGGACTCGTTTGAGGCCATTGACTCTCAGTTTCCCAAAGCCGCTTGTTGATTTTGCTAATAAGCCCATGATCCTTCACCAGGTACTAACTATAATGATCTTTAACTGTTGCAGCTTAGCTTCTTGTAAACTGTGTTTTAACTTGAAGCATGGTTTCTCTTAGATAGAGGCGCTTAAGGCAGTTGGAGTTGATGAAGTGGTTTTGGCCATCAATTATCAGCCAGAGGTGAAATGAGACTTTACCTCCTAGCTTACTTTCTTGGTTACATGTTTGTATTTTACCGTTTTACTCTTTGTGTCGACAGGTGATGCTTAACTTCTTGAAGGACTTTGAGGCAAAGCTCGAGATCAAAATCACTTGCTCACAAGAGACCGAGCCTATGGGTACGGCTGGTCCTCTGGCTCTAGCGAGAGACAAACTGGTTGATGGATCTGGAGAGCCTTTCTTTGTCCTCAACAGTGATGTGATTAGTGAGTACCCACTTTTAGAGATGATTGAGTTCCATAACGCTCACGGTGGGGAAGCCTCCATTATGGTGACCAAGGTGAGACTGTCGGATACTAATAATCTCCAGTTATGGTTGTTGTTCCATCTAATGTGGACCCGTGTGTGTATTTGAATGTTTAGGTGGATGAACCGTCGAAATATGGAGTCGTGGTTATGGAAGAAACTACAGGGAAAGTTGAGAAGTTTGTGGAAAAGCCAAAGCTGTACGTAGGTAACAAGATCAACGCTGGTATCTATCTTCTGAACCCATCGGTTCTTGACAAGATTGAGCTAAGACCGACTTCGATCGAGAAAGAGACTTTCCCTAAGATCGCAGCAGCTCAAGGCCTCTATGCCATGGTGCTACCGGGATTTTGGATGGACATTGGGCAACCACGTGACTACATTACGGGACTGAGACTCTATTTAGACTCTCTGAGGAAGAAGTCTCCTGCTAAGTTAGCCACTGGTCCACACATTGTTGGGAACGTTCTGGTTGATGAAACAGCAAAGATTGGGGAAGGGTGTTTGATTGGACCTGATGTCGCTATTGGTCCTGGCTGCGTCGTTGAGTCAGGGGTGAGACTCTCGCGCTGCACGGTGATGCGTGGTGCACGCATCAAGAAGCATGCTTGTATCTCGAGCAGTATCATCGGGTGGCACTCAACGGTTGGGCAGTGGGCTAGGATTGAGAACATGACGATCCTTGGGGAAGATGTTCATGTCAGCGACGAGATCTATAGCAATGGAGGAGTTGTTTTGCCACACAAGGAGATCAAGTCCAACATATTGAAGCCAGAGATAGTGATGTGATCAAATTATGTGGAGTGTGATTCAGGACCAAATTTGTTAAACTTCTTTTATTTTTTTTGTTTTGTGTTCGTTCTTCTTTTTTCAACCTTGTGCTTTGGTTAATTCTTGTTGGCTTTGGAATAAGTAAAAACAAAATGATGTATATCTTGTTAGGGCTTAAAGTCATTTGGTGTTTTGTTCTCTATTTTTTTTGTAACTTATCAAAACAGTTATCAATTATTTGAAGATATTTTTGTAACTTAATAAACATTTCACAATTCAATTTCATATGATGCTTTCCTCCCGTCTATTTTTTTTTCATCATGATCTTTTTTCTTTTAAGAATCTGGAATAATGTGTCGGTGGAGATGAAATCAAGTTAATCAACTAATCAAAGTTTCACAATAAAGAAATACCTTTTTTTAATATGTGGGAAAGAAATTTGCAAAATAGGATAAAGAATAGGTCGAAACAGAACGAACAAAACGGCAATGGTATATTCCGTAGTATATATTCCAACGGAAAAAATCAATCCAAATCAGATCCATATTTGGTTAAGGTTTGGTTTAGATAGGATGTGATTTGGATCGGGTTATGAATTATATCGAACCGGACTAATATGGAGTTTCACACTACAGTTTAATAATAGCCCTAGCTTAAACCTTAAACCCCTTAAAAAATCGATTTTTCTTCACAGAAGCAGAGAAGAGAGAATCACCATGACTTTCGCTTGGTGCGTTCGTAGGTTAGCTTCCGCTTGTGCTGGTCGTGTTGGTCGAGTCCGGTCCATCTCCGCCGTTGTTAACCGTCCCTCTCTTGCTCGCAACCCATTTCCGCAGCGTCCTTTCGTCCCTAGTGGCTTTCTTTACTCGACGGCCATTGATCGAATGAGCTCTGAGCAAACGCTTCTCCGGTTGATTAACTCCGAGATCAACTCTGCTCGGGATATCGATGATCGCGATTTGGTAAATTTCCCCTTTTTCGCTATTTAATTGGTAAATGTAACAAAATCATCGGGTTGCTTTGTTTTGATGAAATCAAGAGGTTTCAAGTTTCTTCTTATCTAATTACTCTTCACAATGCAATTGATTTGAAAAAAGTCCTTCACTTTATGAAATTTCAACCACTGAATTGCTTTACAGAGCTGTGGTTTAAGGATTGTTAGATCTTTTGTGAGTTAAGTAGCAGAAATTGGGCTTTACTGAACGATGAACAGACTGTTTTGTATATCTTCATTCTCTGATTTCATAAAAAGCTTAGGATCAAGTCTTTGATGTTAGAATGTGACTCTACTCCTTTACATTGCAAAAAAATAAGTAAGTTGCTATTTATGAGAGCAGTGTGATAAGTTTCTTACATAGAGAAAGTTATTATTCTCCAGTTGAGACAGATTTTGTTCTTACATTCTGTTGGGGTTTCGTTGGAAACAGGATGAAGAGAGTGCTCCAGGAAGCTTTCCTTTCAAGATTGAAGACAATCCTGGGAAACAGACTGTGACATTGACTAGAGACTACAAGGGGGAACATGTTAAAGTTGTAGTAAGCATGCCTAGTCTTGACGCTGATGATAATGAGGATGATGATGAGGATGATGATGATGATGGTCGTAGTAATGAATCGAGTATTCCGCTAGATGTGACTGTTACCAAGAAGAGTGGACTCAGCCTAGAGTTTAGCTGCGTGGCTTTTCCCGATGAGATTGCCATTGATGCTTTGTCTGTAAACCATCCGGGGGATTATTTGGAGGATAAATTGGCGAACGAAGGGCCTGATTTTGAGTAAGCTTTGTGAAATCAATTCAAAACTCTATATATAGTTGCAAAGTGTAAGGTTGTAACGATCTCTTGTGTTGCAGAGACTTGGACGAGAATCTGAAGAAGGCATTCTACAAGTATCTGGAGATCAGAGGAGTGAAAGCAAGCACAACTAATTTCTTGCACGAGTACATGGTGAGGAAATCGAAGCGAGAGTACTTGCTGTGGTTGAAGAATGTTCAGAAGTTTATGGAAGAATGAAATGGTAAGATCCGGTTCCTTATGTACCTGAGAGATAATCAGAAATGTAAGAGAATGAGAACTCTTTTTGTGTTCGTTCTTAGCATTCAAATGCTCCTTCTTCGCATTCAAATGTACAATCTTTGAGAATTTATGGTATTGAACTTATGGTTCCCAATGCAAACTCAAAATTCAACTTGCTTGCCAATACAAAATCCAAAGAAATAGATAAAAATGATTGAATAAGAAAGGTGTAGGTAGCCTTACAACGAGTGTTTTAGACAAGAAGAGAAGCTGAATAAAAACGTTTCTTCATCTTACTTATGAGCAAGATCAAGTGGTAAAAGGAACTTATTTTTTGTGGTGCAATCCCTAAAACCTAAATCAAAACCGCTTCATAAGAGAGGGTTTCAATATAACAATAATAATAGGATACGGTATCTCAGCAGAGAGGAAACAAAAAGCACATCCTCTCTTCAAGTCTTCAACACAAACACAAACACACAGAGTCTTCTAAGATTGGATTGGAATGTCCTGATGGGTGTAAACAATCCCATTGTCTCCATCCACCACTTGTCCGTTTCCTCTCATTATCCTGCAACCACCATCAATTATACTCAAAACCAAAAGATAAAGCTACGAAGAACAAGCTTATTGTGGGGTTTAATCGACATAACAATGGTGTTTAAAGTATCTAAATTTGTACCATCTTGTTGTAAGTAATCCTTCAACTCCGACAGGACCACGAGCATGGATCCTGCCCGTGCTTATCCCCACCTATATATACCAACCAAAAGTTTATTAATCACTTCACTCTTGCTCTATTTTTCGTTTAATATTTTAGGATTATTTGTATGTAAGTACCTCAGCACCAAGTCCAAATCGAAATCCATCTGAGAATCTTGTGCTTGCGTTGTGGAAAACAGCAGCACTGTTCAAGGATGCATTGAAAGTCAGTTACTAGAATAATCAAAGTCGGAGATACTAAGTAAGTGCATGATCCTGTATTTGTTACCTGTCCACTTGGCGAAGGAATAGCTCTGCAACTTCGGGATCCTCTGTCACAATGCAGTCTGTGTGTGCACTGTTCGCAACAACATACAAGACAAGATAAAGTGTGAGCGTTTCCACTACAAGATGCAAATAATTACAAATGTCAATGTCTGTTAGTTTTTACCTCCCATGTCGGTGAATGTGATCTATAGCACCATAAACGTCTTCTACAACTTCAACGGTGCAAGCCTTGGAACAGTACTCATGATTGAACGTCCGTGCTTCTGGAATGTTCAGTATTGCACTTGCCCTTGGTCCACCATACAAAGTTACACCTGCAGTCAAATATGCCTCATGAGTTATATACTACTCTAAACAAGTCTTCGAGATTACGACAGGTCAACAAAAACATGGCCCATTTATGACCTACCATTGCTCTGCAGAACAAAGATAAGCTCATTGAGCACAGCATTTTGCTCTAGATCCTTATGCACCAGAAGTGTTTCCTGAAAAGACAAGGGAAAGAGAAGATGAAACAAGTCTGATGGAACTAAAATCCCAATGCATTACTTGTAATGAGTCGAGGGAAGCTAAAAGTTCTCTTACCATCGCATTACAGGCTGCTGGATAATCCAACTTTGCATCGGAAACAATGCGCTTTGCCATATCCAGATTACAAGACTTGTCGACGTATACATGACAGATTCCATCTGGAAGAACACAATTAAGTCATTGTCACTCTCTAGCACAATCATACTAAAGGAGTTTAAGGGAAAAACAAACTTGAAACCGTACCAGCATGGCCCAAAACAGGGATTTTTGTAGTATTTTTAATCTGGGAAACAAGCTTGTTGCTGCCTCTTGGGATCACAAGATCAATAACGTCATCAAGCTGTAGCACATATGCAAACGGTGAGTGTTCCAGCTAAATAAAAGATATAAAGACCTATTTGCAGCTCCAAGTTTGTAAAAACCCGTTTACCTTGAGCAAATCAGGAATCTCTTCTCTTGAAGTCACAAGTCCAATGAGTTTACCCCCGACAGTCTCTGGAATTGCATCAGTGATCACCTAAGACATATACCATCAAATTAAAATGAATCAAAAAGAGCTTAAGCGTTATATTTTTGAAGAAGCCATATATTGATAAATCCTTGGTATTACACAAATCAAAGTAGCTGTACCTTGTGTAAGATAGCATTTGATCGCCGGGCCTCCTTTCCACCCTTCAACAGAAGACCATTTCCACTCCGGATGGCAAGTGAAGCTATCTGTTTGGTTTGTGGACAAACCACAGCTTCAGCAAACTCATATTCAAAGAAGAGAGGAAGACATTATTGACTCTTAACATACCTGTACAAGTGCATCAGGTCGGGATTCGAAAACAATCAGGAGTACACCTAATGGGGATGAAGTCTTCTCTAAAACAAGACCATCTGCCACCTGTAAAACCAATTGTCACGTAGAACAAATAGCATTAACAACTATCATATGTCAAGTAAAAGGATCCTTCTATCTCCTTTCTTTAACTCCTAGACTGTAAAACTAATTATATGATCACCTCAGTTTTCTTTAGAACACGGCCAATTGGATCTTCCATGTCAGCTAGCTTACGAACTGAAGCTGCAAGGCTCGAGATCTATCCAGCGCAAAACAAGGAAGCATTAGAAAAATAAAACAAAAAAAAGGTGATAAAGAGAGGTGAAATTGGCAAATTACAACACCAAGAATACTGTCTTACCTTCGCAGGTGTCATAACCAAGCGAGCAACCAATGACTCTTCAAATCCAGCTTCTTGTGCTGTAGCTACGTCTAATTCATTCTCAGCTCTGATTGTCTTTTCATTTGCTTCAAGAGCATCGGCGATATTATACAGAATCTGTTTCCTGTCTTCTGAAGACAAGGCCTGTAACAAAAAAATTGCAAACAGAGTGAGAACAAGATTTCTGATATTATCAAATGTGAAAGAAAACTATTCATCAGTTAGTTTTACAAGATTAAACAACGAAATCGGAAGCAATAACAGTACCTGAAGCTTTCTGGAACTTTCCCTTGCAGCAACTGCCATGTCACGAGCAGTAGAGTCTGTGATCGGAGCCCATAAACGAGCATCTTGATGGAATAAAGTTCCAACACGCAGTCCTCTGAGCACTTTATCAATGTTCTCAGCTGAGTACCCACTTCAAAAAGCAAAGAAAGTATTCAACTTTCCATCCAACAAAATATGTTCAGACCATTATTGCACGATGGGTGTAAAAGGGGCACACACCTGGTAATGATGACAGGAATCCCAGCATAGGCTGCATTCACAGCAGCTTTGACTTTTGCAGTCATGCCTCCTCTCCCTAACCTTGACTTGTCGCCAAATGTAATCTCATCTTGATGCTTCTCTTTGATGAAAGTGTGGATCAACTTTGAGTTAGGATCACTTGGAGGGCCAGTGTAAAGACCTTCGACATCACTCAGAAGAATCAGAAGATCAGCTTTCAGTTCCAGCGCAAGTAGAGCAGCTAAGCTGTCGTTATCCCAGAAGATGCCAGAGGAATCCTGCATACAATGAAGCTGAAACATATTAGACTACGAGTTTCGAAACAGAACCAGCTAAACGTAAAAAGAAAAGAAAACTCATGTCAAAATGGAGAAAGAGATAGTCAACAAAACCTGATAAGGAGCTCTTCTGGTGCTAATAGCATCATTCTCATTGAAAATTGGAATAACCCTCAAATCAAGCATCGACTTGACTGTTTCATTAAGCTGCTTCCTGAAATCCTTGTCTCTAAAACTACTGTCATTCACCAGTAGCTGAGCCGCCGTCACATCCAGCTACCCAAAGAGAACAACAACAACAAACAAAGCATCAATATTTATGATTTTACACAAACAAAAAAGTATATCTTTTTTTGTTTAAAAAGAGTCACCTGGTCGAACATAGTCTCATAATAAGCCATAAGACTGCTTTGTCCAACACCAGCACAAGCCTTCCCATCAAGTTCAGTCTGAGGCTTTTGGAGATCCGCAAAGCTGCAATCCATTATTAAAAAAAAACATACTTTAGCACAAAAAAGAAAACTTTTCAATCATAAACACAAACCCAAGAAAAAAAAAAAGCTTTTTCCCATCAGAAAGCGAAAAAAAAACATAAGCCAGTGTGGTCCATCACCATTTATGTTACGATTTAAAAGGGAAATGGTTCAAAAAGTTGCAATTTTGCGTAACCTGCTATTGACTAATTGTCTGTATCGAAGCCTTTGCCTGCCAAGTCCAACCGCACCAGATGACACCAATATCACCTCAAATCCATCCGAGTTTAGTTCCGCAAGCTGACATTTATATATATATTTTCAACGAATTAAAAGGTGCAATTACATCACATCACATGTCTTTCGTGTAACCTTTTTTCACAATTTTGAGAATTAAGCAAAAAGCTGATTAAATTAAAGTGATTTAAGGGAAATCAAAAATCAAAGTTACCTGCTCGCACAGTGCTCCTAAGCGACCAAGAGCCAATCTTCCACCTTTTCCAGTAACAACAGCGGTCCCAACCTATATAATTCCAAAAATATATATATTAGAATTAATCATCTCGAATAATCCGATTTCTCCATTAGTATCTGATGACATGCAAATTAAGATTCATAAGCGTAATTTACGAGAGGTTTAGTTTTCTGAGACAAAATGATTATTCAGATTCGCGAAACTTTTTCAATAACAGAGACAAACAAATATATAAGATTTCGTGAGACGACGAACACTTTGACAGATCAGACGAACGCCGAGAAACAACAAACACAAAGAAGATCCAAATCAACGATTAATACAAAATCAAAATCTGAGAATGCAGACGTATCTCCACGAAACAGGGAGAGAGAGAGAGACAGAGAGGGAGAAACCAAACCTTAACGACGATACGCTTAACGTCTTTGGCGAAAGCCCTCGAGCGATCTAACTCCTCCATTGTCACACCTACCAAAACTCAGTGGAGACTCAGTGGCTGGGTTTCGTTTATGGAAGGAAAACGGAAAATATCTGGTGGAGCGAGTGTGGGGAGATCAACAAAGAAGAGATGAAGGGTTTTATAAACACAATCACCAGAGAGCGTCAGGTCCTGCTACCAAACCACGATGCGCCACGTGGTCGAGTAAGGGTATATCTGTAATATCAGATCTGAACGATGAGGTGGCGCGGACTCGTTGGGTGGTGCATGGTTAAAAAGGTTAGGGTGCGTCGCCGGGGATTAAAAAAACTTTAGTTAATTTAGTAATTTTGGGAAATTAAAAAAATCGGCGGCTGAGAAAGCACCGTGGACGTGAACTACACAAAAAAAAAAAAACAAACGGAAATAATAAGACAAGTGAAATTTGGACAGCAAAGCAATTTTAGATGACGTATCTCTCTCTATTAAAAATTAAAAAACACAACAATCTTTTTCAATCTTTTCAATATGCGGCGCCACAACATTTGTTTGATCATTATTATGAATATAATGAATTGTATAATGCTCTAGTCTAATCAGGTTTTTGATGCGTTATTAAGTGCAATGATTATAAAGTATATCTAATGAAATCATGATAATCATTCTGATGTTATAAACGATTTCAGGTTCGAAAAGGAAAAACAAAAAAACATTCTTAGTTGGAAGATTTTTAGGCTGACAATTTTCGTAAAATTATATATATTGTAATTTTTTCAGATTCACATGCATGCAAGCTATCTAAAATTTATATAACCATCAGCAAATTTTAAGATTTTTTGCATTTTGAAAAAATCTGCCATGTTTTTTTAAAAGGTATAATAACATATGTTTCGATAGTATGTGATGGGAGTCTGGGAGTATATATGAGATGTTCAAATAGTTATTTTTCGGCAACATGATTAACTTCTAAAAATCTACAATCGTTGTAGCTGAGTCAAGGATACAAAAAGATTAACTTAATTCTTTAGTTTTTATTAACAAAGTTTGATTACTTGACATAGACCTGTGTACTATAATCATGATTAAAAATATATATAAGTAAATTAGAGGTTTTCTCGTCATTAAATTTAGATGGTTTTATATATAAAATGGGGAGATGTTAAAGTTAGGTTCAATATAATATGGGGAAAAGCCGGGAAGCTATTAGATATTCTTTTGAATAAATCATATTAAAAGAGTGATTGAATTTTTAAGAACTTAGATATCTAGTTTTCAACACGACGATGCTTTTTTACTAGTGATTGTCTAACACGATAGTAAAAATAGATAAATTAAGGCCGATCCAATTTCTCTATAGAGTATAGATTAATATATGATACTAATGTAAATGGGTGACCTTCTCGAGATTCTCCAGATGATTGTTTATTTCGTGCCCAGTAAATATATTCAAACATCATTCATTTCATTGGCCCTTTTAATAAGCCAATGATCATTTGCGATGGATTCAGATGAATCAGTTCTGATATTTTTAGTGTTAAGAAATCATGACTGAAACAAATTTTACTATATAAATTACATTTGTAAATTCACACCTAACGTACGGGATAATTAAGAAAAATTGGCAAAACCAATATTTAGCTTAAAAGCGCATGAAGACTAATATATAAACGAAATTTTGTTCAATGTATAGCCAATCAAATCTCTTACATTCTCTTTAATTAATCGTAATGAAAGTTAAACGTAATGAATGGTGCATGAGGCTTGGTCAAAGCCATTATTCCAAGTTCCAAACACTGATCATCTTAACGATTTGAGTTTCCCTCTCAATTTCAATTTTCTTCAAAGTTTTACTTAGTGCGTTTTTATTTTTCTTCCTCGATATATATGATCAACGAAAAATATGAATCAAATAAAAATAATCAAATGTAATGGACGGAGGGCACGTGGTTTGATGCCATTAGGGGATCAGATGTCTGATTGTTTCTGGGGAATCATTGGTCCTATGTGCATGTGCCCTCGTTTTTAGCCTTCAGGCCCACCAACTCCAATATTTAGTCATATAATAGGCATTTCATTTGTTTTTTCCTGTGTTTAAATTTTTTAGTGTGTTATTCTAACTAATTATCTCATTTGTAACCAACGACATATCGTTTTCAGGGATAATTATATAGACATTCACAATTAGACTCAAGTATGCATACACACGCAGCATCAGCACATGTGTATATGTGCATATAATATTGTAAAGGAAAGATGCGATTTTGATCCGTAGGTATATAAAATGATAATGGAGTTAGTAAGTGAGGAAATACATTTTATGTTGGAGGATCGTGATTCGTGAACGCATGCTCTTTGATTACAATTGGTAGGTTATATATTTTTAATATTCGTAACTGTGTGGTGAAAGAGAGAAAATAGAAAAGCCTTTTGAGCACTTCTTCGTAATTTTGTTTACGTGGACACAAATGATCGTAAATGGAAACTTTTATTTCTTCGCATTTTGGGTAAATGATAAGAATGTGATGTTAGTGTCTATCTTTTTCTCTCTTGCATGAAATTATCAACGTGTGTCTTTTCAAGCTATATAGCATTAAATTCAAAAGAAGCACCAATATATATTAGTAGTGGATATTGGAGTATCTTTATTCTTTTCGACTCATACCAACCTTTGATAATATATATATTATAACACATGCATTAGCGTTATACACTCATACTCAATCACGATAGTGAACGCTCGATCACGTCAAAGTTGTTATGGATTATGTTCGAAATTGTAAACATAAACCCTATAATTGTGTTGTAAATATATAAAACAAACAAAATGAATACTAAAATATAGATAAATTTCTTTAATTTTTATCACGGGTCATGTTCGAATAAGGAACAAATGCGAATACGATCCTTTAAAACAGTCAGTTGTAGTTGTGAGAAGCGCATATTCGCTTACGTTATAAAGATAACGTCTCTAAAAGGACAATTAACCCCAAGAAAAAAACAAAGAATTAAGCTTTGTCATGGTCACAAGAAGAAATGGCTACAATCTTTTTTGTGGGCACAAATGCACTATCCAATTTCAATTGACATCTATGGATTTAAGTCACGACCCACGATAGAAAGTTAAACTAAGACACGTATCTAGTTGGGGGCACATGTAGATAGACATGTTCAAAACTTGGAAGACTTAAACATTTACCCCCCCCCCCCCCCCCCCCCCAAAAATCAAATGCTCAATGGAGTTAGAGTGGCGCTAGGGCCAAAATTGAATAAATTACATTTAGCGATACAATAGAATTAAATACAATAAACTACATTTATGGTGGATGTTTTAGATGAGAGAAAATTCAGTATTTTACAGATTTTGAAAATTGATATGATGTTCGGCTGCGGTTAGCCAAAAAAACACCCTACTATTTAGAGAATAAGGTTACAGAAAAATGCTTGTTAAACAAAACGTGGTAGTGTTAGAATGACTGAAACGTTATAACGACATGATACTAACTAAAAAACAATGAAAAATATGGTGACGTGTGTCCTCTATTTCTATAGTAGATAGAGTATGTGTAAATTGAATCGTTACATAATAAACTACATTTCAAACGATAACAAGCAATTGCTGGTCAATTTTGTCTTACATCATCTCTTATGGCGAAACAAGAGCCAACCAAATTATTGTTATTTGTTTATATATTAAAATGGATATTCCAAAATGAATCCAACCACTTGTCAATTATTCATGTACTCTTCCAAGTTATGTTACATCTCTCCCAGTTTTTAGCGTATCATCCGATAACGCTTGAAACCAACGGTTTCTCTAGTCGCATATATATACGCATGTATATACACGAATCTATGGATATACTACCAAAATAGAACAGATACTCCAAGAAATGAAAAAGATAATAAAGGAACCGTCAAAACTCACATGCCAATGAAATTACAATCTGTGGACACGAGAATCCTTGCCAAATATAAGAAAATTATGTTAAACAAATCAATACATCTTCCTATACAGTAAACTTAGTTAGACCAAACAGAAAGTACGTGGTTAGTTTTATTAGTTATGATTTATTACTTTTTCGCTCTTCTGGATTGGAGTTTCAAATGCGATGTTGCTAAAATGTTAGGAAAAGTTACGTCGTCTCTTACGGAATCGGAGAGATGCACAACCCTAAACCATTAATTTCACTGTTATAGTCTGTTACAAAAGACTTGACATACTATTTAATATACTCAGAATGTTATGCTTTCAAAATATCTTTATTAATATGTTTATATATGGCATCATCTGGCAAAACTAAGAACACTTTTTTTTTTGCTGTGCATATATATTATTAGTTAGAGAAGATATATATACTTCATTCGACCAACAGAAAAAAAGAATAAGATAAGGTGATGGAGTATAGTATATAAATGTCCTATAGAACATGCTACACTTGGACAGACTCAATTGGCATAGCTGCATTAATCATTATACTGTGCAGCCAATGCAAAGCCGTCACGAGTCACGAGCGTCCAAAACGTTTAGTGCAATCACGTTCAAAGAGACTATTTCCCAAAAAAAAAAAAAAACAAGTATTTTATCTCAAATTTATTTCCTGGTAATATTTTTTTTTTTGAGAAAAAGAAAAGAAAAGGTAATAGCTAAAAGAAGATGAATATTCATTCACTTGTAAATATGGTAAGTGTTACTTTTTTTTAATTCGTTGCACTAAGTAGAGCGATCCGATCATACGAAGTTATGTGAAAAAGTTTGTGAGAGATTTTATTTTACTGCTTTTTGTTTGATCTGTGTCTGAGAGCGATCATGCAATTGTAAGCAAGCAAACAAAAAGTATCTCTCCCATTTTTCCCCCTCTTACTTTGCTTTCGCTAATCTCTCTTTTTCCCGACAAATTTAGATTTTTTTATATATGGGTATTTTTTTCGGTTTTGTTTGAAAAAAACATACGATGAGTGTTATAACTTATAATTTTGAAGTATTATCGTTTAATTTTTTAATCAAACCCTTTCATCGTTTTGTTGTTGTATATATTAAGCAGAGATTTTTTTTGTATAACGAAAAGATTTCAGACCGTGAAGTTCACTATTTTTTATATATATGGAAAAGATGAATATTTTTTTGCTATTTAACACGTTCATAATGGTCGACCACCAATAATTTTTTTCAAAACAGAAACTACACAAATACTTAGTATCTACGACCTATTCACAAGTGAATTTGGCCGACATATTTTTTGGTTTTTCAAAAGTATGTATGTGGTGATAAGACGCAGATAGAGGAAGAAAAAAAATTCGGAGGAATCATTATCAGATTACATAGTTAAAATAAGTTATTTATTTAAGGATTGATAGAGACAGTGATTGCTATTGGGGAAGAAGATCGGGTTGTTCATAGAATTGATATTGTTCCTTTTTTTTAACAAAATTTTAAATATTATAGTTTACCTTTTGTTTTGGGGGAGGGGTAATTAAGCTGGATAAATTAAAATAATCATTCAATGATTTTGGTTTGAGATGCCAAAACCAACAAGTAATTTGAGAGAAAAACAAAACTGCAAAGTGTAAAGGGATTAGGAAGAGGATAAACGTGTTTGATTAGTTCTTGATTTTATTTAAGCAAAATGAACGGTAAAAGTAGAGTCATAATCCAACAACAATATCTCGTGGGGGTCATGACTGTTGTACTAAAGATAAACGTGGATTACAAATCATGCAAGTCATCAGTGTTAGGTACTATTGTACTCATGATGAAAGATTTCTTTAAAAAAGTTTTTTTTTTTAATTTGTTACTATACTGAGATTATATCTTTACAATTTTACCAATTAAGATAAAACAGTTGGATTTACGAATATACTGTTTTTAATAAGACATCGTTAGAGCATACTTGTATATGTGCTTCTCTGCTTCTATTCTATCGGGGCCAATAAAGCAGGCCCGTCATTACTGTTTGGCCCAATGGTTCTCTCGTCTCTACTTAATCTTTTTCCCCCCCCGCCAAATTTGCCCTAATTGCTTTCTTCTCTCACGCTATTTCCAAAGTCTCGTTTCTGTTACTTGTGTATGAATCAAACCGAACTTACTGTTTATGCGAATCTGTAACTGGAAGACATTTAAATTTTTTAATTATTTAAGAGGATATGGTGATCGTTGTAACTGGAAATCGCTGATGCAATCGTTGGAACAGTGATGATACATTAGTGAAACGTGTGCACGAAGAAATGGATAGTTTAATGCAATCAAAAGCAGAATTGACAAGTCTTAGGATTCTTGTCTTGATAAAACATGGTGACTCGAGTTGTAAGCACAAATCTTGCAGATATTTTTATTTATTTTCCATTGAATCAAGTAAAATAAAGACAATCTTCACAGGTTTTCTATCATTCATCTAATGTGACCTTTTTGGCTTTTCTCTTCCATACTTCACATGCTCTGTACTGTAAAGGTTCTTTACTATTCACTATCTGAATAAATTTTTATCTATTGGTTTTTGAGATCGGCCTCGTGCAGTGACGACAAAATGCATTCCTTTTCTCTTCGCTTTTCAGTTTTCACAGGAGTACTTAAAGAGAGTAAAATCGCAAAAAATCTTGGGAATTTTCTTCTTTTTTTTCTTATTTTTTTTTTTACTTCACAAGTAAGATGTGATAATAAACAAACAAGAAAATAGAATCCTAAAACAACTCAACTCACCAAACAAACACAATCGTTACGTTACAAGCAAACATGAAACTACGCCTGTAATAACGAATCCGAATGATTCAACTGTATATGTTCCTTCTTCTTTTACTTTGTGGGTTCCATTTCCTGGTAATGACATTCTTTGTTCTACCCTCACAGCACAGGAAAATCTAAAAGGTTTTTACATATATATGTCTTGTCGTGTGGTGTGGAGATTAAGGAAAGAACCAGACTTTGATGAAAATTGAAAGAACCATTTGCAGACCAAATGCTGCAGCCATTACGACCGTCAGATCATTGTTTGTCTCGAGGTAAGACCTTAGATTCAGGGCAACAAAGCTGGACGATGCGCCACCAGCTAAGAGTATAATCACCCATCTCAGAAATTCTACTGGAATAAGCAATGGGAGCTGAAAAAAGGAATGATCTTGAGCGTGTGAATGTTTAAACAGCATGTAGTACATCGATCGAATATAAAGCATGCAACACTATTTTAGGTTGACTTTATGTCACGGTACAGTGTCATCGAAAGTTAAGTTACCAAACCATCTTTAGTGTTACTGATCTTAAATTGGTTAGTATTAAAAGCAAAAGAGGCAGAAGTTACTGGAGATACTTACAGAGGTTGGAACGAAGATGAAGAGAGAGTATCCCCAGAGGCACCAGAATCTTAGAAGATCAGCTTTGGACCCCATATACCGGAGTGAGAAATAAAATGCCAGGGGCACAATTATTGCATAGCCATATATTATAGATGCTGCCAAATTCATGTAGTTCACATCAAAGACCCAAGGAGCAGCACTGTCGGTTCGTTTCTTGACGAGATACGTGGCACAGTTTCCGAGGGAAGCAAGCACAAACACAAGCGTAGTGCAGATCCAGACAAGTCCATACCTAACAGAGCGATAAGATGCACACAGGAGTCATTTATCTAGAAAACTTTGTGAAAAGCCTGGCTTTTAGCCAGTCTTTAGAGGATAAAACGCCTTTGTTAATTGAATATATGCACTTGTTCTGATGCTAGCCAACCATTTGTCCAAGAGCAAAGGAGTTTTTTTTTTTTCCTCGTGTTTGAAGTAACAGAGGAGTAATGCATCCTATTAACTTGCAAAGCTATCCAGTTTCTACGTAACTAAGCTATTTACTGAGAATACATGATATACTGAAAATACAAAGGGCGCACAAATTAGTCTTCCCTCAACCAGATATATCCTACTGTCAGATCATAGGTTTTCTATGCAAGAAGATGACACTACATCAACCATATCATAAACTAATGTTATAGACTAAGAAAATAGCTACAAGCCTAAAAATTTAATGTCAGGAACTGTTTTAACAAGCGACAGCTAACAAATGGCATAAGGAAACTGGATCTGGAAGCAGGCTAAGTCTACAACAAATCAGCTCCAAAGGGATAATTCAAAAGTATAGTTACACAAAAAGTTGAACCCAAGACAGAAAAATTGAAGAGTAAAGCAGGAAGATCTCTCAACACCCAAAGATCCCTTTGTTTCCCCTGATAACATTCCTGGTTTCGAAACTTGAAACTATGGTTTTAATCATCGAATACCAATAGCTCTACTGGGAATCTCTACTCCTATAGAACTACTTGTCTAATGCTGGCAACACAAAAGCATTCCCCAAACCTAAGACATATCAAAGTCATTCCTCTGCCTTGTCACAACTGGAATATGTTTTCGAAAATGATTCAGAAGATAACACGTAAAACACTAACAATTTTATAGCTTGACTGAGCAGTGGACTGATTAAAGATATCTCAATAGGAGACGCCAAAGAACTCTCACAGAGCAAAGCAGCCACCAACAAGAGTCAGGGGGTATTGAAAGACTTACAAATCAGGGTTTGCATCAATCTTGCTGAAAAAATCTGCACTTGTGGGATATAACGAGCTCATCAATCTGTTCAGAACAACATCCGTGTCCACGTCGAAGTACTGAGTATATGAGTAGACGTTGAAGAATCCCTTCCAGTTGTTTGATGGCTGCTGCTCAGGTGCTTCTACAGTGTGTAGTAAAATAAATGATCATATAGGACAGAACAATGTATACAGGACATGCAGAAGAAAAACGTTCTCCACTCACAGAAGCATTTCTTTCAACCATGTTATCGAAACATCTATGTAATTGTGACTACTGATAAATATATATATACCTATTGGACTCTCAAGAGTTTGATATCCTTTTGCATTGTTTCCTTGATACGGTGGAAAGATTTGCATGTTTGCTGATGCAGAAGGGCCTGCAATACAGTGCACAGCAAACACTTTCACTACAGAAAAAACTCATTTTCCGGAAGATCATTCAAACGGAAAGTAGCAAGAGAGCACACCTTCATTTACGCTTGCTATTGGTACATTTGTGTTTTTCTTGTCGTCACTGATCACAGCCTTAATACAAAAAAAATTACAGATTTTTTTTATTGTATTAGTAAAGATAACGAAGGATAGTGATAGATTCACCCGAAACATGTATCTTTAAGCAGTTTAATCCAAAACGAAGCCAATCATGCAACCATTTTAAATGCAAAGCTAAGTATGTTTCCTAAAGTAACTCAAGAATCCTCTCGTGAGATGGAGGAAAACTTCGATTAACATTTATCAGGTATAAAAACCCAGAAATACGAATTAATGAAATCGTGGTCGCGGGTGGAAAAAAATAAGGCAACAAACCTATAAATTTCAAAAATTCTATATCGCAATGAAATTAAAAAAAAAAAAACCCTTGAACGATTCTAAAATTGGTAAAATCGTATAAGAAATGGATGTGTTCTAGACTTACGGGAACTGAACCAAGCAAATGACTCGACTGTAGATTAGCAAACGACTCATCCATCGAGAGCAGAGAGATAAGGATATCAAAAAAAGCGAAGCTCAGTGATTGAAGGCCGAATCTTATCTCATCCGAGAATCGATAAGATCGGGGAAAAAGGATCGTGCTTTTCTCAGAAATTTAAAAGGTTTCTGGGTTTTCTTCTCCTCCGTCGTCGTGGAAGAAGAAGATATTGGGAAAGGAAGACGGAAACCGAGGCAAACGTGAGAAACGAGAGACAAGTCACGCGCGCGCTTTTTTAATAGCAAGTGAGTCACACGCACCGTTTACACCACGTGACTGGGCCACACAATCACAAAGTTTTTTTTCAATCGGCCCATAATTAAATTTTGACCCGAATCGATTCGACCCGAATAGACCCGACCCGTACAAGGAGCGTCGCGAGAAATCCACAGTGTTTTTCCCTCTTTGTCTTCCCTCCCGAAGAGAAAGCTAAACGGAGCCCTAGACTGGCTTTATCACTCGCCAACACACTTGGTTTTCACCAACCGAGCTCTGTGTTTACCTCCATTTTTTAGATTGTTCGTTTCTCTAACCGGAGAAGATGGATACGAGAGAAATCAATGGTTCTGCCTCCGCCGCGAGATCGATATCTCTTCCTCAGCAGCCTAATTACAGCAGCAAGCCTGTTCAGGTCTTCCGCTTGAATACTTTTGAATTTTTTTTTTGTCGAATTTTTAATTTCCGTGAAGCTTAGCCCAGGTCTTAGGATATTTAGATGCTTCTTCTGCTTTTAGCTTCTTCTACCTTCAGGATTGTTGCTTCAGCTTCATTGTGTTTGTTTGCTCGTGGGAGGTATTGTAGCCCTTAAATACATCTGTCTAGTGGCTACAGGCATTGTTGGTGTCTGAGTGTTGAAACCATTTTGTGTTCTAGTTACTTTTCTCTCGCTTGTTCAGTCATCTTAGTCGCATTTCAGGTGAAAATTAGGATGATTACTGGGTTGGCTAGGTTGATAGTTTGGATATTTGCGTATTTAGTGATGAAATTTGAGCTGAATGTTCGGAATTGTTGTTTTAATTCCCCATGCTTATTACTACAGGAGGCGTTGAGGCATTTGGCATCAATCAACCTCAGAGAGTTGTGTAATGAGGCGAAAGTTGAGCGCTGTCGTGGAACCAGAAACTCGGCGAGCTGTGGAAAATACGTGAGCTATGTGCTGAACCCATGTGGACATGCCTCCTTGTGCACAGAGTGTTGTCAGTGGTGTGAGGATTGTCCAATCTGTAGAAGTCGGCGACCAAAAACTGGGTATAGACTTCAGCTGCGTCTCTACGACGAGTGTGTAGAAGCTGGTCTAATCTCCCCAACACATGAAGAGGCATCACAGGATTCGGATGAGGATGAACATCAATTGGAAGCTGATGTTCATCGCCTTTATTCTCTGTTCGATGTTGCCATGAACAACAATTTGATATCTGTGGTTTGCCATTGTATCCTTCTGTTTGCATTTATGCTTGCTGTCAGATTAATTCATTTAGTATTTTAGTTTCCTGTTCGATTTTCCATGCATCTCATATAGATTTGTATTCATGTGTTGTCTCATTTAACAGTTGTTAGGGCAGATCTTCATATGATAAGGCATGTGTTGTTAGAACTACGTTTATATTGGGAATTTAGGTTTATGTAATTTTAGGTAGTTCTGGCTCCCTGATGGACATATTGTGCATTATGCTTATATCATTCTCTTAAAAAGTATATTATGTTCGATGTGTGATTGACATCTTCTTGACAGAAAATGAATAGATATCACCAGTGTCTGTATGGATGAGACAGCTGTATCTAGTGACCCGGTGATTGCCTTCTTGCTGGATGAAGTTGTTGTCAAAAATTGGGTCAAGCGTACATTCCGGAGCATCTTGTCTGAACTTCAACAAATCTGTATCCTTTTAGCTGTTGGAATGTTTATAGTTTTTTAAGCCAGTAGTATTTGTGTGCAACTTGGGGTCTGTTTATCTTTAATATTGGTTCTCAGATAATCTTGAAACAAAAGAGATGCAAGGGTGGTTAGATAAACTCCTAAAGTGTTCGAAACAGGTGGCTGGCATATGTAGTGTGTTTGAAGTTATGGAGTCAGCTTTTAAGGGTTCTGTTTCACCTCAGCTTCAAGACGTGCAGAAGCTTAGGGATAACATTGGAAAAACAAAGCAGGTCAGCTAAAACTTTATTCCATTTATATCCAAACAGCGTTGCAAAAAGTATGCCTTAATAACTCTCTTTACTTGTTTTCATATACGGCTTACAATAAGTTTAACCGCTTGATTGCATTTGATTTCAGCATCTGGACATAATGGTGTGGTGCATAAGACACGGATTTCTGGAAGATGTGAAGTCTCGATATTCTAATCTCACGTCGTGGAATGTTCTTGTACGTGAAAGGAAATCGAATGCTATTAAGCGTGCATGGCCTGATCCCGTAGACCAGTCTTCAGATTGCAACGGACAGGGTGCTTTCCTCTTTATCGAGGACGCTTTAGAAAATCTTGAGGGAGAGCCGGAGTACAGTCAGGACATAGGGGCAGACCTAGAAGTTGGATGTTTGAAGAACAATGAGAGATCGGTTCTTAGGTCCAAAATTGATGGAACTTCAGGATCTTATCCATTTGAGAATCTTCGAACTGCTGCCGACATACTCTTTTTGCATGGCAGTTCAGATTTGGTTGTTGCTAAGCAAGCAATTGTATCCTTTTACATTACCTTGCACTTTACTTTTCGTAAATACTCAGCAATCAGTATACTACCTTCACATGATTTTCTTCTTCGCTGGTTTCCTTAACCAGGAAATAGTTTCTTTACTACCTGTTTGATCGGCATTGGACTACCCCTGAAAAGTATTGGAAGCACATTATAGATGATTTTGCTGCTACCTTTGGCATAACCAGGCATTCGTTGCTGGAGTCTTCTGTATTTTATCTTCTCGATGATCACACCGAGGAGGCACTCGAGGTACCTTTTGGAAATATGTATTTTTGTGCATGATTTAATATTCTCGCTAAATAATATGCATCCCTACTTACACCACGCATTTATTAACTGGTGTAGCTTACAAACTTTTACTGATTATATTTCAGGAAGCTTGTAGGACTCTTCCTGAAATATGTGGTCCAGAAACCTATCCCAAGGTTGCGCAAGTCCTGTTAGAAAGGGAAAACCCTGAAGCAGCTCTTATGGTCTTGCGTTGGTCTGGTCGTGATGGCGTATCAGAATTGGTTTCAATCGGTGAAGCTGTCACAGCTGTTCGTGTGAGAGTGGAATGTGGTCTTCTGAGTGAAGCATTCACATACCAAAGGACACTCTGCTTGAAAGTAAAGGAAAATAAATTGAAAAGTGGAGCTGTGAAACACGTGTCTGATGATCTAGACAGCTGGAGTTGGAGGGAATGGATGGAGATACTTGTCAACGAATTCTGCTGTCTATCTATTAGGAGAAACTTGGTTGATCGAATCATTGAGTTACCGTGGAACCCAGATGAAGAGAAATATCTGCACAGATGCCTATTAGATTCTGCAATTGATGACCCCTCATCAGCTGTGGGTAGTCTTTTGGTTGTCTTTTATCTTCAGGTAAGTAATCATATTTTCATGCTTAAATCAACCTCACTTGAACAACATGGACTGTGAATGGTTTGTCAGTTCGAGTAGAAACAGTCAAATAGTTATAAAGACAATAGCTTAAACCTCCAGATCTTTAAGCTACATATCTCATAAGGGATTCCATGGTGGCTCTGTATATAATGATCTCATCCTACTAGATACTGATGTATTTTCTCGTATTTTCTGTCTAGGCTCAACTAATTTTTCTTATTCAAGCTTGATGTAGTTTAGGATGTTGAAAGCAATGAACAAGCATAAAATTATTTGAACAAGGAGGCATACTTCATCACTATAAAATTAGCTTATTCTCTGGAAAAAATGTCTTTTGTATTTGGGTGGATATTTTTGGTCTGTCTTTGACTAGAAACTACTGGTTGTTGTCATTGCTGCAGCGTTACCGTTACATCCAGGCATACCAAGTGGATCTTAAGCTCCAGAAAATTGAAGAGGCTTTCGTATCCGAGAATCGTATTGGGGAAGAAGCTATGTCCAGAATGCAATCACAGAGTCATTGGAGAAAAGATTTAGTTGTAAGTATTCCAGCCATCTTTCACATTCTTGCGTTTTAGTGCGTAGTTGCTACTTCAATACTTGCAGGATTGTATAATATTTCTGAATCTTGAATGGTCTATGTATGTGCAACATGACCTGATATTGGCTATTTCAACTTGAAATTTAAACCCTCCCGTGTTTCTGTTGCTTTGAAACAGGACAAAGCCATAGATTTACTTCCAGTAATTCAGCAGCAGCAACTTAGGTCTGGACAATTTTCTGAGATGGAGGATACCTCTGAAAGTGCTTCTGAAGCAGCAAGAAACTCTGATCTTCCTGATGCGCCTGAGATGGTTACTTCCTCTATTCCGTCTTCTACTACTTCCGTGTTTCTCCAACGGGCCAACAATGCCGGCGCTAGAGAGCCAGCGGCTAATAATGGCAGCCCTTTTCAGCCCAGTCATCTGATAGGAAACGCTTCCGCTGATAATTCCCATGGACGGCTATTTACAAGCACAAATAGAGGACACAAGAGTGAAGTTAGAAGCATAACCAAGACTCTGAAGTTCGGTGAAGTGTCCTCCTCTCCGTTCAAAGATCTTAACAGAGCTCGTGGGAACAGTCAGCTCAAAGGAAAAAGAACTGAAGAAACCTCCCCAGAAACAAATGTTGATAGATTCATGAAGAACAATATAAGCCCTCCTTATCTCCGCCGTGCAACAGCAAACAATCCTGTAACGATGAAACCTAGCAGCAACCATCTCAATGGATCTGCACAGAAACCGGAGTCCACTTTCTTTGGCACAAGGATGCAACCAGACAAAGAACTCATGTCCCGTAACTTTGTCGATTTGGATGATCCAATGGACATGTCTTCAAGGTACATTTCCTCTCTTCTTTTTAATTTTTTTGTGGGTTTGCATAAAAAGTTCTGTTTAGTATTGGTTTGAGGAATTTCGGCCCAGTTCTTATATTGATTTTGAATGGTATAGCTTGAAGAACAGCAATGTCTTGGCCACTGAGAGCAGAAATAACAGTGGAGGATTGAGGTGGAGGTCAGATGAAGCAAGCGACGAGGAAGATGAACCGAAATGGGGCATGGAACCGATTAGTTCCGGTTCAATGCCGGTTAAGGGAAGGAGACGTAGATTCGCTGCAAGATGAAACTAAACGAACACTCAGGGAAAAAAACATCATCAATTGTGTTAAGCATAGAGAGAGAGAGTGAGCAAGTGGTGCAAAGAGGGAGAATAGTAGAGAGAGAGCTTTGTTCTCCCAATTTTTTTTGTACTCGGGAAAAAATAATTTTTAATTTCATTTGTGGAGATATTGTTTTTTGAATATCATTTTGATGAGCATGAGTATGTTTAATTTTTACATTGGTGCAGCAGTTACATGAAATAAACATAAATATTATTCATAATTCATCTTAACATAAATTACATTTCATATATATTAGCAGCTACCTACAAGATTTTGTGGTTGTCACACCAAAATTAAACAGAAAAATTCAGAAGTTTTTTTTTTTTTTTTTTGACGACAATTCAGAAGTTTATTGATACAATTTTTTTTAAAAAAATACTATTAATTTCAAAAGTTTTATTTTATTTTACCTTTAGCCCTCAATTTTATTTTACGTTTAGCCCCCAAAAAAAGATAAGTAGGGTTTCTTCAATCATTACCTCTCTGTTCCGACGCTACATTGGTCGAGAAGGTATCATGCAGCTTAAACCCTAAACCTTAATCTTTTGAGATGAAACACAATTAATGTCCCATGTCTATATATATATAAATCAAACCCTCTTTCTCTGTTTTTGCCTTGTGTATTCTAAAATCATAATTTCATATTAGGTTTTTTGTTTTGCCTTAATTCCGCAGGTGTTGTTGGATCCTACAATGGCTACTCGTGAGTTAATTTACCTTTTTTTAGCTTTATACGACCCTCTTCGTCTCATTAACTGGCTTATCGCTATTATTTTTGTTAATAATAATTGCGAAATTGGTGTATTTTCCAAACTCACAAATGCTTATTGCCTCGTTTCTTCCACAACTTCCTCTACAAACTTCGTCACGTACACACTTCGATACAAAATTTTAGACTATTTTGGCATATACGTATTATATCACTTTTAAATGTTTAAACGCTCTTTCGTAGTGGCTTTGAGTCGAAGTTAAAAGGTGTTATCCCCATTGTTATGACCTCGATAGGAGAATCCGGAACTATCGGTAGTCTATGTGTTGGAAACAAAAACGGACTTCTTCTTTCTCACACCATTACAGACCAAGGTGATTAGTTTTTTCCCCCCACAGTTTACAAGTTGCATATAGTTTTGGAAATTTGTAATGATATGTTTTATAATATGAACAACAGAGCTTCAACATGTAAGAGATAGCTTGCCTGACCAAGTTGTAGTCCAGCGAATTGAGGAACCTCTATGTGCACTCGGAAACGCTATAGCTTGCAATGATTACGTGGCTCTTGTGCATCCAAAGCTCGAGAAAGAAACCGAAGAGATCATAAGCGATGTTCTTGGTGTTGAAGTTTATCGACAAACCATTGCGAATAACGAACTCGTTGGAAGTTACTGTGCCTTATCCAACATAGGTGGAATGGTAAGAAAACTACAAACATAACATAACGCATCTTTGTTTTAGGGTTGGAATGTTTTTTTGCGTTTGCTTTTACTAGCGTTTACATGTTATATCACTTACAATTTTTCAAAACTATTTTATGTCTTCTTCATTAAATAGGTTCATCCCGACACCAAAGTGGAGGAAATGAAGGAACTGGCGAATCTTCTTCAGGTGCCTTTGGTTGCAGGAACAGTGAACCGTGGCAGCCAAGTGATATCTGCGGGTTTGACTGTGAACGACTGGACTGCTTTCTGTGGGTCAGACACAACTGCTATAGAGCTATCTGTTGTTAACAGCATCTTCAAGCTAGCCGAAGCTCAGCCCAATTTTGTCGTTGGTGAAATGAGGAAGCCTTTGATCGATACATATGTTTAAACCTTGCTTATTGTTTTTTTTGGGGGGGTTTACGAAGTGTTTTATGCTTAAATGTGTTGCAAGAATGAGCTTATGATCTTTAGGACTCAAGTATTTAGTATCAACTATCAACTTAATTTCAGTATTGATTTCGTTTATGTTTAGTTAGCCCAATGTTTTTGTCTTCTATGTTTCAGAATTTGAAAATTAAGATTTTTTTTTTTTTTTTGTTATTGGTATTGAATAACTGTACTTATTAAAACCTCCAAACAACAAATTAAGATGCTTTTTGTTTGTTTGTAGAGGGTACTAAACTAGTGCAAAAAACATTCAAGAAACGTTTCCATATGCTTAAATCAGAACCAAACCGAAAGGGTTTTCATGGATTAGTATTTTAAAACCAAAAGAAAAACTATATAAAAAAATAAAACGACTTTTCTTGTGAATGAATGCAATAAAACCGAATAAATCAAAATTTATAATAATGTGTATTACAAACAAATAAATTAGTTTTAGCCATTGGTCTCTTCTACCACGGCCTCTTCCGATATAGGTTCCTCCTCACTTCTGCTCGGTCGAGCATTTCCTCCACTTCTCCGATCATCACTTGATACCAACGAATCAATATCCACCACCGCCACCGGTTCAGCTTCTCCGACGACATTCTCCCGTTCTCCAATCAGTGTACCTATGCTAAACCCTCGAAGATATTTTGTGACCACGTATTATATATCTGATTTACGTAAAATGAAAAAAAGCCACGTAAGATATTACATTTGTGTATAACATATACACGTAGGATAACCAAAGATCCCAAAATGTTGTTTTCTCTCACGTTAGTATAATAAAATAAGGTCTTTAAAGAAATCACTTTCACAATAATATCTATCAGGTTGTCTTTGCGATGTCGTTGCACATACAGTTGCTTGAGAACACGACAGGCTGATAAAGGCCTAACAAGAGCATCTTCATCTTTGTACACCACATAGACAAGAAAATATATTCTAGAGATGGCAGGCAAAACCCAAGAACTAGGAGAATCTTATTGCAGGCATGTATCTCACTACGTCTTTCTCTCCGTTTCTTCCCCCATACTCTTCCCACGTAAACATCTCGAGATGATTTGACAAACATTCTGGAACACAACTCGGCTGGTGAAACACAAATAATGTCCCATGTCTATATATAAAAAAAACCCTCATTCTCTGCTTTTGCCTTGTGTATTCTAAAATCATAATTTCATATTAGGTTTTTTGTTTTGCCTTAATTCCGCAGGTGTTGTTGGATCCTAAAATGGCTACTCGTGAGTTAATTTACCTTTTTTTAGCTTTATACGACCCTCTTCGTCTCATTAACTGGCTTATCGCTATTATTTTTGTTAATAATAATTGCGAAATTGGTGTATTTTCCAAACTCACAAATGCTTATTGCCTCGTTTCTTCCACAACTTCCTCTACAAACTTCTTCACGTACACACTTCGATACAAAATTTTAGACTATTTTGGCATATACGTATTATATCACTTTTAAATGTTTAAACTTTCTTTCGTAGTGGCTTTGAGTCGAAGTTAAAAGGTGTTATCCCCATTGTTATGACCTCGATAGGAGAATCCGGAACTATCGGTAGTCTATATGTTGGAAACAAAAACGGACTTCTTCTTTCTCACACCATTACAGACCAAGGTGAATATTAGTTTTCCCCCACATTTTACAAGTTGTATATAGTTTTGGAAATTTGTAATGATATGTTTTATAATATGAACAACAGAGCTTCAACATGTAAGAGATAGCTTGCCTGACCAAGTTGTAGTCCAGCGAATTGAGGAACCTCTATGTGCACTCGGAAACGCTATAGCTTGCAACGATTACGTGGCTCTTGTGCATCCAAAGCTCGAGAAAGAAACCGAAGAGATCATAAGCGATGTTCTTGGTGTTGAAGTTTACCGACAAAACCATTGCGAATAACGAACTTGTTGGAAGTTACTGTGCCTTATCCAACATAGGTGGAATGGTAAGAAATCTACAAACATAACATAAAGCACCTTTGCTTTAGGGTTGGAATGTTTGTTTGCGTTTGCTTTTACTTGCGTTTACATGTTATATCACTTACAATTTTTTCAAAACTATTTTATATCTTCTTCATTAAATAGGTTCATCCCGACACCAAAGTGGAGGAAATGAAGGAACTGGCGAATCTTCTTCAGGTGCCTTTGGTTGCAGGAACAGTGAACCGTGGCAGCCAAGTGATATCTGCGGGTCTGTGGGTCAGACACAACTGCTATAGAGCTATCTGTTGTTAACAGCATCTTCAAGCTAGCCGAAGCTCAGCCCAATTTTGTCGTTGGTGAAATGAGGAAGCCTTTGATCGATACCTATGTTTAAACCTTATTTTTTTCTTTTTTTTTTATGCTTACATGTGTTGCAAGAATTAGCTTCTGCTCATTAATACTCTTTGGTATCAACTGTCAACTTAATTTCAGTATTAATTTTGTTTATCTTCAGTTAGCCAAATGTTTTTGTCTTCTATGTTTCAGAATTTGAAAATTAAGATTTTTTTTATTATTGGTATTAAATAATTGTACTTATTAAAACCTCCAAACAACAAATCTCCCTATTTAAAATCCAAGGTGAGACAAAGTCTGTCCTAAGATTCGATATGTCCAATGATGTTGATGGCAAGTTTCTTGATGAAGGATCTGACAAAACTTCAGATTCAAGCCACATGTAAGATATGACTTAGGTTAATATGTTTTTTTTTTGTTTGTAGAGGGTACTAAACTAGTACAAAAAAAAAATTCAAGAAATGTTTCCAAATGCTTAAATCAGAACTAACCCGAAAGGGTTTTCATGGATTAATATTTTAAAGCCAAAAGAAAGACTATATAAAACTTCTCATATATGTTCCTAGTTTAGGAGAATTTTGAAGTAAATACATGAGTAGTTCCAACCAATGTAAGACATATGGCTTTATTTCATAAACTATAAGCTGACAACTGCAAATCATACTCATAAACTAAACCAATCGATACCATAAATAAAACTTCAAACTTAAAAAGGTTTCTCCGATCACTATAGATTAAACTTAAAACTTACAAAAAAGTTTTTTCAAATCACCATACACAGAACCATACTAAGACTAATAGATGCCTAGGCGATAAAAAAAAATTTAATTTATTAAAAAGATATATAAAATAAGAATTGACTAACAAATGTCTAGAATAATAAATATTGTCATATGACAAAAATAAAATATGAAAAAATAATTCAGAATATAATTTTTTTTTAATTCGTTCTCTTTCATAAACAACAATAAAAATTATCACAGAAGCTGTTTTTACTATAATCTTTCTAATTTTTAATTGGTTTTAGTAATTTTTTCTAGTTTTATCAAATATTCTTATATAATTATTTTGCTAAATGTTAAAATATGATTATTATTTGGGTTGAAGATAAATGTAATTTATGTTTGAGCTGGATGAACTTACTGCTTATTAGAAGTAAACATATCTTATTTTTACTAAATCATTATATTTTATGCAGATGTTGTTAAAGTCTTTTTCGAAACACATACTGTAATAAACTATTACAAACACCAAAATATGGGGACCATAGGCAAGTGTTTTTTTTATGAAGGCATAAGGGCGGCTCTGAAGTCCATAGATTACATTTTAAACTTAAAAAGAGGTTTTTCGATCACATAATTAGTAGTATATTTTTTCTGTCACCTTTATCGCCATCACTGTTTTGTCATCATTTGGCCTACTTAAAATCTAAGGGGAGATTATATATGTCCAATTATATTGATGGCAAGTTTTCTAACGAAGGATCTGATAGAACTTCAGATTCAAGCCAAATGTCAGATATGACTTGGCATATTCCTTCCTCTACCTCAGGGTTAAGCGCTAAGTTTTTTGTAGCCTAATGAAATCAAGATATTAAAACAAATTAAGATGCTTTTTTTAGAGGGTACTAAATTAGTGGAAAAAAAAAATTTAAGATATGTTTCCAAATGCTTAAATCAGAACCAATCTGAAAGGGTTTTATGGATTAATATTTTAAAACCAAAAGATATTAATCATTTAAGCATTTGGAAACTTTTCTTAATTTCTTTTCCTACCACGGCCTCTCCTCTTCCATCAGTATAGGTTCTTCACTTCTTCTCCGTCAAGTACTTTCACCACTTCTCCAATCATCACTTGGTACCAACGAATCAACTCACTCACCAGTAAGCGTTCCTTCTCCGATGCAGCTTTGCCGACGACATCCACCATGTCAATAAATGATCTCGGTTTAGTTATTCTTTATATAGAAGGTGAAAAACAAACGGAACTTTACGAATAACAAACATAATACCTTAAAGTATTGTGGGTGTTATTTTAACTCACTAAATTAACCTTGCGGCAGAATAAGGAAATGATGATTTCTCCACATGTTTCTTTTTTGCCTCTTTATTGTCGGGTTTTTACGACGACCTCAAGTATCTTTTAAATAAGTACTAACGAATAATTACATTTTCATTGTAAAGACATATACATGAGTAAATCGTCATGCAATGCACCAATCCTGTCTTCGGTTCTCTCACAACTCTTCACAAATCGTCGGCTACTGTGTAGCAATATTGGTATCTCACATGATGCGACGTGCACTGAGCCGAATAGATGCAAAAGCTGTCCTAACATCTTTTTTCTTAATGAATCTAAAGTACTACCAAATACCAATGTTTTGGGGTTTTAAAAAGATAGTCAAAAGAAGGTGAATGCAACAGTTTCTTTTTTCTATACGAAGACACAAAATGTTTTAGGGCTTTGAAGTTATACATTCGATATTTCCGTCTAGCCTTTCTATATTTTTTAAAGTTAAGATTCCATTTCGTGACCAAAAAAAGAGACCAGTTTCTTAGTCCACTATTAGAATTGCACGTTCTTTGTATATAAGGAAGTTTCTGTTACGTGTAGATATTATAGTCTTTAGGAACCGTGAACCACACGCAGCCAAGTGAATCGGCGGGTTGGACTGTGAACGACTGGATAACTTTCTGTGGGTCAGACACAAGTGCAATAGAGCTCTCTGCTGTTAACTATATATGTGACTATGTCTAAAGCTCCTTTTCTTTTTTTCGGGGTTGACCAAATGTTTATTCTTAAATGTGTTGGTGTTCTTTTTAGGACTCAAAGTTTTTAGAAGCAATTTCTTTGATGTTTTTTAAAAAAGATTGAAATTTATTGATCTATTATGATCACTATCTAAAAATATTTTAAAACTCGACCGTCTAGGCAAATGAAACTACCCTGACTTTTACCAAATCGGTTATAAAAGTCAACCACCTTTGTGTACATCAACATGTAAATTGAAAATAAATCTTTTTTTTTGGGTTATTAGTATTCAATAATTGTTCTTAAAAAACCTCCAAACAACAAATCTTCCATTTAAAATCCAATGGGAGACAAAGTCTGTCCTGAGATTCTATTTAAATTTGAAAACAAACCTTTATGTGATCCATCCAATCCAAACTAAGATCATATAGGAAGATAAAACCAGAACATTCAATGTGAGTGTCATTGAGAAATTTACAACGGAAACGTTCCAGTGAAGCGGATATGATCGAGTGTCCGACGCAGACCGTACTTACAAACCGCTGCATTTGCTGCTCTGAAACCTCCTCCATAGGCCGGAGACGCGTCATGAGCTATCTGATGCTTAAAGAACTCTCCAAGTTTCTTCTCCACGTTTGATTTACCTCCTTTCTTGTTTGAAGAAGATGATGATGATGATGACGTGGCCAATGACGTTGATGGCAAGTTTCTTGATGAAGGATCTGAGAGAACTTCAGATTCAAGCCACATGTAAGAGAGGACTTGGCATATTCCTTCCTCTACCTCAGGGTTAAGGTTCCTGTAGCCTAATGAAATCAAGAAATAATAACATATTAAGATGCTTTTATTTATTTGTAGGGGTACTAATTAAATGATGTGAACAAGAAATTCAAGAAACGTTTCCAAATGCTTAAATCAGAACCAAAACAAAAGGGTTTTCATAGATTAATATTTTTGATATATACATAAAATTCAAAACGAAGTTTATTGTAAAGGAATGCAATCAAACCGAATAAATAAAAAAATTCTAAAATAATGTGTTTCAAATCATATGTATTAAAAACAGATAAGTACCTTTAAGCCTTAGCCATCCATGCATTAGCTCGTGCGCAAGAATTGCTCCGGTTAGTAATCTTCATCCACCAAAGTTCCATGAGTTAGTAATCATTCAATGTTTTTTTTTTTTGGGTGGCAATGTGGAGAAGCTAATTTGAGAATGGAGCAAGTATTAAGTACCTTGGGAGGCCATAAAGAACGAGAATAGCAGTGACTTCACATTTACGTGTTAGCTTTTGAGGCTGAGTTCTCATACCAACAAGACGATGAGCGCCAAGTCTCGGTCTTTTAAGAACCTGCGAAGTACCAAAACAGAGCAAATTACTGTTTAGATATCAGAAATTAAGTAAGTTTTCTAACAAGAGTTTTCAAAAAGGCTTACACTTGTGACTGTCTGTTCTTCAGACAAACATAAACCCCTTGTCTCAGGCATGTGATGGTATCCCTATGGAAAAAAACAGAGGAATTATAATCATAATATAAGAGAAACTGAAAGAAAAAATCTCATGTGTAAAAACGAAAGATCAAAAGATTACGTTTTTCTCTCCAACGATAGCATCGTTAAGAGCTTCTCTTTGAACAAGAAGCATAGGAATCTGTTGATCAAGTTTCATGTACATTCCTTCGTAATAGTCTCTTATCGCGTGGTAAAGCGGTTGACAATCTCCAGTGTCGGTTATCGCGGTTTCCATACATTCTAAACATAAACTTCTCCCATCTTCTAACGTGTAATATCTCACATCCCATGACTTCATGATCACAACATAGAAAGAAAATAAAAAAACGCTATTGGTTTGTATGGACTTATCAATATTTTAAAGAGGGAATTTCGTTATTGATATTTATTTGATTACCTCCAAACGTTCGCAGCTACAACAACGAGCGGTTTTATCATATTCGTGAGATGGACAATACTTTTGGTTCCAAAATGGATGGCACCGATACTCGATCAAGCCAGCATCATTAGTTGGGATCTAAGAAGAAGAATGTAAAATCAATTGGTCCACTATATAATAACATGTAAAGTGCAAGACTAGTCTAGTCTACTAAATGTGTAGTTGCTTACGAAATGGTGACAAACTTCGCATTTTGGATGAGTAAGCTCTTTGAAACAAAGCTTATGGTAAGGCTTGGTTCCTGACAGAGAGAACTTGAATCAAGAGAGAAGACAAAACACACAACTTTAGTCGAACACTTGATAAGCATTAACAAAAACTTAGTATTCTTATATAATATATATACACAAGTAATATAAGTGTATATATACCTCATGCTCGGTGATGGGATAACAACAAGAATGGCAAAGGAAGCATTCAGGATGAAAGAATGTACCCATGCATCCTAAATAGTTCCCCATTCCAATATCGCGATTGCAACCACCGCATATTCTGCTAAAAAGTGAGCAAACAACGTTACCAAATGCGCGATTAGAAAAAGCTGAATATTATCGTTCTTTTTTTTTTTATTATAAAAGATGATTTTTTTTCCTTTAAAGAAGTTTCAAGAAATGTAATTCCTTATAGTTCTTTGGTTTTTTTTGCAATGCCAATTAATATGAGCTGTTCAAACTAGAGTTTCTAGTAAAATTTGCGATGTAACGTTTCTATCGTTTGAACTAATGTCACTGAAAAATTCTTTTTAATGTCTTCGGAAGCAATTATTGAGCTGCAATTCCAATTAATTAAACACTAAATTTGGAGGCGAATGAATAGGAGAATGTGTTTTGTTGTACCTTTGTCTTCGTCTGCACTGATAAGAAGATTCATAAGGAGGAATGAAAGATGATGGATTCAAGCCACCGTGAAAAGGCCTGGGAAAATCTCGATTATCATCGACTGACCAACCATACCCTGCTAAAAAAAAATTATGTAATAAAAAGTTCACTCTCTTATGCAATAGAATATAACGTTTTTTTCATGAACTTTGATTCTTTATTTTTTCCCTAATTTAATTTTAATTTCATGAATGTAGATGGAGATACCATGAGGGCGCTTCGTATCGTCAGCTTGTGAAAGTGAAATTGCGCGGTCGAGTTCTTCCTTGTCCCGTGCAGCTCTCGACCGATCGTCCTGATTCGTTAACATGATCATCCACACACACACAAATGTAAATTGACCTTTATAATAACATGTTATATAGTTTTATGGCTGTACGTCAGTTTTGCAAATTATTCGTTAATAATGACATCAGCAAAATAAAATAAAATAAAATAAATTGATGAGATAATATAACAAAGTTCAACTTTTTGTTTTGTTGTTGGAAAAATTAATTGTCCACCATATAGATTTCAACTTTTAAAGATTCTAATGACTAAATATCATTAGTAGTGCTTATGAGTATCAAAAATAGGCCACTTCAATCCAATCCAACTCTTCTATCATGCATGCAATGGGTGTTTTGTGTTTATTATTTATTTTACAAATTAAAAATTCCATTCCTAAGTCAATGAGCTGGGCAGCTCATATTAACTTTACAAAAAAACGTTATTAATTTTATATACTACGTAAAATACCTTAATAATCCAGTATATAATATGAAAAAATTAGAAGAAAAAACAAAAAAAATATATATATATATATCAAATTAAATCATGACTATGTTAATATTCTTCCAAAGCCTCACAAACAAATAAAATCTAACCCGAATTATTAATGAATATTAAAAAAGTAATATCTCAACTCAACTCAGCCCACTAAACAATAGTCCTAATTGAACCAACATATAGTAAACCGATTTCTACCTATTTTTGTCATCCTTAATAGTGCTCAAGACCACATTGTCACATCATCTCAGTTTAGGCATTAAGCCAACGAGCAATAAATATCAAATGGACCAAATAATTTTTATGTTTTCATGGATGTGACAATTTCACAGAATGTACAAGACGGTGAAGACCCGTGATATTTCAATAACATAAGGAAGAAAAGAGAAACAGTAGTAATATTCACATGTCTTTTGCATATTGCTTTACGATTAATTATCACATGTCTATAGTATATGTGTAGACTAGAATAGAAAGAAAAATAAACGAAAAGAGCTTATAAATTTAGTTTATAATTAAGATAATAGTAATTACCGAAGAGGAAGGAGGTAGAGGAAAGACCATGTTCTCGTCCTCTTGAAACTGAGGAGGATGATGATTAGTGCGAGCACCACCACCATTAGAACCACTCTTGAAAAGCTTACTCACCCATTTCATCAACTTCCATTTCTTCTCTCTGTATGTTGACGAAGATGACGACCCAACTTCCCCTGTAATATTATCAAAACGTTAGGGTACTAAATCTTGAAAGACTAGAATTTGGAAAGAGAAGAAAACGCACCGAAGATACAAGGATTGGAGATATGGTTGACACGAGCAACACCATAGGAAGAAGAAGATGAAGAAGAGGAAGAGGAAGAAGAATCCATGATGATGAAGAATGGCCCACACGTGTTTATATATACTTGAAAACGTGCGAGTGAAGCGAAAACGACGGCCGGAGAGAGAAGCAAAGAAAAGAAGAGGAGGAGGAAGAAGAGGGAAGAAGGGAGAAGAAGAAGTTATAAGTCATTAAATGTTGTTATTAGAGAATAAAAACATATATGAAAAGAGAACAAAGAAAGAGAGAATCTTTGCAGAAGAGATCGGGCAAAAAAATTTAAAGAAAAAGAAAAGGAAGAGATGCTTAGCTTCTGAAAGGAAAGGAACAGAGAGAAAGAGATGTTTTTTCAAGAGAATATTTTTATATAATTTGTTTTTCTTGTTTGCTGAGGCGGAGAATCTCTCAAACAACGGTGTTGCGAGGAGGAGGATAGTTGAAACCTTTTAAAGCTTCTCTCTTTTTCATTTTTTAAAAATTTATCTTTTTTTTTTTGTTGGAGAGAAAAACCAAAAAGTGAGAGAATTGTAAACGAAAGTAAAAAAAAAAACTTCTTTTTGGGTTTTGATGGAGACGCTTGGTCCGTCGGCTTCTACTCTTCCAATTAAACTTTGTGGATTGACTTTGGTTTGGTTTTATTTCTGCCTTTTTTGGTTTAATAAATTCTTGATTTATTATTTTTGTTAAAGTTTATTATAAATCTTGATATTGTGGGATTAGTTCTTCGATTTTGTGTTCCAGTTTCGCTGGACTTGCGTTTACAGTAACTAGTCTATCTAAAAAGGTACAAAACCATTCTATGGAAATATAGTATTAATCCGAATAATGGTACATCAGTATTATTAGTATAAACTACAAAACACTATATACCTTAACCTTAGTCATAAAACATTGTTATAGTATGAACTAAACCGTTAAACTTATATTTTTTTCCTTAATGTAGCGTGACTTTAGGCTCTACACGATAAAGATGCGCTTTTGCAACGTTAACACAAGTAGCTTTATATATAATGGCAATTATACTTTTATGAAACACAAATGACAGACGAATTATAATAATATAATTTAGGGCATCAATCTGTAGGAAGGTCGTGACCGGTGGTGACGCAACAAAGGTGAAAGAGAGGCTTCAAAGTGGAATCAAACACCCAATTTTTACAGAGCAAAAGCCTAACCTATATTTTAAAAGTAATTTTTCAATTACGTTTTCTTCATAAATCAAAATTAATATTTTGGGTTAAAGACGGCATCAGATCAAATCTAGCTTTTTTGAGGAGCAGTTGCCACCTTGAGATCTGACCATTTCTTTATCAACTTGCTAAGTTGATATATGTATGGACGATCCCATACCTTTTTTTTAATTAAAGCTGCTAATTTTTGGAATTTTGCAATTAAATAATGTTCTTTCAGTTTTATAATCTATAGGAATTGCAGATCATGAATTTAACGTTTGAAATGTAAAAAAAAAATCTAAGTTATACATATTAAAAATTGTATTTAAAAATGTATAATAGAAAAGAAATTCAAAAGTCAACTTTGAAAAGAATATATGATATACTAGTTAACTTGCATGCAAAATTTCAAAAATGATATTAAACCGGAAAGAGCAAATTTTATCTAAAGTATCTATTCTCTTTGATGATTTGATTGTAATTTGGAACTTTATTGAGTATGATTGTTAATATGATGACGAAAAGGGAACTTATAACGCTCTATGGCTTCTTAGTTTTTAGAATATTTTGAACTCCTAAGAGCATATATTTTTATATATAATCTATGAATCAATTTATAATATACGTAATGTACGTTGTGTTTATTATGATTATTCTTACAAAATAAAGTAGATATGTATCACAGGAAACGAGAGGCTATAAAGGCCGAGCATGAGTAACCGATGCAAAATTCAAGATCCGAAGCATATGTCTTTATCTTTAATCACCTAAAATCCAACAATTTACTTTCTTATCTTATGAGACATCATATCCAACTTGTTAAAAATCAACTTTGTATCTGTAAAGATGTTTTGGTAAAAAAAAGCCTTTGAGATGAGAAACGTGGAGGTGAGTTGGAAAGAATGAATCAAGCCCTTTACGAGATTTCACCCCACAAAAAGAGAACTTTACGATCAAGAAAGTAAAAAAAAACGGAGACATAAATGAATAAATACTGTTTTGTCACTGTATCATATGGATGGGCTCTTTTAGGCCTCGACGTATTGGATCATCCAGCCCATCAAATTTTCATTTCCAACCCAAAATAAATTAGAGACCAATCTAAGTACCCGAGTTCGAGGCTTACGTGCAACATGGAGCAGAGACCATTTACGTTTGTGGACTTGCCCAACATCCACAAGTCTTATCAGTGAAAACATGAAATAATGTTATATTAGCAATTCCAAAATGTTGATAAAAACAGGTAGGATTGGTCCACAACAAAACATATTATTTAAGTAATAATATGGTCAAATGAATTCGAATGAATAATACGTTTCTAGCAAATTATGTGTAAAGTGGCCACCAATAAAAAATCAAAAAAAAATGTTTGAGTTCATCATATTTACAAAAATATACAAATCATATATTATTGGGCTAATTAACGGCCCATTATTCATTAAGCTGAAGCCTTTTAATGACTCTAGTCAACGGCGCCGTTTTGGGTCTCCCCTATTTTTTTTTGTTCCTCTTATCACTATCTCCTCAGTTTCTTTCGATTTCAATTTTCAAAGATTTTTAAAGGTGTTGTTAATAAATTCGTCTCCATCTCTGTTTTCCGATACTTTACTTTCGTTTCATTTGTTTATAATAATGTAGTTTTCATCAACGCAAAAATAAATTCGAATTAAAATTGGGAAGTCTTTGCGCGTAATTTCTCAACTTTTTTCACTGATTGGATTGCATTTCTCTCGCAGTCTCCACCTCTCGGGGCTTTCTTTTTCCTTCGTTTGGGGTCGAAAAATTAGGGTTTTTCTTGTCGTGGTTCTGTTAATGGCGACGACGCAGGGGCAGCAGACGCCGATTGACTCGGCGGTTTTAGATGATATAATCAGGCGTCTCACGGAGGTCCGGTTAGCTAGACCAGGAAAGCAAGTCCAGCTCTCGGAGGCTGAGATCAAACAGCTCTGCAATACAGCTAGAGATATTTTTCTTCAGCAACCCAATTTGCTAGAGCTTGAGGCACCCATCAAAATCTGTGGTATGTTTATGGAAACCGAATTGATTTTTTTTCTGCTGATTTTAGGGTTCCTATTTTTCGTTTTTTTTTCCCTGGGTTAATGGTGTGAACTTGGGTTTTATTCATTAATCTCAAGCTCGGAAAGCTTTTAGTGGGTTTTGGGATAATAATGTTGTTGACCATCGTGAAACTTTGCCCAACCTCTGATTGATGTTCTGAAGCGATTAGAATCTGATTGAGAAATGTTTTTGCTTTTGTGAATAGTATAGTCTAAGCATGAGTTTTCTTGTTGCTATGAATTTCGAGTATATCCTTCATGGAATGAATCGAATTTGTAAAGCCAGATGAATCGAATTTGAGTAAGAAACTTACTTTTGTTGAAGAGGTGTTCTCTGATCAGAGAATAGGTTAGTCTCTTGCAAGTTTGGTCGACTTGAATAGACGAGTGAACATGGATTTTTCAGCTAAGCAAGCTTAGCATCTCTTTGTTTGCAACACTGTTTTCTCTTGGAACTGTTGAAAAGATCGTTAACTGTTGGCTTTATGAAAAAGTCCAATCACTTTCTTATGGTTCGTGGTGTAAAATGTCTTGAAACAGGCGACATACATGGGCAGTATAGTGACTTGCTGAGGCTGTTCGAGTACGGTGGCTTCCCTCCTAGTGCCAACTATCTGTTTCTAGGGGACTATGTGGACCGAGGCAAACAGAGTCTTGAAACGATATGTCTCTTGCTAGCTTACAAGATCAAATACCCAGGGAACTTTTTCCTGCTAAGGGGAAACCACGAGTGTGCTTCTATCAATCGGATTTATGGGTTTTACGATGAATGCAAAAGGAGGTTTAACGTGAGGGTGTGGAAGGTTTTCACTGACTGTTTCAACTGCCTTCCTGTTGCGGCGCTTATAGACGACAAGATACTGTGCATGCACGGTGGACTTTCGCCGGATCTCAACCATTTGGATGAGGTTAGAAGCTTACCACGCCCAACTATGATTCCGGACACAGGGCTGCTCTGTGATCTGCTCTGGTCTGATCCTGGGAAAGATGTTAAAGGATGGGGAATGAATGATAGAGGCGTTTCGTACACCTTTGGTCCGGATAAAGTCTCTGAGTTTCTAGCGAAGCATGATCTAGACCTTGTGTGCCGTGCCCATCAGGTGAATATTTCGACCATTGTCTCTCTCTGATTCTGCTGCCTTCTTGATGTTAACAAGGGAAGATAATGAAATTTTTCTAATGGCAGGTCGTGGAGGATGGGTATGAGTTCTTTGCTGATAGACAACTCGTGACGGTGTTCTCAGCTCCAAACTACTGTGGCGAGTTCGATAACGCTGGTGCGATGATGAGCGTGGACGAGAACCTTATGTGCTCGTTTCAGATTTTGAAGCCCGCGGAGAAGAAGACCAAATTCATGATGTCCACAAAGATTTGATACTTTCATTTTGAGGTTAGTTATAATAGTCTGTTCTTGGCAAATCAAACCAAACAAGTTAATGGAAGGATTCTTACGAACTGATTTTGTTCAGTTTCTTCTTTATAAATCAAGGATTCTCTGTTAAATATGTTTTGTACTGCTGAAGTGTAACTTTCTTGGGTCATTTTGGCTTTTCCTTCTTTTTGCAGATGGATTTGGTCTTTACTCAGAGAAATTGAATCAAACCATTAAAGATTTGGCTTTAAAGTGTTGTGCTGATGGTAGTGAGAACTCATTGGAAAGGAGCAAAACCTTAGTCTTCTAATGTCAAATTCGCTTTCTGCATGTTTTTTTCCTATCTTCTTTTGAGGGTTTTACATGATTTTCATCTGCTTATCGAAAAGCAAATAGTTGGTGTGTACATGCGTATGATCGTTTCTTGGATTTTAGGACACCAAATGAAATGATGATTATAAAAGTTTAGTAAGATGAGAGATTTGTCTCTTTAAGCGGTCGTGTGAAAGTGAAAACGCATTAAACTTATGGAGGTCTTCAATTAATCAACATCAAAATCGAATGAGCATCTAAATTACAAAAGAATAAGAATGTGAGCTACTGAGATTAACAAAGAAATGTTCACTCGTCTATGCATGATGTGTGTAAAAGTGATAGATGACAGAATTGTAAAAGCAGCAAACACGAATCGATAAGCTAAAGTAACTCTTTTTTTTTTTGTTGCAAACGGGAATCAAAACCATTTGTATCCAATTGATTATCATATCAAAGACATGTTCATATTCTTAGTCCATTTCCTTACTAGAATTTAAATTGATTGATAAGCTTTTGCACGATAAAATGTTTCGATTTCTACCTTATGAACGTTTACTATAAATAGAGGCATCAAGCGTTAACGTGCACTGCAACAAAACTCATATATAAATTGTACGAGAGTCATATAAACAATAGAGAACAAAATTAACCAAAAGAAGCTTACCAAAAAAGAAGAAGGATTGTTCGAGTGAGTGAGTGGTGGCAATAGCTGTACACACCTTCATACTTCAGCTGATACTCTTCTTCGTTGCTTTTCTTGCAGAAGCAAACCACCCTCGAAAGGTGAAATAAATGGATCTTTCTCTTTATTCATCATCCACACTAACTCCAAACGCCTTTTACTGAAAATATTTGTTTAGTAAGATTGGTACTTTAACTAACACTAATTAGAGACGTGGTTTTAACTATGCTAGCCGAACTGGAAGTTCGAAGAAACGTGGCTCACGTGGACGAAGATGGACGGTTCTCGCCAAGTCAGGAGTCCCATTGTCATATACTCTATTGCTAAGGGACCTCTCGCTTGTCAAGAATTTTACAAGAACTAATTATGGGTTTTTATTTCTTTTTTCATTCACAAATAAAAACTGAATACTATATGTTATAAGCTGAGAAACAACGGCCGAGAGTAAGGGAGTTTACAAAACTCAATAAATGTGGTTTATAAACGCTCAAAATTAAGAAGTTACTCCACTCTTTTGGCCTATCGCTTTCATTGTTCAGCACTATTTATGCTCATATTCACAGTATAGTTTATCTATCCAATTAACAAATCTATAATACAGTACTTAATATTTTTCTTAGCCTTTTTATCAAAATGTTTTCCAGAATGTTGTTGGTTTTCATAGCATTTTCCATGTCTGCGGTATGTTCGAGTACGTTGGGGCCATCTCCGGATAATTCGCTAGAGAGGGTACTTACTACTTACCTATTATTTATTTTTCGATCATTTATATTTTTTTCCCCCGAAAACTTATCCTCGATGTCTATATTATTTCTATCGAATATGTTACACAGCTTTATCTGGTCAATGTTGATCCTGCGTTGTATCATTATGACTGTAAGAAATACGAACAACTTCTCGGAAAGTTGCTTCACGAAAGGTAATTAGTTTCTATAGAATATAGCAATAAGCAAAAACAAATTCGTTTGAAAATAATATAATAATAAAAGTTTAGTTGCCCCCGCCCCCCCCCCCCCCCCCCCCCCCCCCCTTTGTGCTACTTGAATTTAATGGTTGTTAGTTCAGATGGGTGATAAGATTCAGCACTAACCCACTAATTCGTTTTGTAAAATAAATAGTCAAAGCAAAATAAAATAAAAAAATGCATCTAATTTTTCATACCATATATAATATATATTATCAACTATCAACAGTTAAAGTAATTTTAGATTTTGACCATTAAGAATTAATTATAATAATATGGTTTACAGCTTAAAATCGATTGTGTGCATTTCCTTCCAAGTTACTAAAATAACTTTTACTGTTCAAAAAATATGTATACAAAATACCTTTAGATTTCAACTATTGGCTACCAAACATGATTATTTTTGGGGAGGAAATAACAATTTTCACATTTATTATTTATTAAAAATATCTATTAAACTAATTATAAATTTACTCTAAAATAGACATAAATCTTTGAGAAAAACCTCTACACTAGAAAGTAAGAAGAACGTGTTCAAAATATATGTGCCTAATGGCTCCTACTATATATGTGGACTGTACAAAGGTTTTACATTTTATTTTCAATGACGTGTACAGTCCAACATCATTGAAACAAAAATAATAGAATTTTTGGTTTTGTCTTTTTTTTTTCACAAGGTCACCAAAAGATGCTCTAATATATTGCTACAACCAAGTCGTGAGCGGATTTGCAGCAGTACTCACCGAAGAAGAGGCTGAGAAATTGAAAGGTACATTTTGTTTAACAAAGGGAGAAAAAATGGTTATCGAGTGGTTGCAAGGTTCATTAAATTATTTGAGATCAGAATCATGGGTCGCGTCTTCCAATTATGATTTTAATTATAAATAGAAAATAGTTATAATAAAACAAATTATAAATAGCGTAAAGTTATGAATTATTACAAGTATACAGTTTATAAGAAGAAAAAGAAACACATCCAATTTTGAAATCATTTTCTGAAATAAAAGAAAAAAAGAATCGGTGAATATTGATTGAGAATTAGTTACCAAATTTATGTCAAATTATTCAACCAAAATAATATTTGAAAATTAAAATTTTCGTTGTTATTTATAAACTTGTGCAGGTGAGAAAGGGATCTTTAGAGTAACCAAAGACGTAAAATACACATTCGACGTCGCACCCTATGACTATGAAAGTAATAATAACTAGTTACTTATATTGTAACGTATTTTTGGTAAACTATTCCTTGTAACGTTCATTTCAGAACTCGGAAGACCTAAAAAAAAGAGCCAATTTTTTTACGTAAACATGAAATGTGTAAATCAGATACTATCCTCCCAACTTTAAATTATACGAATCAATCGGTCCAAGCTTTCTTTGAGCCTAAAGCCCAACTCTTAACAGTTCTGAAACTTGTTTGATTAGATAGAAAATATATAGCCCAAAGTACTTTTAACTATAAATAAATTCCACTTTATGAATGCAATGTCTTGAATGTATGAATTTGAACTGATCCACTGGAACGTATAAGATTCTTTTATAGATAAGAAAAGGAGCAAGTGCTTCTTGTTGAGCTTTAGGGAAACACAAGGAACACTAAAGTTTTTCATCTCCTTTTTAATGTTATATACTGTTTAGGGATTGTTATCTGTTAGTTTTGTTGTTGTCTAAATTCTCTGTATCCCAATATACACATACATTGGTTTCGTTCACATAGTATGTTTTATAAGTCTTAATTAACATTTAAGGCAAATTAAACACATTACAGTACTAAGTTTCGAAATTTGCTTTCTTTACACAAATATTACGTACAATGACAGCAAATTTGTAAGATCTGGATATCTCCTCTAAAGAAAATATAAAGATTTGTGGGGGAAAAGATAAAGCTGTTTTTATTATTAGCCGAAGCCCGAAGAGTACAAGAAATTTAGGTCGTCGGAAAAGAACGCCGACCTAAGTTTTAAGAGTAAAGAACCGAGATCTAGAACTGGAAGCAATAAGCTATTATTTGCCCTAGGTCTCGAGTCGGAAGTTGTGAATGAATCATCTTCGAGGGAGGGGGCTCTTCTTATATAGCCTCCGTAGACCGCCTTGAGAATAATCCTTCTCTTTCAGGATTATGATAGTTTCATTTCTTCTCAGGATCTTTTTTCTTTTTCTTCCACGATACAAATATATCTTCGGATATTTCCATATTTGAGCGCTGACCTAAACTCGGAAGTGGAGGTAGGGCTTCAAATGGGCCTTGTCTCAATTTATGAAGGGCTTTTAGCAAGGGGTGCTAAACCCATCACTAACAAAATTTTGAGTATCGGTTTTAGTGGACTCAATCTTAACTAACAAAACAATAATTGATGGGTGGTGTTAAGTTATATGGGTTTCCAACTCAAAATTAATTGGCAATGAGTGGATTGGCCCAAGTCTTATATATAAGAGTGTTGGTCCCATTTTAAGACCAGTAATAAACTTTTTTGGGCCACCCTACTTGGGTTAACAAACGAGGCTTTGATACCATGTTAAGTTATATGGGCTTCCAATTCAAAACTAATTGGCAATGAGTGGATTGGCCTAAGTCTTATATATACTAGTATTAGTCCATTTAAACTTTCGATGTGGGATTCCAACAGGTGGTTAAGTTATAACATCTATTGAACAATGTGTTGATAGTATTTTAAGGCTCTCCCATAGACTTATCACATCCAAGAATTTCAAGAATTAATTGAATTAAAACAATTTGATGTAAGAAAAGTACTCGCGCAACCGAGAAACTGAACTAAACAATTAAGAATTGAAAAAGAAAAGGAAAAAATTATATGAGCTTCGGGATCGTCATCTAGGCTTAGTATTCGATTTTAATATATATACATGTTCTTTATTTATGAGTTATAGCTCATTCACAATTTTGTATCTACCAATAAACTATAAGAAAGTTGAGAAACTAGACGGGAAGAAAAATTGTTTCAAATAGAAATCAACAAGAAAAGAAAAAATATATAAATTATCTTTCGGCAAGCCAAAAATGAATAAAATATATTGCAAAAGCATCAACACATAGCCGAGTTCGAATCCTACATATAACTTTATGGAGTGACTATGATGAATCGTAAATCCTAAAGTAGATTTAATGTTTAATGGATCTAAAACATCTTACCTTATGAAAAAATAATAATGCAAAGTCAACTAAGCATAAGGGATCCATACAGTATATTGGTCCAAGGTTGGGGAGCAGAGGGCATTTTTAGCGAAGAGCTTCTTTAACCCTCAAGCTATGGCTCTCCTTAACTTATAAAGGATCCAATCCTCTTTTCAAAAGGCTGCCATCTCTCTCATCTCTAATTTCTATCTCTATCTCTATCTCTATCTCTAAGTCTTTTTCTCATTCTTGATGTCAATGGTGTCCATTAGTTGAGAAGGTTACAAATGGATGACGATGGTGGTGGTGAACATGCATGCATGTCATGAGTTCCTCAAGTCCCATGAAGAGCACGTATATCAACACACTTTTTCCCCATTCAATCTTTCTTTCTTTTTTGCAGACGAATTATTCCTTGCGTGAGGAGTCTATACCATTAATTTTCACTTTTAATTAATTTGCATTGTACAGATAATTCCAAGTTTTTGTTTAGATACAGTTACAACCGGTCATGTGCTGTATCTTTGCAGAGAATGTTTTAAAACGCATAGTCAAACAAATAACCGACAAAAAGATTATTAGGACAAATACCCATCACACGTATTGACATTTTGTTCTATCGGTTAAGTTCCCGTTTACTAGATTCACGACGTTTATTCTTTGTATGGCCTAATTTTTCTTTCGTCTACGTGAAATTATATATATATATATATATATATATATGACTTTTGTAACTTTTGAAATATGTACTTGGCATTTATAGTTATTAGTTATTACCATGTTGATGCTAACTTTAAAATCCGCATTGTCATTTTTTTCTTTCAACAACATACATATTTTTGGAATTGAATCCACATGGTGTGACACGGTAATGAATCATGATAACTACATGTGCTAATCAATCCGCATTGTCATTATGCTTTTGAATCAATATTGGTTTGATTAATTAGACCTAAATATTTGTGTTTGTGTTTGTAAAACGTAGCTGTTTGCATCTTATAGACATAGGGGATTGTTTTCAGGGCCGGCTTACTGGGGGGGGGGATAATTGGTGCAACCGCCCCAGATCCACTTCCCAAATCAAGCAAAATTAGGATAATAATGGGATCCAAATTTATGTGTTTCATCAATTATTAGGGGCCTAAATTTGTGTTTTTATTAATGAAAAGGTCCTAAATTTTTTTTTTTGCCCAAAAACCATTAAAAGTATTAAGCCGGCCCTGATTGTTTTCAACAATGCATTCATAACAAGGGCCTTGAAAACTAGTATAGCTTATATGCTCGACCAAAGGTTGTTTTCTAGTTCTAATGTTTAGTTTATTTAAAATAATATATAATTTATTTTATTTTTTTAACCAAACTATATTTTAGAATTATAACCACGAACGTGAACGTAACAGAAAAAAAATCTGTATCTCAACTGTGTTTAGTATGATTAAAACACTAGAATTTAATGTTTTCTTTTAATAATAATTACAGTAAGTTAACATACAATCGTAATTAAAGATCAGCCTAAATGTCTAGGATGTATCCATACGTTGACCAAAAGCCTTGACTTGTTTAGCTCACCCAAGAAATATGTATGCACAACTGAGAGAGTTCAAATGGATTTTGGTGTAAGATAAGTTAGAGTTTTGTTTTGTCTATAGTGTCTTCCGGAAGATCCAAGCCAGATTTTTCTTTGTAGAATTTGGGATATTCTAGTGCTAAGGGACACGTTAATTATGTTTAATAAGAGTAAAATAAGTATATCCCTATTTAGAATGTAGTTAAAAAAAATAAAAAATTCTTAGTACACTAATCAATATATATATACTCGAATCTTGGGATCCCTGATATCTTACATAATTGGCTAAACCCTTCTCATTATTGGTTGTACTGGTATCCTCTAAATCGCACAAACGAGTATATATTCACATTGTGTCCATGACTAACTAATTTAGCAACGATAACGAAACCTAACGAATTTAAAAATAATCGCAGAAATTCTTATGTAAATCAAATAAAGTGTCGTGTAGGTCTAATTAATCTCTACCAGACATTTACGCCACTTGCTATGTACACTTATTTTTTGCAACAAGATAATACCATGTTTTATATCATTATATGGATGATAACTGGTAACTAGACGAATAGTTTATTAATTTATCGGTCTACTAACTTATACAGCTAATTATTTATTACCCAAAGAAAAATTATACAGCTAACTAAACATTAACTGACGATTTCAGTCATAAATGCTTCCTAAAAGAGAGGAGTAATTAGAAAATCAAAATAGCGCCGAAATTACGAAAACAAAATTTAGAATAATATAAATTCTAAAAATGGATGAGATACAAAAGTCAAAGATGGCAAGTGCTTAATAGTATCTATAAATAAGCATATAGGAGAGTGAGTAAATCTTATAACTCCCAACACAAACAAACTTCAAATCTTTCTCAAAGCAACTTCTCTTGGTACTTTCGTTTCTATATACTTTCTCCTACTAAAGGACTAACCCATTAACATATAAAAAACAAGTACACGACATAAAGTAGAAAAGAGCGTTCCATGGACAAGAAAAAGTCAGTATCTGGTTCCTCTTCATCCTCTTCTTCTTCATCTTTCGATCATCTTTTTGGTCCAAGAAGAGTCCCTTCCTCGTCTTCCTCATCAACAACAGGATTGTTCCAATCCATTTTCCCACCACCCTCAGTGGTATGAATCATTATACATCATCATCATTCTTAAAGTATAAACTGTATGTGCGGCTTTCTTATATATATATATATACTTTTATTTGTTCTTCACTCAAGGGGATGCAAGCGGACATGGCAAATCGAAATAGAGCTAACAACTATCAACCTCCAAATTTGGGGATTCCAAGTGAGTCTATTGCTGAGACTAACTAAGTGTTTTGGACGTGTCATTAGTCCTATAAAAAATTTGTTTATCCCAACTAATTAGAGTTAACTATGAACTCAGTGAAAGACTATACTTCACGTATTAAAAAAATTGAAAGTGAGAAATTTGAAATGGGGTTGCAGATGAAAGAGGAGAAAGGAGAAAACACAAGGAGAGAAAGATTTACCAAAATGAGGACACACATCCACCATGCAACTTGAGCTCATCTATTTTCTATGGAGGCCAAGAAAACTATTCCTCTGCAACACCACCACAATCAACAACGACTATAGATGCTGTAAGTCCCCACTTTTTTTACCCAAATTTTTGTGTTGCATAGCATATTGAAAAAAACTCGAGTACTTGGGATTAGGTTTCCATCTTATGCAATAAATCCAATATTGTTAAGCATCTCTCTTGCACACTACCACATAGCAGCGCTTTTGAGACAAAGTTGATTATTTGACCTATATAAACACATATAGGCAAAGTGATATTCAATATTCATTTCGATATATCATTCTCTTTGTACTATGAATTTAACTCTGAACTCGCTAATTCTGAGGTGTTCAGTACAAGAAAGATGGAGAGGAAGGTGATTCCGAAAGTGCTTCGAGAGGAAACTGGTGGGAAGGTAAACACCAATTTCATTTTTTTGTCATAAATAATTTTTTTACATATTTTCATAAATCGATATACGAAAATCACTTATAGAAAACCAAAATATGCAGGATCGCTTTATTACTAATTATCAATCCTAGCCGGAGATGATGCACGATAAACAAAGGTACACGGCTATATTGGATGTTTCTATTACACTGTCTTATGCTTTTCGAAATAGAACTAGATTGTTCGTAGTTAATGAAAAATCGAATGTATCACGAAAAAGTTTTAATATGCTGATATCTTGTCTTTTTTCCTTGCGTTGATTTTTCAGGATCCTTAATTAAGTGGACATCGAAGAAGGTGTCGTCGTATTGAAATATACCTAGAAAGGATATAATATAAAAAGAAATAACTAAAAAAGTAATGTAAAAGTATATTATACTATAAGATTAAATTAACATCTATATAGGTAAGGGGAGTCTCGTTCTTGACTTGTTGATTCCTTATGTTTCAACAAAGACAACAAGTTAGACAAGTCTCTTTATAATGAAATCGACGCTGTCCAGGAGTGTCTTTGTATTTAGTTTGATCTGTAATCCAATATGATGCTGCTTCGTGTGTAATTGTATTATATTAAATGGTAATCAAACATGTTGTTGAGTTACTTAAGTATAAGCAAAAACTGTTCCTTCTTGTGTTCAAATTTGTACAAGAAAAACAAAGAATCTCGATTAGTTCAGATCGTTAAGAATTTTGACAAGAAGGAAGTAGTTGTTGGAAGAGAGAAAAAAAAAATTATCGTTTTGATAATATTGATAAACTACAACACAGCCCAAGAGTGTCCGTAATTTGGGCCTTTGATAGTAAAAAAAATAAGCGCCGTTGCCGGGGATCGAACCCGGGTCACCCGCGTGACAGGCGGGAATACTTACCACTATACTACAACGACTTTTGTTGTTGTCGTCTTCACTATGAATATTATTATATACTAACATATATATTACATCTCAACACATCAGGAATCAGAAAGCACTACTGGAATTTTACTTTCAAGCATATAGGAACTAAAAAGAAAATTTCGACATTTGATGTTTGAATTATTTGCAAAGAACATTGCATACTTTAGTTATTGATATGCAAATGTAGCAAAAGGCACGCATGTAAAAAAAGTCTCAAATCATCGTTTGGTGGATCTAACCGACGGGTGAGTTAAGTCCAGACTAACCTATTCATACCAAATATGCAAATACAAAAAATATTCCTATACTATATTAAGTAACTAAATGAAATCAAAGGCTTTAGAAGATTAATGTTTCCGAGGCTTTGACCATTGACGGTTTAGCTAGTGGCCACTGGCCTAGTGCTATCTGATTTCTAAGCACATATACATATTTTCTATGTTGCACGTGCTGCGCTCGCGAGTAGTAGTGTACACCACACATAACATGGGATAAACAGTTGGCATCGCACGTGCTGTAGCATTGCAAAACCGAGTGAACGAGAAAGAATCATTTCTTTTGCATGTGGCTTGATACATTTGGGGCCATTTCCTTTGCTTTGAGAGCTTCTAAACTCAAAGAATCTATGTTTTCTCTTTCGTATTTTGTATCCTTTCATTGATTGATTTAAATAAATACGATTATAGAGACTAACTTTGAGATTTGTAACTTTCGATTCTTTTACTGTTTTACACATTTCTATAGTCGTGTCGACCACCTCTCATCTCATATTGATCATTTACTCTCTCTCTCCTTTTGTTTTTAGTTTGATGTATTATTAGAATAGTTTTTCTTTTGTTTTGATAAACTTGTTTGCAATATTATTAGAATAGTTAAAACCCTAAAAGTTGCTTTTAGTTTCGTCAGCCTTCATTAGATGTAGTGGAAACTGGATGGTAGAAGTTGAGATCATGCAAATTGCTGAAATCATATTTGATGTGGTAATCTTTTTACATATTTAGATCATGTATATGCTCATAACACGAAAGTCTCATTTCGTGAAATAACTAATAAAAAATATATTGACAAAAATAAAAGCAATGTAGAAAGACGTTTAGTAACTTGAAGTTCACGAGATCCTAATGCTGGTGAACGTTGGAACAGCTAAATCCACGTCAAAGAGGACGAGGTTTTATGATTAAAATGATCAGCCAAGATTCTCATCCTATGCGAATTCTTATTACAATTGTATTAAATAATATTGTCTCCCTCCCATGCTCGTTCAAAATCTTTCTGCTGTCTATACTAATTTAATTTTGAAACTTAACAGAAAGATAAGTAGGATTTTGTTTGGATCAAATAAATGGACTACATACCTTAAAAACATCGATAATATTAATTTATCAAAAACTTCTTTTTAAAACATGTTAATCTATTGAAATGACTACCAAAAGACAAAATTCAAAAAAAATCAAATTGGCTAATAATAATAATCAAATACTACCAAACAGAAGAAGACTTCAAAATAAAAACCTAAACCAAAATCTAGATAAAAAAATGTAGAATTCATGTATAGTCGTAAATACTTTTTAGGTATTCATCTGTCATGAGATTTAATTAGTTATTGCATACTTATAAAAGAAAGAGACTTCACATTTGAGATGGACGGATGATAACATATTTCTGTCACCATACTATATATCCCTCTATAGGCTTTCGGCGGGAAATTCGAAATGACATTTGCAGATTTCTTTGTTTTTCTTTTTCTTTTCCTGTTAGTCCACTCCGCTTATATATATCTTTTTCTTTTTTTGTTTTACAAATAAAACTCATCACTCCAAATTCGGATACGGTAAATTTCCCCAACCATTCATCTGCTCTTATTACTTATTTAATTTATTCTCTTACGAGTGACAAAATTAATATTTTGTTTTTTTTCTAATGTTTTGTGGAATGAAGGCAGCAAGAAAGACAGCTTCTGTAAAGCATTTGCTGGCAGACATAACCCACCTTCAGTTGCCTCTGCCCTCACGCGCTCTTTCTCACGCGTGTAAACCACTTCCCTAAACTCTTATTGCCCATAATTGCTTTTTTTTTTTTTTTAATTCAGCCAAAATCTGATAAATCCCGTCGTAAATTACGGGAAACAAAAAAAAATGGATTCCACCTCACTTTTGTTGTTATTGTTGTTGCAATATGAGCAGCTTTCAAGTACTACTGTATTAATTTTTGTTTTTGTTTTTTTTTAACAGATTATAAAGCATTAACCAAGTTTAAAGTGAGTATTATATTATTGTGGGTGCTCCTAGTTTCGACATTTGAGAGTAGACTCCGGAGACAAGAGATAGCAACTAGGGGCACAGTTTTTGGCGTAACACGCATATACTACTACTATAGTTTTATTAATAAAATATTAGATGAGATTAAAAAAAAACTTTTGAGTTTCTCTTATCGATTTAAATAAAATAAAATATGCTGTTTATATGTTTTCTTGCTTCTCTATATATATTCCAAAGAAGGAAGAGAAGAAGATCTGTTCCCGCTCTTTTGACTTAACGGTGCTGTCCTTTTCGGCAGGTAAAAGCTGGACCCCACCACCATTTCACTTCCATCCTTTCCTTTTTCTCTACCATAAATAATATCTAGGCGGGAAAATTATATAATATTATCCAATCCAGTTTATAAAACGGTTTCGTATCCGTAGATAACGTCTGTTATATGACGGCTCGTTATCTGAGAGAGACCAGCGAGAGACCATTCGTGTAGCATCCGTTAGGTCTAACGGAGGACATAGAGAGATCAGACTGTTTAAAATCCGTTACGTCAGACGGAGAAGGGAGGGAGAGGGACGGATGACTGATTAAAATCTGCCGAATCTGCTGTAATGCCACGTCAGCTAGATTCAAAATTTTCTGAGTGGTCACGAGATTTCTATGAACTATTTTTAATTAAAAATTTAAAAATCGAAACCTACAAAATAGGGGTCTTCACCAGAAAAAACCGAACAGTCGCCGAAACTCTTTGATTTTAGTAATTAACGCCATTAGTTAACGTAATTCTTACTAAATTTTTCATGTCACCAATACTAAAAGTAACGTAATTATTCAGCAGTAAATGTATTAGTACTACTAATTAGAAGAAAAAAAGAAGTAAGGCGGTTAATAGAAGAGGAGAGTGCAAATGATGAGAAGGATTTGCATGAGGAAAAGAGAGGAAGGCGTAATTATGAAGTGTTCGATGCTTTTGATTAGACTACACAAGTCTTTTTTTTTTTTAATTTAAATTAGATTCTACAAAGACTGAGATTTTTATTCAGGGTAATTTAAGATTAGAAGAGAACTATGAACTGTAAATGTAAATGACAACTTGTTTGGGATTAAGTGGGTTCCACCTGTATTTCTCATGCCCATACACATTCCAGTACTTAATATAATAATTAAAAAATAGAATAGGTTTAGGAGAATGAAGAAAAAGATCTTGATGGACATAAAATTGTATTAAAAAATTCTAATGCCTACAATTAGTCCAAAGAGATAAATAAGTTGTAAGAATCATTTGGCATGGAAATAATTTGTGTTTAAAGGAAATCATTCTTACAATTAGTCCAAAGAGATAAATAAGTTGTATTTAAAGGAGGGGGAAATCATTCTTACAAAAATTCTCTATTTTTTATTTTTGTTTTCTTTCTATTATGCAATTAATTTGTTTTTTCAGAAATGATAGTTCTCGTCAAAAGAAAAATGACAGTTTCGAAACGCAAAATACATAAGAAAGACCAAGGGACATAGTTTTGATTTTCGTCCATCACGCATTAATTACGGATAACTATAATTATATAATATTTTTAAAAATTAAAGCAGGAGAGATATTAAAGTGCTTTTGAGCTGTCTCATAGAAACCCTGAAACCTTAATAAAAGCGACCATGTCTTCAACATTCTCCATCTTCCTCCTCACTTAAGACACCACACCACTCTCTCTCTCTCTCTCATCTGTTATTCTTCATCGTCTACTTCAATATGTCTCGCCTCCTTCCTCCTTCTCTCTCCGTCAACCTTCCTATCGTGGAGAAAGAACCCCTTTCTTCCGAGTTAACCCCGACCCGACTCGGTTTCCCGAACGAGTTCCCTTACGAGTTTGATTCTCCAGCTTTCTCCCCTGGTTTCACCTCTCCTGGTGACTCTACCGAGACCGAAGATGAGAGCAGCGACGACGAGGAAGACTTCCTCGCTGGGTTGACTCGGCGACTCGCTCCTTCGACTCAGCGTCTTCCTCCTCCTTCCTTCAACACCAAGCCTGAGGTAACTTAGTACTCCACAAAATCGCTCCTCTTTATGATTAAGTTCACAAAAATCAAAACCCGGTCAACGAAATTTACTATCTTTTGCTCTGCAGGAGAAACGTCAGGGCGCGGCAGCTTCGCCACAGTCAACACTGAGTGGACTCGGAAGCTTTTCGAACTCGGGGAGTCGAAGCCCAATCTTCCCACCGTCGCAGACGCATTCGTCCCGGAGAGACAATGCCTGGGACGTGATCTCTGCTGCGGCAGGGGAAGTTGCTAGGCTCAAGCTTGGAAGCTACGAGCCTCATCTTCCCCGCGTAAACCCTAATCCCATTCCCCGCCGTCAAAACGCTGCCTTTCAAACGGAGCACTATCTCCAACAGCAGCGTCTCCTTGACCAGATGTGGCTCTGCTCTCAGTCAAGAATCAAGTCTTCGGAGACTCATGTTCCGAAGAGAGTAGCAATGAACGACGAAGTCGCATTTGAGAATCTGAGGTACATGAGGCACAACGCTTTATCCAACGCCACGTGGCTGCCGCAGCACGCTGTAACTCCCCTGAAACGTCCTTCTGCCGGCACCGGAGTTTTCCTTCCCCGGCGATACCCAACAGCGACCCCTGCCGATTCCGTAAAAAAGCCTGGTACGGTTACAGTTTATAAGTCTTTTTCTTTCTAAGTTTTAACTGTGTTAAAGTATTCTAACTTTTAAGTTCTTGTTTCTCTAGTTACTGTCAACACAACAGCTATGTTGCAATCAAAAGTCAATCCTCCGCCAAATCTCAACTTTGATGAGTTCTCCAGTGTCGGTTCAAGGCGCAGCCAATTTGATTACGGTAATTATTGGTCTCTACAATTTCTATTGTAAAAAAAAAGAACCGAGATTTTGAGTTTAACTAATATGTTTTTTTGTGATGTGAGCAGAGTGCATGTTGGCGAGAAGTAGACTACTTGCTCGTCTGAATCAAGAAAGACGTCTTCCTCAGGACTGGATGTACTGAAGCTGTTTGTTTTGTCTCTAAAGATTGATATTCAGAAGGAGTGTAGTTAGAAGTGGTTTGGTTTAGGTCATAAATTGATATTGTTATGTCATGGTTACTAGTAATAAGGATATGGATAATCAGAATAAAATTAGCGGATATTATAAGTTTGTTACATTATAATATAAGACAACAAGCTCTCTTGTAATTTTTTTGTTGACCTTGGGAGGGTTTTAGGGAGAGTTGAGTGGAGTGGGGTGCTATTATTTTTTTTTTCACTTTAGTCGACAGGGGAAATTCAAAATGTGTTGGGTGGGGATTTTTGTTATTTGTATTAATTTTATGGTTTGTTTTTCTCCTATTTCTGGAGAGGATCTAATGGGGTTGTAATAAAAATATCAGAATTATTTTGTTTGTTTAAATTATATTAAAGCTTCTTTCGTAGTACAAGTTTAAGATTTCTTCCTGCGTTTTGGTTCATAATTTAGTACTTGGATATGGTATAGTACTTAACTCAGTTAGTTTCGAACTTGTAATAGTTGGATGTTGTGAACTTGTTGAAAATTCAAAAAAGAACAGTGGTTGCAATTTCAATGAACTTACTGTACTTCGATTATTGGGATGAAATCAAATGTGTAGATACGTTGTTTTTGAAAAATAAAATAAAGAAGGATGATGACATGGAAAAAGCAAAAAGAAAGAGGAAAAGAAGATCTGGAAAGAACAAAAAAAAAAAAAAAAAAGAGAAGAGAAGGGTTGCGTAGGCGTGAAGCAGTGGGCAAACATATGCACAGACTTTGAAATACAGAACACACCTTTTTATTTTCCTCTCTGTAAATCTCATCTATTAGTTGCTGTATATATGTGTGGGATGTAGATTATTGTCTGTCTTGCTAATTTTTACATAAATTCCTTTTTTTCCATATATAATATATATGCTTTAACCTTTACAGCCGGTCCTACACCTATATATAGTACAATTTTCACTTTTGAAAACTGATATATAAAAACATAAGGTATGAATTTCGTACCTTTTTTTCTTTAGAAATTAATGGATTTATAAGTAGCTGGAATTTTTTCAAAAAATAATTGAGAAACTTAGGGAAGATGATGTTGTGATAATTTTTATATACATCTCATCTCATTCCCAATATGGGAATGATTGTAAGTTATCAACAAATGATGAATACATGGTTTAGACTTAACCAAGATCAAAGTCAATAACCAGAATAAACCAATTGTATACTAATGATTCATTATATATTTATGAATGTGTTTTGTTTGGTTTCATTACTTTAAATCAGTACTAGATTCAATTAGTGGTAACTTGAATCAAAAATATAGTTGCACGACCTTGTGTGTCAACAAAACAAAGCTACAAATAGAAAGATATCAAACGAATTATTAGAGAAGCTCTTAGTACTATCCGTAGTTTATTTCATTTTCAAAATTTGAAACATTTTCAGTGTTTGGTGGTTGCTTGTGTAGGTCCCATTTAGGTTTTTTCCCTTGAAATCCAAAGATTTTACAGTTCAAATTCAGGATATAATTAGTAGTTGAGTTGAGAAGTACTTTGAAATTCTTCACTATCGTTGAACGCATTTAAATTAGCACCGGCCAAAAGTTATGTTGTTTGAAGAACATTAAAGTAAATCTAAATTTCGTTTGGTCGTTCAAATTTAGAAATCGAAAATTTATTTATATTTTATATATTTGGAGAGCGTTGATTGTTGCACACAATCCGCATAAAGCCAAGAGCAATCACACTTCTTGTTCGACACTGAACCATAATGCTTTATGTGCTGCTGCATCCATATTCGGAGTTTGAAGTCTCTTATTAAAGATGTAGTCGAGAAAGAAACAAAAGAAGGGAAGCCACAAAAATCTAAAGACAAAAGAGTGAAAACATGTGTTTGGTTTGGGAGATGTGAATCCATGCAGCTTTCTCATTTGACTCGTCAAACTTCGAATTTAATGTAATATACAATTTACTATGCTTAATTTTTTTTTTTATTTTTTTTATATATGAGACTACTGTTACCTTGTTACAATATTTACATTAGCCGTTATGTACAGAATAATAATATATCATTGTTAACTTTTCATGCAAAATCATTCCCAAACAAATTGTAAGCACGCATGTATTATCTGGATATACACCAAAATGGGGGATGTATGATTAGGAGTGCACATTTAGACATATAACCGAATTATTCAAAAACAAATCATTCAAATTATTGTAGAAAGTGAAACTTTTCGGTTTTATAAAAAAAAGTGAACATACAAAGTACTAAATCCAAACTGTGCTCGAATTAGTAGTTGGGATGGAAAAATGTCTTTAAATAGATATTGATAAATCTTGTGTTAGTATGATATCAATTATTAATTATGCTCATATATTTGTATATTAACAAATAAGAAATTAAAAATCAGTCCACACATTTTTATAAATCCGAGACTAAACCAAGCAAACCAATAGTATTAGATTTGGATTAGTTTCATCTCTAGCTAAATGTGTTACCATAGTTATTCGGAACAGTCAAACATAAGAACCCAAACCATAGAATAGTAGTGAAAATAGCCATTCCTACGAGTCTATATTTTGGTAGGTCATCATTGTTGATAATTTTCGAAAATATAATTATTATTCAGCATTTTGTCTCTCAGAGGACGACAAGGCGTCCATAAATATGGCAGCAGTGTGAGTAAAGCAAAAGCCATAATCCATCTTCATTATATGATTCATGGAGTAATTTGGATTCCTTTCTACGCAAATAGGATAATGTTGTTTTATTTATTTACTTTATGCTGGATGGGCTAAATTAAGCTGCGAAACTATAATTACAAACAGAGAAATATTCTGAAAGGATTCAAAATTGTAAGAAAACAAAATTATAGAAAGTTTGAAAAAGAAATATTTTATAGGCGTGTTTAAGGATGCAAACACATGTTTACTTTAGTACTAAACTAATAACTGTCAATATGTGAGTGATCGATCGCTCATGAGACTTTATGTCGAATCAACATAAAAAAAAGTCATGGAGTTTAGATGTAACTATGATTTAACTCTATAGGTTTAGAGGAATGAGTTAAGCCTAAACAAAGTATTACTATAAACTGTCTTCCGATCAAAGAAAACTACAGATTAAAGATCTGAAGTTTTTGTAGCAAAAAAGGGTAGGAGTAGAGGGAATAGGTTTTAATTAGTCTAAAACATTCAACCAAGTAAACGAAGATGAATTTAGTTGAACTTTTGACAAAATCAAGGGCAGGCTAATGAATATGACAATATGTAATTAGGTTAGATGCCTATGCAAAATGTGAGAGTTTCGGTTTTCAGTCATACTAAGAAAAATCAATATATTTTTTGAGTCTTTCATCTATTTATATGCATACTTAATACTTTGTCACCATTCATTTATCTATATGTAGTATTATGTATAATATGAAATTTATGTGAGTAAATTTAGAATTATAATTCTATATGTAGTATTATGTATAATATGAAATTTATGTGAGTAAATATAGAATTATGATTCTATTCAAGATAAAAAGTTTGTTCAAATATATCTTCAGACATACAAGTACACTAACTAAATCTTAATATTTTAAATGTCGAATACATTTAAATTAGTAGTTATATATAGTTACGAACCCGGGCCCTTCAATTTGGTGGGCTTTAGAAGGCCCAAGCCCGTCCCAAAGGGTTTCGCCCTCGTTCTGGCTGTTCTGGATCATAACTCTCACATATCCCATTCAACAAGTCAAAATTTCAAGTTATCATCAAATACAACACTAAGACCGCAGAGAGATCAGTAGTTAAAATGCATTTATTTTTCTGCCTATATTATGAACTTCGCCAGAGTAAAAGTTTCGACAACAGAGAAATATTTGATTGAATGAATGTTTCGTCTCTAAATTAGCTAAAGGCCCTTAAATCTGGTCTCAGCATCTGACTTGAGACACCACTGTTCACCATTCCAATAAATTTCGCTCGAGCTCGAGCATGTTCAACATGAAAATGATTGTTATCAGCTTTCAAACTCTGTTCCACTTCTCTGAAATAGTAGCCATTGTTGAGTCCACTCCTAACCCAAGCAACATTGTTCAGATCGGTTGCTATAGAAACCAATTCTTGGTCTAAAGCTGCAGAAGAAGGTTCCTCATAATCCACAAACTCTGCTCCCAGCACCGAGTTGCACGACGATGACACTGTTTTGTCTGGATGGATGCAGCAACACTGACCGCATTTCGAAGGGACGCTAGGTTCATAACGAAGAGACTGGAGAAATTTACCAGCCAACGAGTCAGGTCTTGATTCTCGAACCAAAGGTCCCGCACATGGAGCCATATGGTGTTGGTTCATGTATCCATGCTTATACACACTGAAAGCACCAAATCGAGCCACTGGACGATAAACACCAGGTTTACAGTTTCCTTCCCGAGGCTTGTTTTTCGCTTCATCACCCATTCCATCATCGTTTAACATGGCTTCATCATCCATTTTATCATCAGCTAATATCGGAGGGTTAGATGAATTGGTTTCTTCTCGATGAAGATGTTCTTTGGAGGATGCATTCGATGAAACATAAGGAGTTGCTGTATTAGAGATGGACTGACGATTTTTCCATAGATCTGCTTGTTTGCGTTTAAGCGCTGAGTTCCAGTGGTTCTTGATGGCATTATCTGTTCTCCCAGGTAAGAGTTTTGCAAGCACAGACCATTTGTTCCCATGAACCGCGTGTGCAGACATTATCAGATTGTCCTCCTCATCTGCAAAATTAATCCAGTTTCACACATCAAACATTAAACAAAATGTGACACACATAAACCAGATAGTAATTAATCATCAGAAGAGTTATAACATAACCAGTTTGTTCCAAGAGAGAATATGCTAAAGCCTAAAACATATCCATGTACAAAAGAAACTGATTCTGAATTAAAAAAAATGTTCATTTCCAGCAAATGAGCAGTAAAGAGACCATCTACAAATGAGAAGCTGTTCAAGATCTTTTCACTAAATGGTAACAAACATTTGCTTATTCGAATCAATTCTTAGCTTAGCTGTTAATTTGACCTCAGAAACTCCTTCAATCTCATAATAGGAAAGAAGAATCATAGTTGCAAATTTGATCATATCTCTCAAGTCTTTCAGAATCCAGCGAAATCAAGACCTACTTAGCTTCATAAGTTACAAAACATAGAAGAAAATCCAGAGAAATCAAAAACTACTGAAGCAGGAATCTGAGCATCAAAGAGAATCCACAAAGATGATCGAGAGCAGTGTACTTTAAGTTTATTTACCGGTGAAAGGTTTCCGTTTGAGACAAGGATCGAGCTGATTACACCACCGCAATCGGCACGATTTCCCGGAGCGACCTGGGATTCCACGGGAGATCATAGTCCAGTTTTTCGGCCCTAACTTGTTCACAAGCCTCGTCAGAACCGCATCCTGATCCGGTGACCAAGGCCCCTTTGGTTTGCTTCTCCCGCCGCCGCCGCCGCCGCCGTCGTTCGAGTCACCTCCTCTTGCCGCTAATTCGGCGAGCTCGGCGTCAACTGCAGCGTTGATTGCATCCTCCGAGTAATCGAAAGCCGTAGACGGATTCGCCGGCGGCATCGAGCCAGCGATTTCGGCGTTCATCGGAAGCTAAACTATTTTCTTTTTTGGGTCTTTGCTCAGAAAAAGCAATTGAATTTCAAAAAAAAAAATGTGAATCGGTACTCTGTACCTGCCTAACTGCAAAGGTGAGTGGGGTCGTTTTTTTGTCACACGAATTTACCATTTTACCCTTCTCACCTTCCCAGTCAAAATTTACATTGTTACAGCGGAATATGGGTAAAGTAAGTATTTGAATATCTGCGTGGTCCTTGCAAGAATAATTAACAGAGCATGGGAGGCCAAGCAAAGCATAATCTCCGTCCTTAAACATGCCATGATGGCATGATCTAATCATAATTACAGTTTTTTAATCACGCGGTTAGTAAGTCTCTGTGTGTGTGTGTAGCATAACATAAATTGTTGCGTGACAAATGAGGCCGAGTTAGTAAAATATACTATATGATAAAAAATAATCAAGGTTGTTAACAAACAGTTTAATAATGATAAGTCATAAGTTGGTAAAGGCACTCATCATGATAATATGAGTTTACTTTTGGGGGCGGTCTTGGGCGACTTTTGTTGAAGATCACAAATAATTCCAATTTCCATTATATATATATATATATATATATATATATATTAGGTTTAGCAGCTATCCATTTTCAATAATTAGAATATCAGTGGTATTTTTTTATGTGTGTTTAAAAAGTGTTGTATTGAAAGTGTTCAATAACAACACTCCTCAAGACTGAGTAAGAAGAAGCTTCAAGACAAATTCTCAAACCACAAAACCATGCTTGGTTAAATATAAATGTGATTAGATTAGATAGAAAAAGAGAATTTAAGTGCTTTGCTTAAAAGATGTAATTAACAAGTAGTAGACTTTAGAGAGACAAAAGGCCATCAGTATAATGACAAAACTGTAACTCTTCGATTGATTCCCCAAAGTCAACGACTTCATTCTTGTTCTTGTAATAAATTTTTATCCGACTCGGAAAAAGAACCTGGAAGAGCACAAAATCAGATTGTATTTCATGAATCCTGATCGGAAACGACGGATAGTAACGTATCAAGGTTCCTTTGAGCCTGATACGGTGCGTTTTAACCCAACCACACCCGTTTGAGCCGTTCATCATCCAAATCTCCATGTTTGGTTCAAGTGAGTTGTAGTTTATTACAAAGAGTTTCCCTCTGATGCCACATAAGCTAAAGTCGTGATTAGGATTATCTTCAAAACATGGTGGTGGAGGCAGAACATAGAACTTCTCTCGTTCTAGAGAGAAAGACACGATCTTTGGAACATCTTTTGTTGTCCAGTATACGAATCCATCAGCTTGAACTGGAGGATATGGTTGTAGAAGGTAAGGACATTGCTGTTCTTGAGATTTCCATGGAGAGATCTCGAGATAATGTTTGTAATTTCTTCCCGTGATGTTAACTGTGAGTATCTCGAATTTGCAGATTGGGTAATAAGGAAGGAAAAATCTGATGATTTTGTATTGTAACGTCGAGGAAACGAATCCGAAGGAGATAACATTAGGGGAAGAAGAAAAAGAGGAGGATTTGGGTAATTCTCGGGTTTTTTGGTTGATAGGGTCAAAGAGAAAGTGTTCCTTGTCAGACACGAAACAGAGAAGCTGATGGTTAGAAGAGAAAACTCTGACTCTGTCTCCAAGGAAGCGTTTTGTGATGGTTTTCTGTGTTTGGTCATGGTTGGGTTTGGTGAAGAGGAAGAGTTTGAGCTCTACGGTGAGGGATGATCGTAGAGCGGTGAAGGCGGTGAGGATAGAGAAGGAGTTTAGGGCAAATCGGTGGTGGAGACGGAGGAGGTAGGGTTCGGAGATTAGGGAGTTGAATTGCTTTGAAACTAATCGGAGTTTTGGTAATGTTTTGCCCGGAAGAAGAGAGAGGATTTTGAGAATAATTTCTGGAGGCAGATAAGAAGAGAACATCTTTGGAAAGTATCGGCCGGAGAACAGTGAAGAGACATGTATCATGTATGTATATGTATGTTTATGCTTGTTCGCCAAGAATTCAGGTTAGGAAGGTAAGAGTAAGAAGTCAAGTCTATTCCAGTTCACTTTATTTATTTTGGGTATCTTCGACTTTCCAAAAGTTTACAGCATGATGACTCTTTTATACAAAAGTTAACTAATCATAGAACTATAGAGTTTGTTTTGAATATAAGCTATGACGTATATATTTTTCTCTTCTTCAGTAACTAATTTTTTTTTTTTTGATGTTTACCAACTAAACAAATAATGAAACTCTAAATTTTTTATTTTCTAATTTAAGTTTAATTAAAAATATTATGGTAGACTAGTCGATTTGAAAAGTGGATATCTTGACATTCTCTTCCTGGAATGAATTATTTGATCATTCTTCATTATAAAAAGAAAGAAATTTAAATAAGCCATGAAGGACTTGCCGTGATATTCACCTTAATTAATTAAGGTCTTTGTGTCACTATCGAAATGAAACCTCTATTCATACTCAAACCCGTAACATATATTGTTGTAAAAAAAATACTTTTATTAAATAAATTACGATACAAGAGAAGACAAAATACGATATAAAACCGTGGTAATCCACATGTTAATTTGACAGCTCCGTTAAATACTACTTTGGAAGAGAAAACTGATCAAAGTTCAAATACCAGTAAATCTCCCACATGTATTATATATCAAATAATAGTGGTTTAAAACTTCCTTTTAAGAAGAGAGAAAAACCAGTATCAAGTTCTTGAAACCAATGATCTAGACCGAAACAATCATCTTTATAACTAGATATATATGCTAAAAGAAAAGTGTAATAAGTTTGAATTTTACATATATAGTCATGGTACCGTTCTAGAGTAGGAAAGAGAGGAAGTGAGCGACAAGAGCAGTACTACAGTGGAACTGGAGCTTCTGCCCTACGAAAAGCCGACAGTTACATATATGTTTCTCCACACTAACATATTTCCAAATGACTCATTTTTGTTTTCGATTGTTGATATAATATCTATTTCATTTTCATTTATATTTATCGACAGACCAGGCATGCCCTATTTACCCCCACCAATTTGCATGCTCTATATGCATGTCTACGTCTACAAGCACATTATACACGAACGATCACTTCTGACTGTGACTAAATTATAAGAAAATCTTTGAATTATCTTGTTAATTTATTTCGTAGAGCACACGATCTTCCACAGTCTTCTTTCATTTTGTAACCACTGACTCATATTTCATATTTCATTGTGACTAAGTGAGTACACTCCTCCAGTTTTTCGCAATGCACATTGATAAACACAAGATGTTCAAATCAATTGGCATATCACCTCAGCCTATAATTTTCTTCTTAATGGTATATCCTTACTTTTGAATTTTTACTGAGAGACATTGCACAACTCATAGAAAAGGTCAATTTTAAATATCATGATATTAAATACCACTACAATTATAAAAAAAAAAGGAAGATGTGAATGAATGGACAAATTTAGTCGTACTAAAGATAATGCACATCATCTTGAATTTCTTGTAACTAGTTTGTCATAAAGATTCCAGAAAGAAAAGATTGTGCTTTGCATGTGAAATTTTTGAAGGGAGAACACGACAATAATGCGTCAGCCAGTTAATTGTTGGCATGTATTATGCAACTTTGATCGTATCGTAACAACTCCCGATGTATGTAAAGATGCATATATTGTACTGGTTTCATGTAGAGACGAAGATGATAGAGATGCATCGGATCCATGTATACATTAAATCTTTTAGGGGTCATCAATCATATATATGACCATATCTTTGACCTGCTGAAACTGGTCATATGATTGTAAGTATTATAACGAAATACATAGAATAGTTTAGGTTTCAAAGTGTCATAAACAGCTACAAAATCACATATCATCTCAAATTCATTGCGGGTAATCAATGTGGAATTCACCACTCAAATCATATTTGAAGGGTCTATACGAAGGCTTGTTGCCAAAAGAGAAGGGGAACATTGACGGACCACACTTCGTTTTGCACTATTAAAATAAGCCAACAAATTTTAATAAAGACAAAATAAAATAGTAGTACCACCCAACTTGTGGGGAATAACTAATTTGAGATATGGTGTTTTTGTTTGGGTGGCTAATAATTTATGCAGTAACTTGCTTTCAAACAATAGCATAAACATTTAGTCATTTCCCATCATAAATAGAAAGTTGTAATTTAAGAGTCGATAAAAAAAAAAAAAAAAACTAATTTTTTGATCATATTAGTTAGTTGATACTACTGTTGTTGACTTAGTGGTTATAGATGTTAGCCCAATTTATTTCCATTATGGCGCTGATTTTAGTTTAACGTACCGCAACATGGTTGCTTCCCTCCCCCAAACTCTGTTTTTTGGTGTACCCCAGCACAACGCCAGAATCTTACGGTCCATGCATTCATCATTTGTCTCTAGGTTTAAATTTTTTGAAGAAACTTGAAAAGATCAATTTTTTCATATTTAAATTTGCTATCATATATTCATAATATATGACTTTTCATTAAAAAGAAAATTTTGGCTTAAGGTATATACTGTATGGTTTTACAGCTTATACTCATTCCTCTTAGGAAAAATAAATAAACTATAACAGCTAAATCAACCAAGCCATATGCTTATTTAGAAACGTAGACGGCTGGTTTACTCCTTAAGTCAATATAAAAACGGAAACCCAAAAGATAATAGAACAAAAAACCTTGAGGATGGTGGAAACTAAAAGATAAAAGGATAACAAAGGGTTGATGAAAAAACCACATTGCACTCAACTTTGAGAGAGAGAGAGAGAGAGAGAGAGAGAGAGAGAGAGAGAGAGAGAGAGAGAGAGAGAGAGCAAATTATTCATAGCAACTAGAGAAAGGATCCAAAGGGATCGCATTGATCCAAATAAAGGCGAATTCTCCCCCAAATTTTCTTAACTTCTGGCAAAACGAATCCCAAATATATCTGCTTGGTTTTGGATCATGCTATCCCTTCGGATTCATCCTTCAGTAGCTTCCTCTTCCATCAGATGGTTTTTAATGAATCAAGTGTTTCGCCGGAAACCTTGTTGTCTTAAAGATTCTACGATGCTTTTTGTCTCATCTCAAGCCAACAACAACAATATATAGAAACTCTCGATCTTGCAAGTAAGTTTCTAAGGCTTTTGACCAAAGCCAAGAAGACTTAACTGTCTTTCTTTCTTCTTAATGAAAATTTGGGATCGAGTTCCCCATTGAAACTAGCGGAAATTTTTAATTGATTACGTATGAGTTATAAGATATTACAGTATATCGATTGGAAGACGTTACTTGAACTTGGTTAAAGTTTCTTTCCTCCATGGCCATTTCTCAAAAATTTAATGTTTTTTTTTCAATTATATATATGGTGTATATATAATGTGTACTATCTGTCATCTTTCATAGTAACAATTATTTCCCCAAACATTTCAGTCATTCGAGACTACTTGAAATCCCAAATCCCGAAGTCGTTGGATCCCGTTACATTGAATAGGCCTCGACCAATTTAAGGTTTACCCCCACTTACAAGACTTTCAAATTGAAAAAGAAAAAAATTATAAACAACGAATTAAAAAAAAGGAATTAAATTAACATTGAACCTTAACAACCGAATATTAAAAACGGGATTATGGAAAAATCTTAATCGCAAAATATCTTTCACTGTTAATCTCCCTAGCTTGTTGGCTAGTTCGACAAAAATTTGAAAATAATCTTAATTCCGTTACCAAACTGTCTGTTGCAGTTATTAGCAATGAAAGTTTCCATCACTAAATTTCATCATAAATCTAGAAACTAGTAATGAAGAGTAACAATGGCACTTTAACACACACAAAATGAAGAGTAAGTAACTAAAACCTCCAAAAAAAAACTGTCAACGAAAACTCTATAAATCTAGAAAGTCTGAACTACTTGTAAATAAGAGGACACAATTTAAAAATTGAGGACAACATCAAGCAAACACGAGCAAAGGAAAAAAGTTTAGACATTTACAGTACCCATTCTTCATTGGAAGATGATGTTGATGTTGTATCTTCTCCTGAAAGATAGCGATTCGCCCGGTACAACAGGCCGGTCCGGTCCGGCGCGAAAAGACCAAGCATAGAACGGGAAAAGTGTCAAGTCAAGACAGATGTAGAATAACAACGAGAACAAACTCAACAGAGACCTCAAAGAATTTTATGCATGGTCCTCATTATGTCTAAGACAAGAACATGAAGCAGTGGTTACAGGTAAAACAACACATGACAGACACAAAGACAAACAAACTGAAACCTGTTTGGTAGCAACTCTTTATTTCACTTAATAATTGGGCTGAGGATTCGAATTCAAGATTCAGGAACGGCTTCTACAGCAGCTGCAGCTGTAGCAGCAGCAGCAGAGCGTTTGATGGAAGCAGATTTGATGAGGTGATTGTAACTCCCTTTCTCCTTGAAAAGCTGAGCGAAATGGTGTTTGCAGTACAAAATCCCCTCGAGCGCTGCATAGTTCGATGGAGAAATCGGGCAGCCTCCATGAGAGCACTTGAAGCAAGATTTATGGTAACACTGGCTTTCCACAGTTACCTACAAGTTTTTAGAAAACAGAGAGAAGAAGATATAAGAATTTACTGTGATTTTCCCTACAGAGAAAGATCAAAGAGTGAAATTGGTATCATCAAGCGTTAACCTTTTCAATAGGATACACGGTTTTACTGCAAGTAGCACAAAATCAGATTGTATATCATGAATCCTGATCGGAAACGACGGATAGTAACGGATCAACGTTCCTTTGAGCCCGATACGGTGCGTTTTAACCCAATCACACCCGTTTGAGCCGTTCATCATCCAAATCTCCATGTTTGGTTCAAGTGAGTTGTAGTTTATTACAAAGAGTTTCCCTCTGATGCCACATAAGCTAAAGTCGTGATTAGGATTATCTTCAAAACATGGTGGTGGAGGCAGAACAGAGAACTTCTCTTGTTCTAGAGAGAAAGACACGATCTTTGGAATATCTGTTGTTGTCCAGTAAACAAATCCATCAGCTTGAACTGGAGGATATGGTTGTAGAAGGTAAGGACATTTCTGTTCTTGAGATTTACATGGAGAGATCTCGAGATGATGTTTGTAATTGCTTCTCGTGATGTTAACTGTGAGTATCTCGAATTTGCAGATAGGGTAATAAGGAAGGAAAAATCTGATGATTTTGTATTGTAACGTCGAGGAAACGAATCCGAAGGAGATAACATTAGGGGAAGAAGACAAAGAGGAGGATTTGGGTAATTCTCGGGTTTTTTGGTTGATAGGGTCAAAGAGAAAGTGTTCCTTGTCAGACACGAAACAGAGAAGCTGATGGTTAGAAGAGAAAACTCTGACTCTGTCTCCGAGGAAGCGTTTTGTGATGGTTTGTTGTGTTTGGTCATGGTTTGGTTTGGTGAAAAGGAAGAGTTTGAGCTCTACGGTGAGGGATGATCGTAGAGCGGTGAAGGCGGTGAGGATAGAGAAGGAGTTTAGGGCAAATCGGTGGTGGAGACGGAGGAGGTAGGGTTGGGAGATTAAGGAGTTGAATTGCTTTGAAACTAATCGGAGTTTTGGCAATGTCTTGCCCGGAAGAAGAGAGAGAATTTTGAGAATAATTTCTAGAGGCAGATAAGAAGAGAACATCTTTGGGAAGTATCTGCTGGAGAACAGTGAAGAGACATGTACAGTATCATGTATGTATATGTATGTTTATGCTTGTTCGCCAAGAGTTCAGGTTAGGAAGGTAAGAGTAAGAAGTCAAGTCTATTCCAGTTCACTTTATTTATTTTTGGTATCTTCGACTTTACAAATTTTTTTTTTTTTTTTGGTAGAATGTTAAATTCTAACTAGATATAAAAAATTAATGTAATCGCCGAAATGGCTCCGTGGATCGTAGAAAATCAAGATCCACAGGTTCCTATCAGAAAGCGAAACATAAACATTTGTTCACAGCAAAAGTTTACAGCATGATGACTCTTTTATACAAAAGTTAACTAATCATAGAACTATAGAGTTTGTTTTGAATATAAGCTATGATGTATATATTTTTCTCTTCTTCAGTAACTAATTTTTTTTTTTTTTATGTTTACCAACTAAACAAATAATGAAACTCTAAATTTTTTATTTTCTAATTTAAGTTTAATTAAAAATATTATGGTAGACTAGTCAATTTGAAAAGTGGATATCTTGACATTCTCTTCCTGGAATGAATTATTTGATCGTTCTTCATTATAAAAAGAAAGAAAGATTTTAAATAAGCCATGAAGGACTTGCCGTGATATTCACCTTACCATTCTCCATACTTATCATCGCAATCGTAGCATATATATGAAGTACATAAGATTAACCTCATACTGTATTGTCTTTGTTACATTTCAGGTGATGTCTAAGTAGATTTTTTCCTTTTCAAATTAAGTAATGATTTTACTATTTCATGTAATATTAAGTAATGCACATGATAGGCAAGAAAACGCAGTTTAGTCTTTAGTGAGTTGTGATAAAGTTGTCTTTGTGTCACTATCCAAATGAAACCCATATTCATACTCAAACCCGTAACATAATATAAATATATGTTGTAAAAAAGTACTTTTATAAAAAAAATTACGTTACAAGAGAAGACAAAATACGATATAAAACCGTGGTAATCCACATGTTCATTTGACAGCTTCTTCAAATACTACTTTGGAAGAGAAAACTGATCAAAGTTCAAATACCAGTAAATCTTCCACATGTATTATATATCAAATAATAGTGGTTTAAAACTTCTTTTTAAGCAAAGAGAAAAACCAGTATCAAGTTTTTGAAACCAATGATCTAGACCGAAACAATCATCTTTATAACTAAATGTATATGCTAAAAGTGTGATTCAATTATGTTCTGTTCATATATTCCCTCATTGATTATTATATGATCTTCTCATTATAGGCAATACAACAATTATTCATATTCTATATAGTATAAGAGCAGGTTATTTGTGTGAGTTTTGATCCACCAATCAAACTCAAACTATTTTTCTATTCTGTCAAAAACATGGGTTTATGAAAAAATCTTAAATCGAAAAAAAAATTGTCACTGCTAACCGAGGTCACAAATTTGACAACAAGCAAACACTAGGTTGTTTAACAGAGCAAAAAGAAATCAGAAATCTACATCAACCAATCTTCATCAGATGAAGATGATGTTGATGTTGTATCTTCTCCTGAAGAAACAGATGTTTCTATGCCCTCCGAAAACTAAAACAGAGAAACAAAAGGTAAAAGTTAGTAATATGATAACCAAAACGAAAAACTAACATAGAGAAACAAAATGCGTTAGTAATATGATAACCAAAACGAAAGAGTGTTCTTAAAGTACGCTTACTTTCAAACTCGGTTTTATCAATCGGGCTGGGGCTAGAGGCTGATCATCATTCGCTTAAGTGACCTGATTTTCATTACCATTAGCAGCTTTGAGCTTCTTCATTAGCATTAGCAGCTGGTTGAGCTTCTACATTAGCATTAGCAGCTGGTTGAGCTTCTTCATTAGCATTAGGAGTAGCTTCTTCATTGTGGTCAGCCTTATCAGTCGCAGCTGGATCATGGTTCTCTCTCTCATCTTCAGGCTGTTTGTGATTCGCAGCTGGTTCATGGTCTCTGTCATCTTCTTCATGGTCAGGCTGTTTGTGATCAGCCTTAGCTTCAGTGGCAGCTGGTTCATGGTCCTTCTCTTTGTCATCTTCTTCATGGTCAGGCTGTTTGTGATCATGATTGGCAGCTGGTTGAGCTGGTTGAGGTATGGTGACCGCTCTGTCATCTTCTTCATTGTGAAGGGAATTATCAGCAGCCTCTTCATCCATAGGTTGCTGCTCATCAACATCACCAACCACCATAGCGAGGGCTTCATCTATCTCTTCAATACTGGGACAAACATTCTCTGAAAGTGGCAACTGTCCAAAGTTGGGAGGCGAGTGCAACCCATCTACATTCCGGTCAAAGTTGGGAGGCGAGTGCAACCCATCTACATTCCGGTTTTCAGATTCCTCGTGGTTCGATACTGGATTGATATCATTAATCCACTTGGGAACTGGATCTTCAGATTGATCCGTAGCACCAGTAGATTCAAGTAGTTCCTTAAGCTCATCAATAGTAAGCGAATCTAAAAGGTTATCATCTATCCCCATCTGAAATGCAAACACGATAAATATGTTAGCACGATAGAACAAGAGAACCTAACCAAAACCCTTTAGCAGCAATCATAAAAAACAACCTCATCTTCTCCATGGTCAGGCTGTTTGTGATCACTGCTATGATTCAAGGAATTCTCAGCCGCCTCTTCATCCATAAGATGGAGAACTGGATCTTCAGATGATCCATAGCAACAGTAGATTCAAGTGGTTCTTTAGGCTCGTCATTAGTAAGTGAACCTAGAAAGTTATCATCTATCCCCATCTGAAATGCAAACAGGATAAATATGTTAAGCATCAATGAACAAGAGAACCTAACCAAACGCCTTTACCAGCAATTATAAAAATTCCTGGAAGAAAAGAGCACAGATTCAATCATTTAACTAGCCACAAACGTTCTTGTGCAAACCTAAAGTAGGCATCTCTAGTATGTGAACAATTAATCAACCGCAAACAAATCCTAAATAAACCCTAAAGTAAACGAAAAGAGATTCACCTTTTTCTCGAGATAAAAGTCGCCAGTTGCGGGAGAGCCTGAGAATTCGAGAAGAAAAGTGAGCAAGTGTTAGAGAAAAGGTGGTGAGAGGAGAGTTTATCTCTAGTATGTTGAAAAAATTAACCAACCGCAAACAAATCCTATAGTAAACAAAAAGAAATTCACCTGTTTTTCTCGAGAAAATCCAGGAAAGTTGCCAGGTGCGGGAGAGCCTGAGAATTCCGAGAAGAAAACTGAGAAAGTGTTGGAGAGGGGAGTTTGTGTCTAGTATTAGTTAACCATAAACAAATCCCAAAGTAAACAAAAAGAAATTCACTCTTTTTTTTTCTCGAGAAAAGCCAAGAAAATCCAGGAAAGTTGCCAGTTGCGGGGAGAAACTGAGAATTCGAGAAGAAAAGTAAAAGGGAATGGTGAGAGGAGAGTTTATGTTGGAACAATTAATTTACCTCAAACAAATCCTAGAAACTCACCTTTTCTTCTCGAGAAAAAAACTTTTCTAGTTGCGGGAGAGCCTGAGAAGAAAATTGAGCAAGTGTTAGAGAAAAGGTGGTGAGAGGAGAGTTTATAAAGAGCGCCCGCTCTGCATAAACATTATTTAAAAAAGAAATATAAATTCACCTAAGGTGGTGGTGCTGCTTCGTTAGTTAGTGAGAGAAACAAGTCGCGGATCATTCCACTCTTTATGGCTTTCAGAGTCTGTGTTGCTTCCTTAGCTTCTGTGTCAAACAGAGACTTCCACATGTCCAAAAAGCTCGACTCCATGGAATCCCTAGCAAACCCATTCGCCTCTGAAACACCCTTCACACACCCCAACTTCTCCTCTACCTTCTTCAGCCCTTCTTCAATAGCAGGCGTAAACACTCGGCCACATGCTCCTCCTGCTTTGAGAAAGTAGACACCACCATCCAATGACCTAAACTCAGCAACAAACTTGTCCTGAGTCGTGCGGATCAATCCCCACTGGGCCGAATTGTTGCCATCATTCTGGTACACTCCCTTCTTCGGTTTGATATATTTTGTGTAGACATGATGCATAACAAGAAGCAGCCTATCCACCACGTGGCTTTCGTTGATCACGCTCCTTTTTGCACCTCTCCATATCCTATAGCAAAAGAATAGCATAGTCCGAACGTCATCACACAGTGAGAACATCGACTGAGCCACGTTTAAGGAGAGCTCAACTCCTAGTCGCACAACCTCCTCTTTCACTTCCTCCGTTGCAAAACTATTCCTGCGAAACACAAAGTCAATATGAATACTCTATAACCTGACTAAATGAGTGTAAGCAAAACTCAAAAAGAGGTTACTGACCCTAGAATGTAAGGAGAACATACGGGCAGTGCCAGTATCTCGCTATGCAATGGTTTTCCCATAATAGGCCTAAACAGGTCGCTCTGAATCCTGGAGGTTGGTTCTTCATCAAACAGAGACTTCCACAAGTCAAAAATGTTAGACTCTATCGTCTCCTTCGCAAACCCATTCACCGACCTCAATTCACCCTCTAGCTTCTTCAGCACTTGTTGCTTGTACTTTTCAATAGCCGACGATAATTGACGATCATCAAAACACGTTACTTTTCTTCTAAGAGTTGTATCAAGGCGACTCAAGATTATGATACCGTCAGCGAAATTCTTCCAAGAGGTCCTGATCAGTTCCCATTGGACCGAGTTGCTGCCGCCATCCTGATACACTCTCTTCTTGGGTTTGATATGTTTTGAGTTTACATAATGCATAACACGAAGCAGCCTCTCCAACACGGGATTCCGATCTGCTATTACACCTCTCCATAACTTAAAGCAGAACCATAACATAGTACCAATGTCATCACACAACAAGAACATTGATTGAGCCACATATAGGGAGAGCTCAGCTCCTAGTCGCACAACCTCCTCTTTCATCTCCTCCTTACCAGAGACCGTCCTACAGTACAAACAACAAGTCAATGTCTAACCCTAGTGACAGAGAAAACTCTCTCAAAGCCAAGGGACCAAGAGACTGACCTAGTGTATGGATAGTATCTGAACGCTCCCGCCAATGGACGGATACGACGCAGAACAACAGAGGTCGATCTTGAATCCATCTCCGGCTTTCCATTAATCAAAACATTAACAATTCAGAATTATACAATCAAACGCAACTTCGTAACAGAAAATACTTGTCGGAACAACTTCGAAACAGAAAACGCTGAGATACGGATACGCATCTGAAAGAGTATGTATGTACTACCTCTGTCTATGTAGAGAGAGGCAAGCGACGACGAGCGAACGAACGAACGAAATAGAAGAACACCCTAGGGGAGAGAGAGAGAGGAATTTTTTTGAGGAATGATATAAAATCAATTATATACGGAGAAGACCGAAGTTGAAATAACAAGGCCTTGATATTGGGCCCGTTGTCCTTAAGCCCAGGTAACTCCATTATCGACATAGTACCCTCGCAGGAATTCAAGAGAAAAACAATTTAGTTCTTCACTGTTTGATCTTGAGACTGAAAGTATAAGTCGAGAGTGGGTATTTCATTGTAGAAGGGATTACATGAAATTACCAGAAACATTGAGAGAAGGTTGATCTCATTGTCGTAGTATGCTAGCAAAAGGAGAAGAGGCAGAGAAACAGGTTGGTTTCTAAAAGATTTGGTCATTCGATAATGGAATTCGACAAGGTTAATAAAAAGGGATTCAGGAGGTTGGTGTTTACCTGGAATGTGTCTGTCCAGTGGAAGCAAGCTGTTGAATCCACAGTTATGGCTGAACATGAGAAACACATGAGAAAGGGAGAGAAGAGCAAAAGGAAGTAAATGGTAATAGCCTTGGAAGCTAAGAAATAACCTGGATTTTGTCAGGAAAATTGGTGTTAATTTTGCAACAAGAGAATCAGAGACCAGAATTAAAAAGGGGAATATCACAGAAATGAGATGATTTCGAAATTGATTTGTACCTGGGTTTTCTGACGGAACTCGTCGTCGGAGACACTCATCTGAGATGTCTGAAATTGGTGTGAGGAAGAAGCATGATTCTTCGGCAAAACTGAGAAAGAAGAATCAGAGGTGTCAGTTCTTTATTCTTCACAGGAAAAAGATGAGAAACCAGGATAAAATAGATAACGCCGGTCAAGATAAAGAGATGGATGGGCTGAGAATCTTACTGGAGTTTTTTTCCTGGTGGAGAAGGCGGAGGACTGCTAAATCGCAAGAAATTGATTCATTTTAGAGCAGGTAGTTTCTATGTCAGGTCTCAGATGCTGCAGAAGATGGAACCGAAGTGGGTGTGTTCTGATTCGGAAATTGCATTGGAGAAGAACTAGAAAACCCACCGGAGATGGAGGATGCGACGAAGCAAAGATCTATGGGCGTCGGATTTCAAAGGCTAGATGGCTTCATGTCGCGAGAATAGAACCGCCGGGGAGTGAGATGGTGGCCGGAACTGCACCTGAGCAAGTCGCCCAAGTGAAGCTTCGCGAGAGAGAGAGAGACGAGCTAAGTGTCGGAAACAAAGTTTCTTTTTAATTTGGTTTAACTGGTTTGGTCAAGGTGGAGATTGTGAGAATTGACCCAAACCAAAACCAATTTCATATGGGGCAAAGTTAATTGGGCCATATTCAAGTATATGAAGAATAGAGAAAAGATGATCTGCAGCTACATTAATGTCGAAGCCCACAAGGACTAGTGTTCAAGTTTAAAGTTCATGGAATTAAGTCAACTTAAAACCGAATTTATATTCCTACCAAAATAAAGATGGTCCAAAAGATGTTTTCTCTTTCTTTTCTTTTAAAAGCAATTCACAATTTGATTGTAGGCATAAAAAAGAATCTAGACTTTCTTATGAAGTGACGTGAAATTATTTGCGTCCACAACACTAAGTGCAAGCTTCTTTATCGTCCATTATTAAGGCACTACAAAACATATAGGATATAACGATACATATACTTACTTATTCGGTTATTCCTAATTATTAATTGTTTGATACTTGTTCCTGATTTTTTTTTTCAATTCATATAACATACATAATATAGAACGTTGATATCATATAAGAATGAAAAAGATAGGGATTACAAATACATGTAAACCTATTACTATGCTTCTTTGGCAAAAAAGGAATAAAAACAAGAAAATCATTATAAACTAATAGCAAACAAAGAAGAAATCATCTGATCCAAACTCCAAAGCTCCATTAAGTTTCGAAAGTGTCGCCTTCGTCTTCGTGCGGTTATGATGTTTCGAATCTCAGTCTCAATACACTTGAAGATTGCTGGGTAGTGAATTGCTTGTTGATTGGGCAGAACGTTGTTCGTCTGCCTCCAGATGTGAATGTTTAGTTTTTATGCCTGTTTACTTAACATACAAAGCGTGCAACTCAAGCAACTACACGTATGTTTACATACAATGTTTTTTTTGGAACTTACACATACAATGTTAACTAGCCGAATCGCAATATTTAAACTATGTACAGCTTAACTGAGATGACACATTTTCATAGATCGCTCGGATCTATTGATTACTAGAAAAGACACATTTTCATAGATCGGTCTTCAAAATGTCTTGGCAGCTCTGTCTCTGTCACTTAAGCCATGTACAGATTAACGGATTCATAATCCATATTATTCAAGTAATCAACGTTAATAAAAAAACAATTATTTTATCTAGACGAAGAGACAAAAGAACAAATATTTCATGTAAATAACTAAATGTATATGAAATTAAAAATACATTGCAGATATACCTATAAATACGTTTAAATGCCTGCATAAATATTGATCAAATTCCTATATTATAGTGGCCTTTAATTCACAAAAGGAACAGCAACTTGGTTCTGATAATCTCTTATGAACATGCATTTTTTTGTTTTTGTTTGCTTAGTCAAGAGTGACTAAGCCAAATCTCCAAACAAACATGAGAGACTTTGCTAAATTTTATCTACTCCAACTCCACTTAAACTAATGCCAGAAGAATATGCGTCTACGTAATCACCGAAGGTTATCTAATATTGAAAATACTAGTACAATTTTACCAGAACCAAAAAGAAAAAGATTATGGTGTATGTATAAACTATTTCTAGCAATATAATTTATGGAGACAGTTAAATAAAAAAATTACAGTTGGAGAATGCAGCAAACCCAAGGTGGGGAGGCATTGAGATTCGTCGGAAGTTGTGCCCTTCTTCCATATTAGCCATTAACTTCAGCCAGTAGACTGTAACTTGCATGGCCCAATCAACTTGCGGTCTTGGTCTCCACTCTCCAGAATATCTGTGTATATTTAAATATGATTGATTTCGATGAAAACTCAAGTGATTTTTCTTTCATAATTTATATACTTTACTTTGACCAAAAACACTTATATTTCCTGGATGCAAAAAAACTTTAAATTTTAAATAAAAATATTAAAATCGTGAAAAAGTAAACGTATTGAAGGTCTGAATGAACAAGACTCAAGGGACTATTAAAGTTTATTTAGCTAGAGATTAAGGACGCAAATGGGGAAGATGCAATTTATTTAGATATTCAAGTTTTTTTTTTTGTAACTTATTCAAGTTTTCTTTAACAAACCAAAATGTTTTCTTTTAAACGAATTGATATTGAACTTTTTAGTGATAATCTCTAAATGTTTTAGTCTTAAGGCTGACACTCAATGTATTTCCAATAATTGAGAAAGTTCAAACTGATTAATTACAGAGATTCTTAAAAATATGTTTTATGCAATCCTTTGCTTATGGCTTCGATTAGTGTTATGTATTTTTAAAGTTGAGTTAAAGTTAATGTTATAATTTAATATAATTTACAGTCAAATTATATGGTAAAAACAGTAAATTTATATGGTAAGTTTGTTGTATAAATTTGACTTAACATTTTTATCAAAATAGATCACTGATAATTTTTCTGATGTATAAGTTACGGTATGTATTATTTAATATAAAAATTAATAATAATTGAATAATAAAAGTATTTTATATGAATAAAATAAAAAAATAAAATTAAACATTAAATTTAATTACTATTTATTATAAATTTTAATAATAAAATAAATTAAAAATTTTAATACTAACTTAAATACATCAAATTGAGAAGCATATATATATATAATTATGTGGGAATACTTATTTTTAAGTTTTAGTATATATAGAAAATTAATTTAGAATAAATAATAATGATAAATATAGATTAAATAAGTTAATAATATCTTAAACAGTCAAATAAAAACAAGTTAAAAATTATAAACCAAATAAAAATTTATTCAAATTTTAAAAAATGCTGACTAGAAAACAAAAATAAAATAATTAGAGCTATAAAAAAATTAAAGTAAGTTTTATTGAAAATAAAATACAACACATATATATTTAAATTAATTTGATAAAAATAATGCTAGCAAAAATTATCAATTATCGTAAGTATTAAACATAATGCTAACTCAACTTCTAAATCATCACTTTTTCTTTGATTTAGCATTAACTCGAATTAGCAATTTAATAAAGACATAATTCAAAATTTTACATCAACAATAACTCATCATAACTCAAACTTAAAATTAAAAAACATAATTTAACATTTGATTGGTAACAGTTTTGAGTTAAGCTCTTAACTCAAACTTAATCAATGGTAACTCATGTCACCAATCAAAGCCTTATGTTATTAACTGTTGATCTAGATGCATAACTTCTTATTATCAAATACCAAAATAATATTATTGCCAAATATAAGGTTTTTCAAACTATTTTCCTATATTAATCAGTGTTAGTCTAACTTTTATTTAAATTATACTAACAAATCGCTATTAACATTTACTAGTTTACCTAACGTGTTTCCTTATCCATGTCAAGATTATACAAATAGGTTTAGGAAAACCATAAAACCAAGCACAAAAATTCATTTTACAAAAGTTCAAAAAAAAAAATTATTTACAAACATCCGAATCTAAAATTCATTTACGAATTAAATTCATTTTTGTGTATGCTGTGTAAGAAAATAGTATTACTGCGGATGCTTGATGTTTTCCAAGTTATTATTTTCCGGTTAAAAGGTTGCATAGCTTCTACAACAAATCAAGTCTAAAATGTATTAAGATGAATCCGTATTTTTAATTTAGAAAACCTGTTTACAAAACAAGTATAGTAGTTTTATTTTCTCCTTACAAAGCAACTTTCTTTTAATAATATCAGGAAAAGTATTTCCTTGAAAGGATGAATTCATTAAGCTTTGCCTGACTAATTATAAAATGGTATAAGCAAAACGTGGAAATAAAACAAGGAAAAAAAAAAAGAGATTGGCAAGATAGCCCAACTAGACAAAATAAAATAAAAAATTCAACTGACAGAAAAAAAAAAAGAACCTAAAATAATTGGAAAGACATTTGATTAAAGACGAAACATTTTATAACTTCGGTCTTCTCTTCAGCCATTCTTATGCAAAAAAAAAAAAAAAATTCAGACAAGAGAGACCTGAGAGGCTGAGACCTCAAAAAACTCAGACCCACCAAACGTTATGTTATAATTAACAAGCATCGATTCGATTTCTCATCTCCCTTTCTTTGACTGAATAAATTCATTTTTTTTTCAGTTACGAATCGAGCTGGATTCTTGGCTCCTTAATTCTTTCAGTGAAACCAAAAGCTTTGTTCGTTTTTAGCGGAACAATAATAAAGACAGTGAAGAGGACAAAAATTCGCTAAAAAAGCGTATTCTATATAAACCATAAAAAAGCTGGCTTTCTCAGAATTCCTTCATGTGGTCGAGGAAGGAGGAGGAGAAGGAGAAGATAGGGAAAGGCTCTTAGCTGCAGAGACACAAGAGCCGTTTCTCCGAGAAACCATGACCGCCACCGAAGCTAAGAATCGCAAAACCAATGCCGGAGGCGATAGTGATATCGAAATCCCTGATACTGCTCATCAAATCAGCAGCGGTTTGTAATTCGTTTCTCCCCTCTTTTTGTTTCGTTGATTTGAATTTTATGAATCCAATTGTTTGTTGTTGTTTATGTTTTTTTTCAATCGACGGTTTCTTATCTGGGAATTGATGCCCACTTTCGATTTAATAATACTTTTTGCTTTTTTTTCTTTCGTTTCTATGAAAAACATTTACCAGGAAGAGTAAGTTTAAACGTAAGAACCCCAATTTGCCTTCCTCTGTAAAATTTGAGATATTAAAATGGTTTCTTTGTAAAAATGTTGACTTTGCTTGATGACTCTGATTACTTAAAAATGTTGCATTTGATGAATCTGACAGTGACCCTTTCGTCAAAATGTTGTATTTGATGGTTTTGACGATGACCCTTGTTACAAAATGTTGTCTTTGATGATTCTGACGATGACAGTTTCTTCATAATGTTATCTTTGATTGTTCTGACGATGACCCTTTCTTCAAAATGTTGTCTTTGATGATGCCGGAATGTTATAATTCAAGTTTCTTGATGGGTTTTGTCTCTCTGCCTCTCAAAACGTTTTACAACAACAAGATTGGGAGGTTTTGCTTAGCCAAAGACTTTGTTTTTCTATGGACTTATAAAAAATCTGAGACCATCACATTCATGCGGAAAAGCTAAGTATGTTTTGTGTGTGGAATGTACAGATTCATGGTTTCAAGTGGCGTTCGTTCTGACAACCGGTATAAACAGTGCCTATGTGTTGGGATACTCGGGAACAATCATGGTTCCTCTAGGTTGGATTGGTGGTGTGGTTGGTCTTATTCTTGCTACTGCAATCTCTCTCTATGCAAACTCTCTCATAGCCAAGCTTCATGAGTTTGGTGGCAAAAGACACATTCGCTACAGAGACCTTGCTGGATTCATTTACGGTAAAAATAAAAAAAACACCAAAACCACCTCTCTTGATTTGTTTCTCTCTTCTCTGTTGTGACTCTCATTGAAATGTTTGATCTCTTCTTCATCAGGTAGAAAGGCTTATCACCTTACATGGGGATTACAATATGTCAATCTCTTCATGATTAACTGTGGATTCATCATTCTTGCTGGTTCCGCTTTAAAGGTAGTAAACATCTTTTCTCTCTTCATTCTTGATTTGTTCTTTCGTTAATAATGACTCGAGTTAGTTATTTTGGTGAGTGTTCTGTTTTCTGTAGGCTGTTTATGTGCTTTTCAGGGATGATCACGCCCTTAAGTTACCTCATTGTATCGCCATCGCGGGTCTAATCTGCGCTCTCTTCGCCATTGGAATCCCTCATTTATCGGCTCTTGGGGTCTGGCTTGCGGTTTCGACCATCCTCAGCCTCATCTACATCGTTGTGGCCATCGTGCTATCAGTAAGAGATGGTATGTGGCTTAAAAACGATGATCAGGCTTTAGCTACTGATAAAAATCTGATTCTTGGGCTTTGGTTTTGTGTTTGTTTGTAGGAGTGAAAGCACCTTCAAGAGATTACGAGATACAAGGATCATCATTCAGCAAGCTTTTCACCATCACAGGAGCAGCCGCAAATCTGGTTTTCGCATTCAACACAGGGATGCTTCCAGAGATTCAGGCAACAGTGAGACAACCGGTTGTGAAAAACATGATGAGAGCTCTCTACTTTCAGTTCACAGCCGGTGTTTTACCCATGTACGCTGTTACATTCATCGGTTATTGGGCTTACGGTTCCTCAACCTCGACCTACTTGCTCAACAGTGTTAATGGCCCACTATGGGTCAAAGCCCTTGCTAACATCTCTGCTATTCTTCAATCTGTGATCTCTTTGCACGTAAGCTTCTCTTCAAGAAAACATCAAGTTCATGTTTACCTTGTGTGAAATCCCTTCTTACTCGATTCTTTGTGTTGTAGATTTTTGCGAGTCCAACGTATGAGTACATGGACACAAGGTTTGGGATCAAGGGAAACCCATTAGCGTTAAAGAACTTGATGTTCAGGATCGTGGCTAGAGGCGGGTACATCGCGGTTAGCACGCTCATCTCGGCTCTATTGCCGTTTCTTGGGGACTTCATGAGCCTCACCGGTGCAGTGAGCACGTTCCCTCTCACATTCATTCTAGCCAACCACATGTACTATAAGGCTAAGAACAATAAGCTCAATTCTTTGCAAAAGCTATGGCATTGGCTTAACGTTGTCTTCTTCAGTTTGATGTCTGTTGCTGCCGCCATTGCAGCTCTCAGGCTCATCGCCGTTGATTCCAAAAACTTCCATGTTTTTGCAGATTTGTAATTCATTATACATATATTTATAGTCAATTGTATTGTTGTTCTTAGGCAGGGCTTCTTTCTCCTACCATAAGCTTGTATTCTCTTTTTTTTTTTTTTTTTTTTTTTTAATAGCCACTAGAGCCTAAATAAAACAAAAATATTATAAAATGTAAAAAAGGTATACAAATAGCCACTTCCTTGACATTACTTTTAGAAGTTTACCATCAAGAAATTATTAGCATATTAAAACCACTTTAAATTGTTGCACACGTGAACATCCACTTTGCAAAGTTCTCAAAAAAGAAAGAAAGAAGAAACTGTATGTAATTAGTATAAATGATATATGTCGCAAAATCCTATGAACATAAACTGGTTGGTCGTGGTTTTCAGACTAGATGATAGCTTGTTGGGACCATATATGTACGTATTTATTTGAGTCTTAATAATGCATGTGCGATAACAAATTTCAACCGTATGCGAGTGATAGTGAACTCCCCCATCATCAATAATTCAAGTTTGGACACTTCTGAAAAAGAAAGTAGCAAAACATTATAAAAAGCTGGCTTTCTCAAAGTTTATATATGTGGCCGAGGAACGAGAAGAAGAAAGGAAAAGACTCACTCTTCTTAGCTGCAGAGACTACGAAATTTCCAGAAATCATGAATGCCAACGGAGCTAATAAACGCATAAGCAATCTCCATGTCGATGATGATCTTGATATCGAAGTCCCTGACACTGCTCATCAGATTAGCACCGGTTTGTAACATTTCGTTTCGAGCTTTACTGAATATATTACGCTTAACACTACCCTTAAGTCCGTAATACCCTTAGGAATCATGAAAGAAACCAAAAGATTAAACCTTTTTTGTGTGGAACGCACACAGATTCATGGTTTCAGGTGGCGTTCGTTCTGACAACCGGAATAAACAACGCATATGTGTTGGGATATTCGGGAACAGTAATGGTTCCTCTAGGTTGGGTTGGTGGTGTGGTTGGTCTTATTCTTGCTACTGCAATCTCTCTCTATGCAAACACACTCGTAGCTAAGCTTCATGAGTTTGGTGGCAAAAGACACATTCGCTATAGAGACCTCGCTGGATTCATTTACGGTAACAGAACCTAAACCTGCTCTGTTTCTCTACTCTGTTTTTTATTTTTTCTGAAATGTAACTCTCTTTCTTTAAAACAGGTAGAAAGGCTTATTGTATTACATGGGGATTGCAATATGTAAATCTTTTCATGATTAATTGTGGATTTATCATCCTAGCTGGTTCCGCTTTAAAGGTAGTAACTAGTAAGTGACCATTTTCTCACAGATTCTTGATTCCTTGAGCCGAGTTAGTTATATTTTTGGACCGTGTTCTGTTTTTTTTTGCAGGCTGCTTATGTGCTTTTTAGGGATGATAATGTCATGAAACTACCTCATTTTATAGCCATCGCGGGTCTGATTTGTGCGGTTTTCGCCATTGGGATTCCTCACTTATCGGCTCTTGGCGTCTGGCTTGTAGTTTCGACCATCTTCAGTCTCATCTACATCGTTGTGGCAATCGTGTTATCGATTAAAGATGGTACTTACTTAGATGATGATTAGGCTTCAGCTTCAAATATACTAATGGAGTTTTAATAGCTAATGATAACTCTTTTTTTTTTGGTTATTTTAAGGAGTGAAAACACATTCAAGAGATTACGAGATACAAGGATCGTCAGTAAGTAAACTTTTCACCATCACTGCTGCGACTGCAAATCTTGTTTTCGTATTCAACACAGGGATGCTTCCAGAAATTCAGGTGATCTTCTTTTTTGAGATTTCAGTTTTATGTTTGCGTTTATCTTAACCAATTCGTATTTTGTTAATAGTAAAACACAAACGAATGAGAAACCTAATGTTTGCACTTACCTTTAGCAAAACTGTTTGATCTTTTTCTAAAATGTGATTTTGTTTTTTGCTTATGCAAATGCAGACGCATAAAAGATCATTTTTTAATATTTTCTGCTTTGGTAGGCGACGGTGAGACAACCGGTAGTGAAAAACATGATGAAGGCTCTATATTTTCAGTTCACAATCGGTAATGTACCGATGTACGTGGTTACATTCGTCGGATATTGGGCTTACGGATCCTCAACCTCCACATATTTACTAAACAACGTTAATGGCCCACTTTGGGTTAAAGCCCTTGCTAACATCTCCGCTATACTTCAGTCCGTTATCTGTCTACACGTACGTTTCTTTGCATGAACGTTTCAAACTATTAGCAAAGTCTTGTGTAGCTTTTTGTATATTTGATATCTTAACTAAATTCTTTGTTGTAGATTTTTGCGAGTCCAGCATATGAGTACATGGACACAAAGTTTGGGATCAAAGGAAACACGTTGGCGTTAAAGAACTTGCTGTTTAGGATCATGGCGAGAGGCGGGTACATCGCGGTTAGTACGCTTCTCTCGGCGCTCTTGCCGTTCCTCGGCGACTTCATGAGCCTCACCGGTGCGGTGAGCACGTTCCCTCTCACATTCATTCTAGCCAACCACATGTACTATAAGGCTAAGAACAATAAGCTCAATATTTTGCAAAAGCTTTGGCATTGGCTTAACGTTGTCTTCTTCAGTTTGATGTCTGTTGCTGCCGCCATTGCAGCCATAAGGCTCATCGCCGTTCACTCCAAAAACTTTCACGTTTTTGCAGATTTGTAACTCATTAATTATATATATATATATTGGATCACATTTATTCTTAGGCGTGGCTCTTTCTCCTACCATAATAGAGGCTTGTCTTACTTTTTGTTTCTTTTGTAAGCATATTCATTATAGACTAATAAAATAAAACGAAAATATACTAATATACAAAAAGATAGATATTTGTATTTTATAATATATCAAATCATTATAAGAACTATGAAAACATGAGATAAAATGTCACAACTATGTTTGGGTTACAAGGGATCCAGCTGCTGGCGGTTCCAATTTATAAACCGATCAATAAACCAGTCCCAATTGATTTTCCCTTGGCGGTTTAACTTTTCGTTATTCAAAGAGTATTGGGCTTGGGCCGTTGCAATGAGTGTGAGCTTGCGATGACTGAAGAAGACGGCCTAGCCACAGATTCGATGCATCGAGAAGAAAAGACCAAAATTCTCAAACGAAGGGGTTTAATGGCGAGCTTCAATGCGAAGACGATCATCAAGGACAAGAGATTCTGGGTAGCTTCCTTTCTCATTGTCTGGGCTGCTGGTCTCCAGGTGATTGATTCCCACTTTTTTTTTTCTTTTTTTGGCAATTTACAGATTGATCATCACACTCAATTTTTATTGGGATTTGTTGTATCGTTTGATTCCGTACATGAAATTTTATATTGGAAGCTCAAAATCTTGACTTTTGATTGTCTCAGGGCCACATGATGTGGCTGCAGAAGCAAGATTCCTTCAAGCAGAAATTCGGAACTATCGATGAAGACGACAAGATGTGATTCAGTTCGTATTAGCTGGATGAGTTCGTGTCTCTGAAACAGCTGCTTTCTTTTTTGTCTCAGGATGATTCGATTTGTTTGTGATTTCATCTTTGGACACGAAAATCCTACTCTTTTCTCTGGCTAATTTGGCCAATTAATTAAAAAGAAACATCATATTCGTGAAATACAGGAAAGAGCTTTCTTCACCGAAATACCCAAAATATGATTTTTTCTAAAAGTCATTTACATAATCATCTATTACAAACGGAATCATATGAGGGAAGGATATAAACTGATACCTAAAGTCCCCTAATTGAGTGAGCTAGAGAAGAAACATAGTTTGGTGTTTTGTTCTTGTAAAACTAATCTTCAATGATATGCTCTGCTGTTTCATTTCATTTCAAACTAAAAATAATTAGACCGGCCAAAGTGGAACCCCACTGTCTCCATCCATAAATTAAATAAAAAGAAAAGGGTAAAGCGTTTATAGATATATCTCACTATTTTGTCGATCGTGCTCAATAATCATTACCTTTCATCTTCATCTTCTTCACCTTCTTGATTTTCCTTTTCTTCTCCGCTTCAATTACACCAACCTGCATTTCTCTCTTTTCAATTGTGGGTCTCTTTTCTCTTCTTTTCTTTGTATCGCATTATTTGTTTGCGTTGATCAGATCGACCGAGAAAGAGGTAAAGATTTCGCATTTTGTTAATTTCTATACGATTTCATTCTGTTAAAGTCAGCTTTTTTGAAGTTCCTGTAGAAATAAAAAAGAAGCTTTTTTGTGTTCTGATTTAAACCATCTGATTCAAGTCTTATTAATTAAATCCACGGATCGATTCGTTTGAATATCCCGAATTGATGCAATTAGCTAAGCTTGGCTCTATCAAGTAGTCAATGTGAAAAGCCAACAATGTGTGATGTGAACCTTCTCTGTGTGTTTTGTTTTATTGTGAAGACGAAGAGGTTTGAGCTTTAGAGAGAGAGAGAGAGAGAGAAGACAATCGTGAAGAAAGCCAGAAAACGATGTCGTTTACAGGAACTCAGCAGAAATGCAGAGCGTGCGAGAAGACAGTGTATCCAATGGAGCTTCTCTCAGCTGATGGAGTGCCTTTCCACAAGTCTTGCTTCAAGTGCTCTCACTGCAAAAGCACGCTTCAAGTGAGTCTTTCCTCTTTTGCTTTTTCCTCATTCATCATCACTCTATCAATGTCTGTTACAATTCTTGGATTATCGGCACCACCTACATTGTCTTCCTCATTCTGAAGTTTAAGAATCACCAATGAAGGTTCAAGTTTAAGAATCACCAATGAAGCTTGAATCACTAATGTATTCCAAAAGCAATAGTTCCTTAGTATAGTTATAACTTTCTGTGAAAATTTTGAGGAATTTTTATGAAGAGTTTTATCTTGAGAGAGTCATCGTTGGTTTAACCGAGATACTGTTATCTAAACTTGGTCTGCTTTATATGATCAAACTAAAATGTGATGATGGTTTTGCTTTTGTTACAGCTGAGCAATTATTCATCAATGGAAGGTGTGTTGTACTGTAAGCCTCATTTTGAGCAGCTCTTCAAGGAGACTGGTAGTTTCAACAAGAACTTTCAGTCACGTATGTACACCTCTTGCTTTTTCTTCACCTTTTCTTTGTTACCTTTTGATCAAACTCTTACTTGTGGTCTCACTTTGATTTCAATCTTCAAACTTTCTTTCGTCTTTAAAGCTGCAAAGCCATTGTCTGACAAGCTAACCCCTGAGCTGGTAAACATTTTCTTAACAACGCTCCATGTTCTTATTTAGTTTACATGATTTCAGAAAAAAAAAAAACATGACTATTCTCTTCTTGATTGTTCTCAGACAAGGACACCTAGTCGACTTGCTGGAATGTTCTCTGGAACGCAAGACAAATGTGCTACTTGCAGTAAAACGGTGTATCCTATCGAAAAGGTTAAGCTTGATGATACCACTTTCACTCTGTGATCTTACTCTGTAGGGAAAATCACAGTAAATTCTTATATCTTCTTCTCTCTGTTTTCTAAAAACTTGTAGGTAACTGTGGAAAGCCAGTGTTACCATAAATCTTGCTTCAAGTGCTCTCATGGAGGCTGCCCGATTTCTCCATCGAACTATGCAGCGCTCGAGGGAATTTTGTACTGCAAACACCATTTCGCTCAGCTTTTCAAGGAGAAAGGGAGTTACAATCACCTCATCAAATCTGCTTCCATCAAACGCTCTGCTGCTGCCGCTACAGCTGCAGCTGCTGTATCTGCTGTAGAAGCCGTCCCTGAATCTTGAATTCGAATCCTCCGCCCGATTTTTAAGTTAAATAAAGAGTTACTACCAAACAGGTTTCAGTTTGTTTTCATGTGTTGTTTTTCCTGTAACCACTTCTTCATGTTCTTGTCTTAGACATAATGAGGACCATGCATAAAATTCTGTTGAGTTTGTTCTCGTTGTTATTCTACATCTGTCTTGACTTGACACTTTTCCAGTTCTGTTCTTGGTCTTTTCGCGCCGGACCGGACCGGCCTGTTGTACCGGACGAATCGCTATATTTTCATGTCCGGGCCGATTCTTCATTAAAACTTCAAAGCAATTAAAAAAAAAAAATCCAGTAGAACTGATTGATATCGATTGAAGAAAACACAAAACCCAGGTTAAATTGTACCCTAAAGGTACGAACTTTGCAACAAAAGGCGCTGTTATCATCAAAACGCGTGAATCGTTACCGTTTTGATGTTCTTGTCTTATTAGATCGATTGAGGGAAACTTGAGGTGAAACTCTGTTTCAGTCCCGAGTCCAAGTTTGGTTTTTAAAATGTCGAACACAGCTTCTGACCTCCATAGCCGTCTTCTCCGGTGAGTGCCTTATTATTAATATTATCTATCCATCTCTCTCTTGGTCTCTGCTTTTCTCCCTTTAATGGAAGAACCCTAATTTTTCTTTTGTTTTGACTTTGGAGGATTCAGATTATCTGAACCAATAGCAGAGATTCTCAGACGCACACAGTACACACCGGAAGAGAGCAGCAAAGTATCCACCAAAGATGTACTCCTGTCTCTGTTACCAAACACTTCGTCTCACAGTCACGCTTCCATCAAGAACCTCGCGCTTGCTTGTGCCCTTCTCTCTTCCTCCCGATCCTCCACTCACGAACTCCTCTCATGGATCCCAGAAAACCTCTCAGCCGCGGGGGAATCTACATTCTGCGAAGCTTCTCGGGATTATTTCAGTGATTTTCCCGATAATGACGCTGAGAAGCTGGAAGAACCAGTGGTGGTTGATAGTGAGAAGGCGAGGTTGGTGATCGAATTGTTGCCGATGGTGTTGCCGGAGTTGAAAGAGAGTATCGAAGGAAGCTCAATTGGTAAGAGCAATGATGGAGAGGATGTTTCAGCTTCAATGGAGAGAAAACCAGTTGGTTATGCGATCCTTGCGGCTCACCAGCTCAGCTGGTTTGTGACTCAGGTTTGAGTTATATACATTATAACTAAAAAAAATCTAACCTTTATAAGGTTCCGTATAATTTTGGAGGTGTTTGATGTATTTCGCTCTAAACATATTGTTTTGATAGGTTGAGAAACCGAATTTGGCGAAATGCTGTAACTTGGTGGTTCCTTGTGCTTTGACAGCACTTGATCATTGGTCTCCTCAAGTCAAAGTATGTCCTTTTTAAATTGCAGGGTTCTGTCTTATTAGTGTTATAACATGATACAAGAAAGATCATCCACGTTTTTGCTGTCTTTGGAAACTTTTAAGCTTTATCTGCTTGTCGCTTAAGGCTATATATGTGAGATTGATGTTCTCTCTTTGCTTGATGATGACAGGGGCAGGGTATGATAAGCCTTGTACATCTCGCTAAAAACGTGAGTTCAGGTGATCTCGGATTGTATGGAGATGTGGTTCTTGATGCGTGTTGCCAGAATATAGCTTCAGATGATGAGATTTGGATCCATGTGGTGGAGTTATCTGTGCTTCTTGTGACCAAAATCCACCAAAATAATCCCCGTAGCTCATGGTAAGTTTCTTCACTTCTCTTACAAATATTGCATATGTTGAGAAGATGGAGAAATAAGAAAAAAGTTTCTTCCAAAGATCTTGCTCCATCTTTATTAGCTAATCTTTTGCTCAAATTTGAATTTTTTTAAGGCACGAGAGGATCATGAATGAGATGCTTGGCCATTTGGAACGTCAACCAAGAAATAAGGAGCGGCGTATCGCTTGGCTAAGATTCATTGAACCACTCTTGGACGCTTTGGGGCTATTCTTACTTGCTCATTTCCGACGCATCTTCCCTCTTTTCTTTCAGTGGATGCATTCAGATGACGCCGACACCGTTTTGTTGGTATGCTCTTATTTGCATTTTGTAGTAATGTTATAGATTTCCTTTCTCATTCTGATATTCAACTAGATAAACATGAAATTTGTATTACCGTATAGGTTCTTGAGAGGCTGGAGACGGTCGTGAGGTTGACGTGGATTAGAAACTCACCCGTTATCCCAAGGTTTAAAGTCACTAAACACTAAAGAGCAGTTTATCTCATAAGTGCTTCAAGATAAACTCTTATTTTACTCTTTTAACACCAATCATTTCATGATTTTGGGACCTTCAGATTGGTGGAGGAGCTTGTTTCCTTGTACAAAGAGTCATCAATGCGTAAAGAGCGCGATGAGATTAGATCTCTTATCCTCCGTATCTTGATGCTACTTCGCCAGTATGTTCCCATGGCTTATCAGATGCACTTGTCAAAGATAATTTAAATTTGTTTACTTTTTTGTTTATTTATGTTAGCTCTCTCTCTCTCACACACTCGCAGGTGCAAAGGCCTACAGTTTGAGTCAGCGTGGAGCAAGTATCAGGAGGATCCAAATCTGAGCACGGTTGGCGAAATTATATAAGGACTAGCTTTAGTTGATCCGAGAGAGCCTCTTGTCCGGTCAGAGTCTTAGGGGTGGTGACTTGAAGACCAAACATAGAGCTGATTCTTCACTCTTTTTAAACTTTATCGAAGATTCTGCATGTATGATTGCTCCTAATGACCAAGACCAGACTAATTCAGGAAATTCCAATAACAAACAAGGATAACTTTTTTTTTTTATCACAAATGGTACATGTAATGTTATTAGTCTTACAATATGTGTCTACCGTATCTTTGAATGGAACAGAACTATATCACAGTAACTCTTGAAAACACCTATACATTTGAAGTTGAAAAGTAGAGTCGCTGCACATAAAAAACCTGCATGATCTCTCATCTTACACTGTAATCCAAAATATCGTTATAGGTAAGACTTGGAAGCTTGAACAGACGCTTGCTTCCCCATCTCCACTGTCCTCCTCTTAACACATCCATATGATTACCAATTACTCCAACCACGCGATATCCTCTTTGTAACTCTTCCTTCTGTCTTGTATCTTCCCTGCAAATAAGACAACATATAACAACAAGTTCAGTTCTTTGTAACAATCTCTGATTTTGTTGCTACTTTATTGTGAATGAGATTAGTTTATTGCAAAACCTCATGATCAAATGAGACCAGTCGCTGTATCCTCTAGATAACAACTGCTCGGCCGTGGAATTTCTCTCTCTTTCGGGTCTTCTTGATAACAGAACCATTGAATAACCTTGTGATCTTAGCTTAGAGTATAGTCCAAGTGTTAGTTTGCTTCTCTGGTGCTTTGCTTCTTCGATGTAACTCTCTTGTTCTACTAATCTACACATAGAGAGATTAAGAAAAATTAGAAAACTAAAACTTCAACAGATGCAAATTAAAGAAAACTTACAGATTGATTTCATCGGTGTCGATCACAACAGCATCCCGGTTATCTTTCAACGGTTTGATGGTTTGGAAGTAAGAGAGAGCCATTTGGATAGTGAAGTTTAACTCTCTCAAGTAGATTCCTTGTTTGATTCTGCGTAAAGCAACATCTCTGCATAACAATGGTAGCTCAAAGCTACTTCCTTCTTCTTCTTCCACTTCTTCCAATCTATTGAGCTGCGAGTGTAAAGACAAGATTCTGCAGTAACTGAAACTCTCATCATCAAGTCTTTGATGAATCTCGACCATTCCAGAGTTTTGGTTTTCGCAGCTCTGTAACATGGTTGAGATAGCTATAAGAAGCGTAAGCATCAGAACACCGAATGTTACAAGAGAAGCAATGAAGATCGTAGCTGCTAAAGATGTCATGTAACATCCTGAATCTATCGAAAATCGACTCCCCATCTCTGGCAACAACAACAACAACAAAAAAATACGATGAGAAAGATAATAATCATTGCAAGAAACTCTAAAAACTCAGATGTTAGAAAGATTATGAATATACATATGTACCAGAATTGCCTCGGCTTGAGAGACCTGAGAATTCCCTCTCCATCTGATGCGCATAAGCCGACATTTTTTTTTTACCTTAAGGCAAAAGATATGATGATCGGTCATAAAAACATCATCGATGGTTTTAGAAAGAAGTTATTGCTGATATTATGAATGTTGTTTTGTCACACATTATTTCTTTACCTTTTAGAAGCTACAGAGCCAAAGAGAATCTTTGGTTGGATCAAGATCGGAAAACAAAATCTGCCCCTTCGTCACAAGAAAACAGAGACATACACACGTGACTTTTCTGTGATCTGATATCAACTTGTTCTGCCTTAGCTTATCTTACTATCTTCTTTACTCCATCAAAAATAGCCGACTATTCTTTTTTTTTGTAATTTAGTTTAAGAGGTAATTTTTTCTTTTCCAAATCTAGTGGAGACGTGAAAAAAGGAATCTAAACTCAAAATGTTTTGTGATATCGTGGCTCAAAACCATTCTTTTATATGAATAAAAACGGAATAAGTGATAGATCATCCTTTTCTTGATTTATATATAAATTTCATATGGCTTTTAGATCTATCCAAATATATGAAAACATATGTCCACACATCTTTTGATTAAAATTTTAATACGATCAGCATCAAAAAAAAAAATTCAAGCTACGAAAATCTCTTTTGAAAACTAGTCTACAACTCCAACCAATACAATGATACGAAAGAGTAACATAATTTGTTAATATATTATTGTCCATACAAACCGATAACATTGAGAGTTCTTGTAGTTTTCTATCATTTTTGTCTTTTAAGTATATACATCGAAGTATCTCGATCGTCGGGACCATACCGTCCATATGTACGTACGTATGTTTCTGACACTTATACGACAACAATTTTCACCGTATGTTAACGGTTAATTATCCTTTAATCTTTCTTTTTTTTTTTCCTTTTCGAAGAATTAAGAAATGAGTCCCGGAGTTATCAGCATGTTAATGTTTGATTGGCCATTCCTTAAATCGAAAGCTCGTCTGTTTTATTAGCTCTTGGTTCTATTATCTGCGCTGATCCGATCTAGTATTTTGTTTTAAAAGTCAAATCAAAGGTACTTACATCATCTTGATTAGACTTAATATTTTTTTACAATAGCTAATAATAAAACAAGATATGAGAATTATTCTTATAAGTTTACAAATAAATGATTGAAAAGAGTATTTCAACTCGATAATAGTCTTTTCCCATACAAAACTTTTAGCTGTAGAATTTTTGGTATTTTTATAAGTTTTGTCTTATATAATTATTTAAGATATGCAGCATCTCAATCATCTATATCTATGTATAAGAAGACAACAATTCAAATGTACATATTTTCAAAAAAAAAAAAAAAATTCAAATGTACATTACCAATAATTTTTTTTTTTTTGGTCGAATACCAATAAATTATTATTCATTTATTTCAAGATTTTTGTTTGCGATTATTAGAAGAATCTGAAATATACTAGATAATAAGATCATAAGCATGTTATTGGGTTGCATGTAGGCCCGCCCATCTCTAAGCCCATTTTGTTGTAGCCCATTTGTAATAAGTTAGCTTCTTTATTTTGGCGTCTCATTTTCAATTATTTGTTTCGGAAAGAAAAAAATAGAAAGTAGATCAAATGATCACTCGCGTACTCTTTCAGTGTCCGTCTGTCTCTCTTTCATTCCTATTGATTATTTGAGTCGTGAAACAGGAAGCTTCCATGGATGCAATCCAATGCAGCTCCAGCTTCCTCCACCGCAACAAGCTCAACATTCTCTTCTCCAACCACACCTTCCCTAAAATCCGCGCGCCCAATCCCAGGCGCCTCTCTCGACCAGCTGCGCAGCCACTGTCGCTTTCCGCCAAGGACAGAAGAAGCAGCGAAGCTGAGAATGTCGTCGTAGTGGAGAAACCTACCCAATCAGAGAGATTTCTTGTCTCCGGTGGACTCCCTTCCCCATTCGGCGCCACCGTCAGAGACGACGGCGTCAATTTCTCAGTGTACTCTGCAAACTCCGTCTCCGCCACCATCTGCTTGATTTCTCTCTCCGATCTTCGTCAGGTCAGCCTTTCACGCGAGTGTTTTTTCTAATTCGATTTTCCCCCAACATTTTGTTTGAAACCCTTTTTTTTGTGGGTCTGCTGCAGAACAAAGTGACGGAGGAGATTCAGCTCGATCCATCAACGAATAGAACCGGCCATGTGTGGCATGTGTTCTTGGAAGGGAATTTCAAAGATATGTTGTATGGTTACAGATTTGATGGAAAGTTTTCTCCTGAAGAAGGTCACTATTATGACTCCTCCAATATTCTATTGGATCCTTACGCAAAGGTAACTGAAAAATTGAAGCTGTCTGAGTAAATACATAGAGAATCTGAACCAGTCTCATAGATAATCGTTTGGCTTGGCTTTCTCTTCTTCCTTTGTTCTGATTTTAATGGCTATATACTTTGGTTTGGTAGGCAATTATAAGCAGAGATGAGTTTGGAGTTTTGGGGGCTGAGGAAAATTGTTGGTCTCAAATGGCGTGTATGGTGCCCACTCTTGATGAAGAGGTATCACAGTATAATGTGGAGGAACACAAGTATAATCAGTCAATTTGAACACAAGTTATCTTTTGTTTCGTTCTAGATCATTTACTTCTTTAGTTATATAATTTAACATGTGATGTTATTGGTTTTTTTCTGCTATTCAGTTTGATTGGGAGGGGGATATGCCTCTGAAGCTTTCACAGAAGGATTTTGTCATATATGAAATGCATGTGCGAGGTTTCACAAGGCATGAGTCTAGCGAAATTAGATTCCCAGGCACGTACCAGGGTGTTGCGGAGAAGCTTGACCATTTGCAGGTACTCGCTACTATTTATGTATATACTGTTTAGATAATAGTTAAATGTTTTGAGATCGATATCAGTACATCTGTTCATATTCATTTGTTTCAACACCGAATTCGTCCTTTCTGATCATTGCGAGACATTGATATCCTAGTTTACAACTTTCGTTATGGTAATGGCGTAATTAATGTTAACACACAAAGTCATCACGATTTGACACAAAGAATAAATAATTAAAATCGGAGGAATGCTTCACATGATTATCTATGTTTGCTGTGGCTATAAGTTGTCCTCAGTTATGCAAAGAGCTGTTTTGTTTTATTTTGACAAGTTTTGGTGATTTGGACGATGCAAAAGTTTATAAATTTTTAATGTTTTATAGCTCTTTCCCTTTTAATAAATTGTGCTTAGCTAGATCCTTAACTAACTGATAATGGTATCAAGTAGAGATTATGGCTGCCAACTTTGGATTGCTTACATATTGACAGGAGCTTGGGATAAATTGTATAGAACTAATGCCTTGTCACGAGTTTAATGAGCTGGAGTATTACAGCTACAATACGATAATGGGAGACCATAGGTATGCCATTTGACGAGATGCCTTTGATTAGTGACAATACTTCCGACTGATAAATTTTGCGTTGTCAGTTTTTTATTGAGCGACTTTTGGAATGAGCAAATATATAGTTGAACAACTTGTAATTGACATCTGTTTGTGCGAGCATCTATCAATTTAACTCAAGAAATTTTTCAATTAGGATTGTTGTTGTCTCAGGAAACTTTCGAGTAATGAGGGGTGAAACAACTTAACACATATCTGGAATACATAGATTGAGCTTGCTCTCTTACATGAAACCATACCATCTTTAACTTTCGCAGAGTAACTCGGTAAAATGTTGCATATAACATGTCTAATCAGGTAGTCTTGCTTGTTCAGGGTAAATTTCTGGGGTTACTCTACCATTGGATTCTTCTCGCCCATGGTCAGATACTCATCGGGAAGCTCTCACAACTTTGCTGGAAGAGCCATAAATGAGTTCAAAATTCTTGTTAAAGAGGCACATAAACGAGGAATTGAGGTGACAACTAGTTTCCAGGTTGCTTAAGATTTGTTGTGAAAGTTTACAGATGCAGTTCTTGATAGATTTTAAGCAGGTTATCATGGATGTCGTTTTGAACCACACGGCCGAAGGCAATGAAAAAGGACCCATTTTCTCATTTAGAGGAGTTGATAACAGTGTCTATTACATGCTTGCTCCAAAGGTAATGCTCATCAAGCATTCGTGTGTTTATTTTTGAGAGTTTCACTGCTTAGGGAACAATAGACGATCAAAAGATCTGTGGGTTACGACTCTGAAATTTAGGACTCACTTTCTTCTCCCCGTTAAAAATATAGTACACTCAAGATAGAAAGTCACTTTGCTGTTCGGTAACTTATTATGCATCAGAAACCTGTAGGACCTCTTTTTGGGTTTTGTGCATGGCCTTTACATCATTCCGCTAGGGTTGACCCATAATGCATTTGGTTTTCAAGCTTGTAGTCTCATACTGGTGATTACGATAAGATTCTTTATTGCTAAAGTTTTTGCATATGTTGTGATTAAACAGGGTGAGTTCTATAACTATTCAGGCTGTGGTAATACATTCAACTGCAATCATCCTGTGGTGCGTCAATTCATAGTGGATTGCCTGAGGTACTTCCCAAAATTAATTTATTTTCATGCTTTTATCCTCAGTTAATATTTCCTAAGCCTGTGGATATCTCTTTCTTTAAACAGATATTGGGTAACAGAAATGCATGTGGACGGCTTCCGCTTCGATCTTGGTTCAATCATGTCAAGGAGCAGCAGGTGCAAATGTTCTAGAGTACGTCAAATGAGTGTCTTTCTAGTCTCTGTGTTTCTGAAATATTTATGGTTCTATTCTTTTTAGCCTTTGGGATGCAGCCAATGTTTATGGGGCTGATGTAGAAGGTGACTTGCTGACAACTGGTACCCCTGTTAGTTGCCCTCCAGTAATTGACATGATAAGTAATGATCCAATACTCCGTGGTGTTAAGGTGATCAACTAGTTTCCTTGATAGTTCTCCTTTATATAAGTAACTCCCAATGTATGTCATAGTCTCCAGGGTTTCTATAGATGATTGATATAAAGTAATCAGTTTCTTATTGGATGTACATACATTCATCAATGTAGCATCGTTAACAACAGGGTATTGATTTGTTATGGTTGTTCTTTGCAAACAGCTAATAGCTGAAGCATGGGATGCGGGTGGGCTATACCAAGTTGGCATGTTTCCACACTGGGGTATTTGGTCTGAGTGGAATGGAAAGGTCAGTAATGTATTACGAGGACATACTACTTTTATTTTTTTATTGTTTTAGATATTTAACGGATATGGAAAGGTAAGTGTCACAGTGTAACTATTAATGGTTATTCATCTTTCTGCTCTAAACAATTGAAAAAAGGAGAGCTATGTGATTAACTAGTTAACAGTAATGTAGATCAGCCTGTATTAGCAATGAACATGGAAGTCTTCATCATTCGTGGCAGTTTCCAATTTGTGTGTGCATGATATCTATCATCGTTGTGAATTTAATATGGAACAATGGCATTCTTGGTACATTTCAGTTCCGGGATGTTGTGAGACACTTCATAAAAGGCACCGATGGCTTTTCCGGTGCTTTTGCTGAATGTCTATGTGGAAGCCCAAATTTGTACCAGGTAAAGTTGACTTCTATTACACTGTGTATTTGCATACCGCCCTAATATCTAATTATGGTATTGTGTTCTCTTGGTTGCGAGGTTTCATATGTTTGCTTTATATCTTATCAATTTCCAATTCTGTCTGTGCATCAGGGAGGTAGGAAACCTTGGAACAGCATCAATTTTGTATGTGCGCATGATGGTTTTACTCTGGCGGATTTAGTAACTTATAACAATAAGAATAACTTGGCAAATGGAGAAGAGAACAATGATGGAGAGAATCACAATTGCAGCTGGAACTGTGGAGAGGTAATATATTAACTTTTTGTACAAAGTTTAAAAGCTGAAAATGAAGCGGCTATAAGACACCTAAAGTAAAAAGGTTTCATTTAATTGTTATTGGGCTGCAGGAGGGAGACTTTGCGAGTATCTCCGTAAAGAGATTAAGGAAACGACAGATGCGAAATTTCTTTGTTTCCCTCATGGTTGCCCAGGTAAAGCTAACCATTTGTTACTTGCTTTTATTTTAATGCCTGCTTAAACTCTTTTGACTGCTGAAGCTAAACATTTGTTATACACGTTGAACAATCATACTGAAGTAGAGAACCTTTCTTAGATAGTCTACCTCCACTAGTAAGTGCAACATTTGATAACTTCACTACTCATCAACAGGGTGTCCCGATGATCTACATGGGAGATGAATATGGCCATACAAAAGGGGGAAACAACAACACCTATTGCCATGACAACTATGTAAACTCTTCTTAATGCTTCTGTTTCTAGAGTGATTTTTAGAGTTTTTCCTTTTTTTAATCTTTGCTTTCCAACGATGTTAACACAATTTCTGATGCAGTTGAACTATTTTCGGTGGGATAAAAAGGAAGAAGCACATTCTGACTACTTTAGATTCTGCCGTCTTCTTATCAAGTTTCGTGAGTATGTAATCTTCTCCTTAATCGCTTCACATAGTTTCAAATCCGATCATTTACATTCTTTCAGCCTTCTGATAAATGCGTGTTCTTTTGCTTTGATGATTAAAATTGTAGTGAATGTGAATCACTTGGCCTGAACGACTTCCCAACAGCACAGCGTCTGCAGTGGCATGGTCTTGCTCCCGGGAAGCCAGATTGGTCCGAAACAAGTCGATTTGTTGCATTTTCACTGGTACCATATCATTAATACCCTGTTTCTCTATTTCACTTAAGTCGTGGTATATGAAGCAAAAGCTCTCGTTTAAAACACATCTTTTGTATGTATCTTCTGCAGGTGGATTCAGTGAAGAGAGAAATCTATGTGGCCTTCAACACGAGTCACTTGGGGACACTTGTGTCACTGCCCGACCGGCCTGGATACCGATGGGAACCGTTCGTAGACACGAGCAAACCGAGCCCTTTCGACTGCATAACACCGGATCTCCCTGAGAGAGAAACAGCGATGAAGCAATATCGGCACTTTTTAGATGCAAATTTGTACCCAATGCTCAGTTACTCTTCCATCATCCTTCTTCTTTCACCAATTGATGATAGCTGAACTTTTCGTATATAATAAACTTTAAAAGGTGAGACTGAGAGGACCATTTTCTGTATGTGTATATATGTTGGAGAAATCACAAAACATGTTGGAATCTTCTGTATAACGTAAATGGTATGCACGTACGACAATTATGTTATAAATGTATATGTATTTATTGAAAAGGTTCCGTCGCCTTCTGGTGGTAACTCGTATGCCCCCCCCCCCCCCCCCCCCTCAACTGATAATTTAGATTCCATCTTTTTTCTCTCTGTCGGCAATAATAATAATAGATTCCATTATTATTGGGTTTTTTAGGTAAAGCTTGTTCCAAAGGTACGAATCTTAAATTGAGTCCATTATAAGTTGTCGGAGAAAAAAAACAAAATTATACACTGTTAGGATACTTTTAATCTTCGCAACAACAAATAAGGTTACTCGGGTCAAGTTCTACGTCAATCAAATCATATATATATATAACACATATCTCAAAAACAATCGACGACAAATCTCTCCAAAATCTTTGGGGTTTTTATTCAAAAACGAAAAAGAGTAGAGAGAGACCCCTGTGGAAAAACAAAAAAGTGATGATGATGACCTTACAAACAAAAGATTCTACGTAAATCTCTCAACAGAAAGAAAGAAAGAAAAAAATTTATAACAGTTCGTGGAAACCCCCCCCAAAAACTCGAGACTTAAAAAAAAAGAAAAGATGAATTCAAATCTTTATATACAACAAACCTGCTTTTGGATCATTCATGGCTCCCTGAGAACTCTAACAGTTGGTGGACAATCTGTTCTCTGACCAGCCAGAGAGTAGTAAGCCAGTATATGAGCCGGATGCTCCATCTCTCTTACCTCTCCGAGCTGATTCACTTCCGGTACTCTTCTCGACGGTATCAGCTCTATGTTCCAGTACGGTCGAGACATCAGCCTCAGATCCTGTCCCGTCACCGATGCTCTGTAGCCTTGGACCCAGAGATATCTCAGCGATGGTATTTTCATAACCGCCGCAGCGATTGCTCGCTCGCTGAAGCAACAGCCTCTCATCTCTAGCTTCTGTAGATTCGGACAACCTCTCGAGAATTCCATCAGACCTTCGTCTGATTCACCTACGTAACCCAGAAGCATCCATCTCACGTTTGGACTGTACTGCCCGATGTAGCTTAACCCCACGTCGGTTAACCCGCCTTGTCTCAGATAGAATGCGAACCGTCTGAGTTTCTTGCATCCGATCAAGAGGGACCGGACTCCGTTGTCCAGTGGCAAATCTGTAATTCTCTCTTCCCGGTCGAGTAAGACAAGGCGGAAGTCACAGAGGTTTTTCAGATATGTGCCTATGCTTTCGAGAGATTCGTTGGTTATGTCTGAGACGTACACCGCCATGTACTCTAGCTCCTGGCACCCCTGAGCCAGAGCAATTAGTCCTCTTTGTGAGACTAAGCCTTCTTCGTCCTCCATTCCTTGTTCATCTGCACCCCGTTCGATCCTCAGCCGCTTCAAATGCTTACAGTACTGTGCAAGAACCTCTAATCCCCTATCTCCGATCACATTCCTTGTCTGAAATACAGCAAGAATTGTCAGTCTTATATATATGTTTGTATAGAGAGCAGATACTGCATTCATATTCCATTATCTACCACATTTTATACTATAGGATGATTATTTACCACTGAAATAACTAAAGAAGCAGCGCACCAAATATGTAGTTGACAGGGAAAGACAGCAATATACTAATAATTTACCTCTAGGACTTCCAAATTAGGACACTTTTGGATTAGTGTACAATGATCCTCGGTTTCGAGCAATGCATAAAGCAAATCCAGCTTCCGGATTTGGGCAGCGAATGGAAATAGTATTGGCATTTCATTAGGTCCCATGTAAGAGAGGCCCAGACGACATAGCTTTGGTGGGAAAGTCAGATTCATGTACTTCTCAGGTCTTCCAATATCCTCATTCAAGGAGCCACCACAAAACTCCTCAAGATTAACTGCAGCTTTAAAGAACCCAACTAGCTCCAAAATCTCAAAGTCACCGACCTTCACAGACTTGAGAGAGCGGCAGCAATTTCTAGCTATGCTTTCCAAGTCTTTGGGGCTGATTTTGGCAAACTCAGTCATGTAGAAGTTCAAAACCTCAAGCGATGTGTTGTGTAGAGCAAGCTCATGAAGCCATTTACCATCCTTTTCAACGAAAGAACTCTCTTCCATTAACAATGTTTTTATTTTCCTGTAGATAAAAACAGCAGACATAAGCATGAATAAAGTCAGAAACAACTCAAGATAATCGGAATTTCAACTTAAATAATTGCATATGCATCCACATAATAAACATGAACTCCCAAAGACTGTAGATGTCAGAATTCGATCTTTTTGCTATTTACGCATATGAAACTAAATAAAACCCCAGACTTGGAAAGCATAGAGATTTATGCTTCCGCAATTGAAAAATAACTGAAGAAACATTGGGATTTCTGCTTAAATTGCAGAGAAAACAGCAGCAAAAGAGATTAAGAATTCAAGAACGATATGATGAACATGAACTTCCCGAAACTGCAAATGTGAAAAATGGATGTTTCTGCTTCACAAGTGAAGTGTAGTAAAAAACCAAATAAATAAAGGTCCCTATATTATACCACTGGAGAGAAAACGCAATCGAAAAAGTTTCTACTTATCGAATAGAGCTTAAGAAACATCAGATCTTGAAAGAAAACAATCTTAAAGATAAGGTTCTTTGTAACAACGATTTAAAAGTAAAACCAAAAAAAGAAACAAACGCATTTTAGCCAAAGTAGGTAATGACAAGTGTCGTCGAGTAGATAAGAGAATTGCAAAAAAGTATGTGATAAACCCAAGGGAATCATAAATTCTCAAAAATGGATAATATAGAAACCAGAACCTGCAGTGTTTAACGATGCTCAAAAGTCCATCTGTGGAGAATCCGGAGCATTTATCGAGCTTCAGAGCCTCGAGTTCATCTGATCTCGATTTAGCCAAAACATCCAGATCCAAGTCGCTGACGATCATTCGCCGGAAGTGCACCGATTTGAGCCGCCGCAGCGACGTAGATATCTCGTTCACCCAAGGGGTTACAAATCCTCCCCAGTTCTCCGGAATCAGATTGAACATAGCGGCTCGAGGCTTGCCTTTGAGCTTGAGCGACCTCAGGTTCGGAAACCGACGGCTCAGACGATCGGGGGTTGATGTGTAGCACAGCGCCATCGTCACGTGCTCCCTCGTCTCGGAGTCTATCTTGAACCATCTCCGACACACCAGCGAAGCGGAATCGCGATCTATCGACTCGGTTATGTACGGCATCACTTGCTCGATGACGTCATCGATGGTCACGTTGCTCAATCTGCACTTCTTAATATCGGGATCCTCCATCTTCGTCAAACAGACACGATCGAGAAGTTTCGATTATTCCGGTCAAACCTCCGAGAGGCCAGTTTCAAAACACCGGCGAGCAGCAGAACCGATTTCGAATTGAAATCGAGTACGAATCTCAGCAGAAGCCCAGGCAGATCCAGACTAATAGAGAAGACAGTGAAAAAAAAGAAGAAGAAGAGACGGAGATCCGGGAAGGCGGTGAATCGGAGAAAGAGAGTAGGAGCAGGTCGGGGGAGAGAGATCCTGCGGTAACGAGGAAGAGAGATGAGAGTGAGGAGAGGAGGACACGCGTAGGAAGAAGAGTCGGATTGGGAAGAAGAAAGTGGGAGAGGGAATCAAATATCGTCTGGTTAATAATATTGGATCAAGTTGGAGAGAATATTAATTTTCATGTTAGACGGTGGAGATGCGATCGTCTCTTATATGTTGTTTAATTTTCTTTTCTTTTCTTTTTTGCGACTAGCCAGATCTCTCACTAGACGACAACTTGAGCTGAATTCGTAATTAATAACTAAGCATGATTTATCCGATTGACAATTAAATATAAAGCTCTTTAATTCTCAGCTAACCAAAGTTTTTTTTGGGGGGGGGGTGTGGGGGGACAAAGTTTTGTACCAAAGTAGTTTATCTACATGAATAATGGCCATAATAAGTATGGCTAACTGTATATCATAGGATATGATATGATCCAAAATTCCATAGTCAAAATGATGACATAACAAAAAAACAGCAAAATAACTTTTATAGTTTTCGAACCAATGGATCGATCATCAACTTATTTTTTGTAATACAAGTTTCTAGTGAGGAACTCCGCCTAAATAGGACTTTATCACTAATCAGTGGGCATAAACTACATCTAAATACTATAGAATGCATTTTTTTTTTTAAAATGGTTTACTCTCTCAACACATATTTTTTTAAAGTGTTGGAATTGCAAACATTACTTCATACGAATTTGTTGGATTAGATATTTTCATTTTTTATTTCTATGATAGGCATAGGAGATCTCTCAGAAGGTTTCTCTGATTCTCTCAGTGTCAATTACAAATACTATAAAGTTTTCTTTGCAAGAATTACTACTGTTTTGATTTTCCAATTTTCTTTGTACGAGTAGCATTTTTAAATTATACTTTGGAAATGGCACTATCGAATTGTGTATACGACTGTTTTGTCTTAATACTAGAAGACGTACACATGTGCAATAGAGTTATTACTTGTCATAAACGAATACTCCATTTCTTAATAAATTATACTCATCCATACATGTACCTCTCCATCCATCTCTTTATCCCAAATCTGTGGAAGTTTCAACAAGTGTTAATATGCCAAATAGTAAATTTTATTACTATCGAATCCCTTAGCTTTACTTTGAAACTCGTAGATAACAACGATAATAAGCAAACTACAAGAAAAAAAACCGACTAATTACACCTGGAACAAAGAAGTTGGGCTGAACAAAAAAACAAGAGCTAAGAGAGAGGATGAGTTTTCACAAGCCCCCTCCTTTCTATACACTTTTTTAAAATTCCATTTCGGAAACACACTTGCAAACAAAAAAAAGACTAACCAGAAGTCTCTCTGGGAGGCAAAGGCACTGCTTCCCCTGAGCTCACACTGTCACCACCAACATCTCCGCCGTCTCCTGCACTCGGTTGTTGCAGCCCAATAGGTGCAAACAAGCTCACACCACCACTCACGTCCCTTGTCCCACTGTATAGACCTCTGCTTCCATGGTGGTTCAAAGGAGCAGAGGTTGTTGCATTGGCTCCGCTTATGAGCAATCGCAGCGTCTCTCTTGCGCCTTTCTCAACCAGCGAATCATTCTCCACAGGGAGCGGAGGGATGCTCGTTGGTATCATCCCTGTGGCTCCTGCGCTCACCAGATAGGCTTGACCCGACGAGCATATATCCATAACCGGAATATGAACGATAGGATCGCACATTAAAGGGATCATCATCTGCTGGGATGATGATGATGATGATGATGATCCCGAAATGGGTATGTGGTGGACTAAAGGCAACGGAGGGATGTCAGAGAGATCCAGCGGTGACGAAGGGATCAAGAACCCATCAGACCCCGATGCAGGTAACAAGGAGGAAAGAGGCGGAAGTAAAGGTAGCTCGATGGATAGTGGAGGGAACTGATAAGAAGCAGACGGTGCGTGAAGCGATGAGGTGCTTGGAGGGCACCAGCAGTAATAAGGAGAAAACACTGGTGGACCCATCTTCAAAGGAAAGTGTGATGGTAAGGTTACTGTACTTGGTGCTAACTCTGCTGCTTCTTCAGATTCGATGGTTTGACAGATTCTGTGATTATCCGCTGCGGATTCTTCACCTTCTCCTTCTGACTGGATAAAACCATCTACATTGGTGGGTATGGAGGTGACGGGTGAGTTGTCGAAGATTGAGAAGTGGACTTCACTGCGTCGCTTTGATTTATCTCTAGAGGAGATACGTAGAGATGAGTTCCTCGGTGTGTTTTCTTTGAAAGAGCTGGATCTAGGGCTGAGGCTTCCTTGGGCCTTTGTCAGTTGAGTCCCGTAGTGGCGTGCTCTAAGAGATCTCGATGATGTACTAGATGAGGATGGATCAGCTGTTTCAGAAGATGCAGAAGACGATGATGAATCAGGAGTTGGGACCGAACAACCTTTCATGTTAGGCACCACCGAACCCATGAGATACAAACGGATATGAGAAGCAACAGATCCAAGACGCGATTCCTCAATCCCAGTTAGTTCCGAGATTGATGGCTTCTTCTTGATCAAGTCTTTCATCTACATAGGAGAATCAGGTAAAAGTTAATGAGAATGCAAAGAGACAATTATTCAACAACAAAAAAACAAGATCATCACTATCTCACAAACCTTCCTACGTAATTCAGTCCCCAGAAGTTTTGACTTCTCTGAGCACCAATAGTAATAAGCATTGCCATCCGCGATCCTTATAACAAAAGATCTACCAGAGCTATCTGCAGTTATCTCCTCAATTGATACCGTGGAGCACTGGGCTTTGCTGGTATAAGTAAAGAGCTGTTCAGAGTGACCATTATCTCCGATAAATGAGAGTCGCAAATCAGATGTTGGCAAGACCATCAGGCTCAAGTTACCCCTGACCAATAGAAAATAAAACGTGAACAAATTAGTCAGTAAACCTCCAATATTAAAAGCAAAGACACTAACAATTTAAAAACACTGAATGCTGAAAACCAGTTGGATCATTTCCAGTAGCTTTTTAAATGTTCTCCAGCATATGCAAGTTATCCCTAATTCAAACAAGATTCACTAACATAAACATGCAAAACTGTTTTCATAACAGCTGTGCTATTATTACTTATTCACACAACATAGAATACAGCCTGAATAAAAGTTATTTCCCACCCCAAGGTCTTTTCTATGTACACTAATTTGGTGGTACTTGACACTTATTAAATTGTAGCTTAGCCTAGCTGCAATACATCGCTTAACATTGGGACCTTAATCAGCAGAGAGTTCTCTCCCAACGTGCAACTTACAGAATCTTAAACCAAGAAAAAAGCGAAGGATATGATTATCCAAGAGCTTCCCGAGACGAACTATACAGAGATCCATTATCATATTTAAGAACAGAAGGTACCATCAGTACACACAAATGGCAATGCCATAAAAAAGATGATATGAAGTGGTTAATAAGTAGTATATATAGTCAGTGATGTTATAAAAAACAGAGAGAATATTTAAGCCCTATATGACTAGAAATCAAGAGCAGGACTACACAACATTGGAGTCGAAACTACCTTTACTTCATCATCTACCAGAGATCATAACAGATTACGCCCACATTCCTACAATAAAAATATATATTTTATTTGGAAGCTTGAACAGTGTCACCATATACCAAATTTTTTCCTATGGTTTCTAAATCCCTTTAATTATATCAAAGCAAGTCAAAAGTTAGAAATACAATGATACAAACATAACTGACTAAATGGATAAAGATGGAGTGTGTTATTTTTTTCCACTTCTTCATGATAGAGATTTTTTAAAAACTGCAAAGTGTTAGCACATGTTAAAGGCTGCAAAGCAGAGATGCATGAATCATGGGGCCAGACATGGATAAAATCTTCGAGAGTGCTGTAAAAAATATTCAGAATGACTCCATAAAAAGGAACATAACTCTAACGCAGGCATTGTGTTTGTGCACAAAATAAGAAATCAGCATCCTCAACCCAACTTTGAATCCTCAGATTGATTTAGATAATCAACCAGCAAGGGAGCATTGTTTTATAAACTGACATATTTCACACAAACCATTTTCACATTCGCTTTTTGATAACGCTACAGCTCCAACATAAGACCCGTTTTCAAAGACAGTAAAAAGCTAACTAGAGTGAATCTAGAGGCTAGAGACCCGCGGAAAACTCTAGAATTAGCAAATCATCACGGTCACAAGATAATGTTCCAAAGCTCAAACAATGACAGAAAATAGAAAGACAGGACTCATGAAACATCGATCTCTCGATTGATTACCTTATGGCAGTAGGCCGCATTAGCGTCCCTTCCTTCTTGATCGTCCCGGCGCGTACTGAAACCAGAGGTATGCAAAAACATCTGGCCAGCATCCCAATTTCGGCAGGCTCGAAGTGCTATTCAATAATACAATCAATCAGATTCTCTCATGCAGTAAATGAGAAGCTCAAATCATCATAAACGGAAACTGGAGATTAATCATACAAACCTGACTAAGATGCGCGAGCAATCGATCTTCGGCCATCCCGTTTGATACGTTGAGCTTCAACAACGGCTTCAATCTCTCGTCACCTCGACAAGCTCCGAGAACTTGCATATCCAAAGCCTGCAGCCACCGCAAAACCCTATCCTCCCCAGGCAAAAAGTCTCGCCGGCCTTCGTCAGTCAACGGATCTGAAACTCCACTGTCGATCCTCGTCGGTTCATCCTCGCGTTCTGATCCAGCGGAAGCGTTAGATCGAGAATCGATGGTCGACGTATCCGACACATCATCGCCGTCATTTGGCTGGCTGTGGTGATTTTCTCCGGCGTCTCGCTTCCTAGAATCGGCCATATCAATATCGGATCGGTAACTTATCTAAGTTCGTAATATAGACGGAAAAATAACGAAGAACCAAACTCGATCCAAAAAAATTCGTCCAAAAACCCTACAGAACGATTAATGCTTCAAAGAATCAATCCACAGATTTCGATGCAATTAGAAACAAAGGGTATAATTTTTTTAAGAGAGAGAGAGAGAGACGGTGAGTTTGTTCAATATGTTCAAGAGAGAGAGGAAAAAAAATATCTAAGCGAAAGAAGAACAAACAAATTGAAAACAAATGCCTTTTTGATTCCCTTCGCGTAGCGGAAAAATGGAAAGATAAGGAAACTATACAGCGTCTGTATATATATATACACACACTTATATGAACGTACTGGCGGATGCGAAACGATTTAATTAAACGTGGTTATTCGATTACATTTGAGATCCGGGTCGTTTGATTGAGCACGCACACAATTTACACAAAATTCAACAAGGTTACGAGTGGGTCCCCCACAATAACCGACTTCGACCAGGTGCCACGTCAACTTGAGTAATGTCTGGTGCGCTTCGATTTAAATGGGCCCCAGCTAAGGATGGGCCTGTTGTATTAGGTGATTCCAAATACAATCAACAAGTGAATTGTCCTAGGCCATACGAGAAAGAAAAAGCGGCCTAGAAAGTCTAGAGTTAATCCAAGCCACTCATCGTTATATGTTGTGCATCCTCTATCGTTCAAATTCACTCGTCTAGCATTTGTCTTGTATTTTGTGTCAAATAGAACAAATACTCTAAACGACAAAAACATATTAGGATGGAGTAGAAAATGGAACACAAAATTACAATATAAAAAAAAAGTATCCAATAACTCATGTCATGAACTTGAGATGTGAGCCATTAGCTTACTAAAGATAAACTTATTATTTTGTCCAAAGGTGCTTATAAAACCTCAAAATCAATTCGAAAATCTTAGTTATAAAAAACCCTCGAATATTCTTATCAATCTCTAAACAAAAAGTAGCCATCGATTTTTAATTATCTAAAAACGCAAACATTTGGAGCTTTTAAGAAAACCATATTTTTTCTCCCAAAATATCATCATTTCTTCTTCTTTGGTTCTCCGTCTTCTGCATAGTCCTTGATTAATGCTTCCACGTCTTTCCAAAACAAACCCTCAACGAGAACTCCATCTGTCGTGAACCTGAAAATACACAAAACTTATGAAAACGAGGTACGACTTTATGCTGCACTACAGATATAGCGTGAGCGCCTGTAAGAAAAATGCAGAGCGAGAGAGAGAGAGAGAAAGAGACCATTGGGTGACACTTTTGGTGAGCTGTATTGACTTCCCAGCTGAGATTGATTTTGGATCAGCACTGTCGATGGTGAGAGTGTACTGATCAGAGAATCTGGGCAGCTTTGATGATACCACCAAGCCAGTGCTCGTGAATGATCCCTGCATATTAACCCATCCGATCTTAATATCTTACGTAGACGAGCAAATCATAAGCTAGACGAAGAAACATGTTTGAACCATAGCAAAACAAATGAAAGTGCGCATGTAGATTAACCAAGAGAACATTACACTCCTTATGTGGCTTGACAATACAGATTGAATCAACACAATAACCAAATTATTGTATCAATTTGAAATGAAAGAGTTTCAGCAAAACAAAAATGTAGAAGCTCTTTCTGTTGCATATTCTATACCAAACCAATGAGTAAAGAATAAAATGTTTGGGAAAATCTCAACCTCCTCACGGATACAAACTAAAAGAGAAAGAGTAATCTTCTTCAAGCTGGTGATAATGGGAAAGAAAGACCACCCACATTACATTCCAAAATCACCCATCCTACTCAGTTGAGCAATTATGTTACTAGATACAAGACAGCACCGATCTCAAACACCAAAAGATACAAGAACTACGACAGTCATATTGCCAATAGTTTAAGTAATCGAACACTACAATGAAAGAGGGAAGTATATACATTACGCACCTAAATCACAGAACTAAAATAGATAGACAAGCGAAGAAATTTAGTCCAAGCGCACACATAAACTATCCCAAAATTGCTTCTCAGTGAAAAAACTATTCTCAAGAGTGAGAGAACAAACCTCAAGAGGATAGGTGAACAATATCGCATTTTTCTCCTTAGTGTACAGAATCAGCTGCAACACCGCATTCAACACTACATACTTGCCATAGTCAAGAACAAAACATCTTATTTAAAATTTTCCAAATGTAAAACATGAATATCGAGCAGCTTATATTCTCATACCAGAGACAATGAGGCTTCAGAAAAATAAAAATCGAGTTCACTACAGTTATCTATCTAAGCAATAAAGGTCTAAAAACTCCAAATTGCAATGTAACTGTTAATTCTGGAGAACCAAATGGGGCGCAAGCGAATTCGAACCAAAAGGATATGAGATGATGCATCCAATCAAAAAGTTCTTGTTCTCAGGGAATTTCTTGTTGTAGAACTGGGCAAAAAGAGCGACCACGATGATAATCGCTCCTAAGATCAGTTTGAGGTTGCTCAACCTCACATCCTCCTTGTATCCACGGCTCGTAACGATCTACGCATCAAAATGACATAGGGGTTATCATAATTCACAGATCAGAGAAAGCGAAAGGAAAATCTGCGAATGTGTTTCGGTGCCTTACATCGGAGACGGACTCGTCGAGCATGTGCTTGATCGAGTTGTGGTCCAGCAGATTGGCCTTCTTAACATTTTTGTTCGTCGATTCTGCCTTCTTCTCTTCCATGGCGGACAGATCAGATCCAGAAAATACCAGATCGCTAGGGTTCTGCGAGAATTTTCCTGCTCTCGGTAACGCAGAGTGTAGTGACTCCTCGAGCGCAATGACTAAGAGAGACTATTGTTTTGGTTAGAGGAGGAAGAAGACGATATTATTCTTGATGGAGCTAGAAGACGTTTCAGTCAAAACTGGTTTATTACGATGTCGTTTCGGCTGTAACATAAATTGGGCCTTAATGGGCTCTTCAACAAGAGCACTCAATTAGTTACTTGATCTTATTCTTTTTCTTATAGTCAATTAAACATTTAAACCTTTTTTGTCAACTAATTAAACCCTCCTTATCAAAATAATCTTTGTCATCATATATTTGACTACTTTTAAGTCTTTAACTTAAATGCTGAAATTTGTTTCTTTATACAAATAGATTGGGTCCTTATGTTGAGGATTAACTTTTAACACTTGTTTTGTAGAGAGAGCAGAGGCCAAACAAGAAATGTTAGGAAAATCACAAAATAAATCTGCCAAATTTGGAAGAGATATCATACTATAGATTAAAGATATAGAACCGCACAAACCATTATCCTTGTAGAAAATACAATATTCAATTGCGATATCATCAGGAAATGCACGACATTCCCAATAATGTGATAACTAATCAAGAAATTATTGGAAGTTTAATTTTAATCTATTTATTTATTTCAATCTTACTTCTAATTTCCTCCTAGTTGGATTGGTTTCAAGTAAGCTTGGACTTGACTTTGCTAGAGGTCGCGTTTGAGAGCAACAGCTTAGCTCCCTTCACAAGCTCTTCCTTGATCATGAACAGAACCGCAGCAGCCAAAACGCTCTGCACGATCTTCGTGCTCATCCCTTTGTAAAACCCGTAAAGCCCTTCATATCGAATCATCTTCAGAATCGCATCAAGCGTTCCTGTAGTAATTCAAAGCAACTCTCAGTTTTGGTCGATGCATGCATTGGGAAATGAGTTTTGTAGCCTTTTCTAATGATCTTTATTATATAACAAAGAGGGGGTAGAACCTTTGTACTGTTGTCTTTTGTCCCCTGTTGTGACCTGTTTGGCTTGAAGTCGCGACTTTACAACCAAGAGAGGATAAGTTGTGACTGTAGCTCCGAGTTTAGCCACAGCTCCAAGAAGAAATGTCTATGGAGAACCAAAGAAAAAAAAAACACGGGAATTTGGAAATGGAGAGCAACAGACATCTTTATCAAAATAAACATTTGCAAAATGTTAAAGAGTCCGAACCTCCAAAGCGGTTACGTTGTTGCTACTCTTCAAGGCACGTTTTTTCTTCAGCTTTGCTAACATTGTCTCGTACAACATAAATTGCATTGATGGATTACTTACCTGTAAGTTAGAAAGAAAAAAAAAACACTTTAACAGTCAGAAAATGCACCTAGACAAACAATATAAGAGAAGCTTTAAAAGCCTAAGTTCACATACCATGATCAATGTCGGGATTACACCTTTCCAGAAGCCAGTCACTCCAGCTTCATCGTAAACCTCTCGAATCTGAAACATTGTTCAATATGAATCACAAAAATTGACTTGAGAGGGTTTATAGAGTTTGAAAATAAGCTTCAATTTTCATATAGCAATCAGCCGAAGCCAGCTTCTTCTGGTTTGTAAATACGTGAAACTGCCTCATACCGTATTAAAGGTTCCATATGGACGCGGCTCAACTGGAACCAGAGCCTCTACATCAGGAGAAGGTGGCTCGGAGACAGTCTTTTGATCTTTTGGCATTTTCCTGTGAGTCTGCAATTATATACAAGTATACAACAAGAATCAGGGGGAAAATGAAGAGGGAACAGGAGTGAGGACAAGAAAACTCATAGATTCATGATTAAATGCAAAACTACAACTTTCAAAAAGATAGAGAGAAAAATTGATTAGACATCCTGAGAAAAACTTTTCGGTGGTGTATAAGAAGCCCTTTATTATACCTGCATGCGTGTAACAATCACCCAGATTGGATTCGTCATAAGAACATTAACTGATCTGCACAGAGAAAGAGCTATCATACATCAAATGAGAAAACAGAAGCAATGGAAGAAAAAAAAAAAAGATGACAGTAATGAAGTATGAAAGCTTAATTATCTTTAGCTACGCCACTAAAAAAAGATTACAATCAAATAACAAAACAACTATGACTACAGGACCTGACAGTTAAAAGTTACACCATCCACCTAGAAGCTCCCATTAAACAAGCAACACTTATAAGACCATAAGGTGATAGGCATCATCACTGTGACCATGTCGAGCCTTCATTCATAGCCTAATCACACAGCCAGTGTGAAAACTATAAGAAAGAACGGAAGCACCTAAGCATCAACCATTCAAAAGAAAAACTTATGTATAGCATTGCTAACAAATGATAATCCGCATAGAAAACAAAAACCACAGTAAGGATTTTGATGTTTTACCCGGCTAATGCAGCCACTAAAAGTGAAGAGAACATCCCAACAGATCCGTCACCCAAACCTTTCTTACTTCGTGCAAGTGCTGCAGCTTCCACTTGATTCCGAAACACTTGGTAGAAGTAGTAGTACACACCCTGTCTCATCATCCAAAAAAAGAGCTAGCAAGTCAGTAATCAGTAATCAGTAATCACAAGGCTTTGAGAAAAATCCATCTTGCCCAAAAACAAAAATTTAACATCCACTTTCTTTCCTAAGTCAGAGAATGTAACCTGTGATGCGGCAGTTCCAGCGAGAGACGGCGCTAATCCACCATACAATCGCTCCCATCCCTCTTGTTTCACAACCTTCAATACAACAAATCAGAGCATTTCAAGAAACATGTCATACAAAAGCAACACAGCAAATCCAGCTCAAAGGGAAGACTCAATCTTCCTGTGCTCCTGAGATTCAGGAGAAGAATGAGAAAACAAAAATTAAACCTGGCACATGTGTTCAATAGTTCCAAGTTTCCTCTTCTCCCTCTTCAGATCCCGCTCCGTCTGTTGACGCGTATTTACCTAATTTCAACGATTAAACAAAAGCAAACACCATCGCTTCAAAACAACACGAAGATTATCCAGAAGAAGAAGAGAAATTGGCCGCACAAAAAAAGAATCGTACAGTTTGGAGAGGATAAGTGAGGAGTTGAGCAATGATCCCACCACCAGCTCCAGCCAATCCATTGATCAAAGCGTCCGACATGATTTCTAATCGGAATCGCAACTAATGCCAAAGCCGAAGAGATCCAGATTACCTCCGGTTCAAATTGAAATCTTCACAGAAACTTCCGACGACGGAGAATCAAAAAAAAGAGCTTATGAAGCTATCGTTGATGGCGTATGTAGGAGGAGCTTCTTCTCCATCCCCCAATGGACACTTTTTTATTTTCTTCTCGTTTCAGATGTTCATTCGAAGAAAGAACACGCGAGTTGACGTTGAGGAGTGTATGAGTGTTTGACTGATATACCCCTAATACTTGAGTGATATTACTGAGCCGTACCCTTTAACTTAGCTGCTGGATAAGACCTCTTTCTTGAATTGCGTGTTCGGTCCATATGATGTGGATGTGGATATTGTGGAGAGAGTAAGGAAGCTATTCTTTTGCATTTTGATGATATCATTCCAATAATGTTTGCTTCGGTTCGGTTGGTTTAACAAATTATCGGACAGTTACTATATGCCCACGAGAGAAAAGGCCCATTTTAGTTTACTGCTACAACAAAAAATCAGCCCAAATCTGTTGCGTGAAGCCTGAGGAGTGTGGACTATTGCCTAATCCTAATGATTTAAGTTTTGGTTAAATTAGCCTGATGTGAATATTTTGCTTTGATCATTAGACTAAGTATATAACTCGCGCTCTGTATTAATATTTTAGTTTATTTTTTTAGTTACTATCTTTAAAATTATTAAAAATTATATATATATAAATTTTTATTTATATAAGAGAATTTAATATATAATGTGTAATTTATCCTATTTTTATTTATAAATTTTTAAAAACTATTAGGTAAAATAATAATAATGACACCTATCGAATTATCTAACTTTAACGTACATATACATTTAATTTAGAAAAATATAATTTTGTTAAGATTTTAGTATTATTTTCTGTTTTGCATAGAATTTCTATAATTCTATTTTTTTTGAAGGTTTATGTGTTCAAATATTTAGCTTTTTATTGAAAGTCTTATTGATATTGTGTACTACTATATATATGATGCATGATTCATGTTGATCTGCATTTAATTTTGTTAGGAAGCTGTAATGATCATGCAAAACCATTTTTTTCCTTATCCATCATGTCTTCCAATAGTTTTATGTTATATTTTTATTCAGTTTTCATTGTTTTAATTATTAAATTGAATTATTGTAGATTTTTTTAAATTGATAATGGTTATTTTTTTATACATGTATTGTTAATTGTTAATTTTTTATTTAACTTTCAAAATTTTTAAACCATATTAAAATTTTCTGATTTAATAAATATGTTGATTTGGATCAATCAGATTGAATTAACTTTTCTTGTTGGACATAATTTGTTAAATTAATTTTTAATGTTTTAATTATACTTAATAATTTTTGGTTTGATTTAAAAGCTGATGTGAACCAATTAAATCAAGTTTTTTCGTCCTAATCATACTTAACATTTTTTTATTTAATGAATATGCTGATGTGGACCAATCAGATCGAGTTTTTAATCTCATGTGGACGGTCTCAATGCACTATGCCATCAACTTTTATATATTATATGATGCATACACATTTATATATTCTTGAAAACTTCTTCAGAACAAATTAAGGAACAGTAAGATGTTAAAGAAAACCTTACCTTAAAGTTTATTTTTCTTATATTGTTCTGAAACCAATATATAGAACGTTTTTTGTTTGTATATCCTTATTTTTTGTATGTGTAGAGAAAAAATCAAGAAACAGAAATGGACTTATTCGTGATGGTAGTGGGAGCATCAGGAATATGGAGAGCAAATACATCGTTGCACATGAAAACAAATGCTAATGAATACAAATTCAAACTCGAGAATTTTGACACAAATGCATGGAGTGTAAGTGTATTGTAACCGTTGGTTATGTTGAAGTGTATCTTGGCCTTGAGACTGGCTAAGGCAATTGATGGCTAATGTAATGTTGTTTTTGAATTCGATCTAGTCGTATTTGATAATGCTTTAAATCGTATGTCCATGTGAATTATAAAGCATATGTTTATTAGTAAGTGATTTTGTAATGATGTAGCTTGTAATGATTCGGTTTTACAAACCAAGCCCGTTTGGAAAATTTAATCCCGATTAAGACGGTTTAAGCCTATTTCCTATTTTTTGATATTTCTTTTTTCCTTCGAGAGATAATTAATTCATGGTTTAAATAAATATTATATTTTTAATGTGATATTAATGAACCTTTTCCTAAATGAATTGTGAATATTCTTATTCATAATTATCTTTTTCTTTTTTGTGGTTATCTTTACTTTTTACCCAAGTCTCCCATTGGGTATAAATAGAGAGCCCTTCCCATTCTTTTTCTTCATTCTAAATTTTCCAGAGAACAGAGAAACCCTAGAACTCTCTTCTCTCTCTTTTCGGCGCCGTAGTACTCTCTCTCCGCCGTCTCTCTCTCCTCTTTCTTTCTCTCTCATCACCGCATCCTCTCTCTCTTCACCATGTCCCATCGTTCGTCTTCCCCGCCTTCTGGTGACCGCCCTAGCCGCTCCCTGGAGCAGCCATCATCGTCCGCCGGCACAGTGGAGCAGCCGCGAGTCCACTACCTTCGGGATGGACCCATAGCCGCCCCTTCCAGCCGTCCTGCCCCGGTGTTTCACGTTGATGAGGAGCTGGAATCCTCCTGGAGCCATACGCCGCCGCAGCATCACCCCCGGAGATCGATCAACCCTGCGTGGTTAGCCACTGTGGAGCATCTCGCCTTTTTCTCTTCTCCTTACCTCCCCTTGCCACCTCCTTCGCCACCTAGGCCAAGGTGAGGATGAATCTGTGCTTGAATATCGTGAACTCTGCTTTTCTGAATGCATAGTTTGGGGTTAAACCAAGCATAACCTACTTTCTGCTTTAGAACTGAGTCCCAGCTATGTCATATTAGGTTGTTGATTGCTCTGTGAATCACCTAGATGTGTTTAGGGTATTGAAACTGAAGTTGCAGGAGACTTAAAAGAAACATTTACTTGTGCTTGAAACACTATGCTTGTTTGATTGCTGTTTGGATCTCTTCTGTGATTGTGTGATCGCCTAGAACTTGTAAAGAGGATAGGAACTTAATACGGTATTGCGTGAAATCATAATTGAGACTATGTGTTGTGAAATGTCTGAGATGAAAGTTGAGATCATAAGGCAAAGGAGCCGTGGTCGATATACTTGAGTGGAGGACTATTGTTTGGGGTCCGAGATGGATGGTTGAGATTTGCAATGCCTGGGGCTGCAATCGATACACTGAAGTTGAGGATAGTCGCTGAGCCACGTGGGCAATATGCGAGGGGGTACTGAGGGACCTGACATCACATGGGACTGTTCAAAAGGGTTCAGCGTATACTCATGTGGTATGGAAGTAACGGCTATACGTAGCGCTCTCAAGGCATGGCCGACGGGCTAGTCGTGTAGCGACTATAAATTTACGGAGGATGCAACCCAAGTGCCACGGTGTAAGTCATCATTGTGTGGTCCGGGTATTCGTAGTGGCGTTACCTGTGACGCTAGGATATTGTGTGAAGTCTTAAGGACTTTCTATGGTGCTGTTTTAGGCTTGAACTTAGCGTTGTTAAGTTGTGGTGCATTGATAGGATAGTGTAGGTTTATTCTCCTGGGTAATCTAAATTACTCACCCCTCTAAATTTCCCTATCTTCTCTCTCTCGATCCCCTCTAGCAGATTAAGTGAGTCAGGATATTCAGTATTGCATATGGATGTGGAGTTGTTTATTAAGCAAGGCGCCTTCGGTTTCTGGGACTTGTAAAGTTAGTAACGCGTTTGGCTTATGGCGCAGACAGTTTATCTTGACATTGCCGGTTCGATTTTATTGACCGGGATCGGATGTCACATAGCTTATATTCGAGACTTCCCGTAAAGGATAAGTAATTATATATAACTTGATGATGTATCTTCCCTTCCATTTTGATACGTTTGATGAAACGAGACTTGAATTGTAGCATTTTGGGATGATATCGTGTTTACAGACGTCTAAAACATATCTTACGGATGTTTTCTTCTGTTACGATACCAAAAGTGAAAGAAAAAAAAACGATTACAAAAAGCACCAAAACTCTTTTGCCTTGTAACAAAATAGTGATAAGAAAACATCAAGTACAAAAAAGCACCAAATCTCTTTCTCATTTCTGGATATATAAGACAAACCAACTTGCACGTAGACAGCAACTATATTTATGATAACCCAAAAATATCTTTTGATTTTTTGTTTCTTGTTTTGTCGACTCTTTTGTTTAAATTTAAATTTTGAGGATTTCTAATTTAGTTTTCCTTATTTTTTTTTTCGCCAGATGCAACATATGTATAACATTTTTTATGAGGTCAACTTACAATATTACATCGTTAAGTTATTTAGAAAAGAAAAAGAAAAAAGAGGCGAACCGTTAACGTTATTTAATTAACTCCGTCAATTTTTTTAGACACGAATCGCATGAATTCGCCGTCAGATTCTATCCCAGCCATAGTCGCCGGCGCTAGAACCACTTCCAAATCGACATTCCCGTTTCCTACCCTCCCCGGAAACGCCGAGATTTTCCCGTCAAACTTGTTTGACCGTCCGCTTCTAACCGCCACCGGCCTTCCCCAGCCGAAATCGTTGTCGTACATAGGAAACCTCGGCGAGCTCCCCATCGTGACCGACGCTCCGTCGGAATTCCCGAGAGGAAAGCACCTCGGATTCGCCTCCCAATCCGCCACCACGCTTCGAATCCTCCCGTCTTGGTGAGCCGCCACGCTCTGGTTCAGCTGATCAGCGGTCCATCGGAGATCACGAGACAGAACCTCTCCCGCCGTCGCAAACGTCGGAACGCTCTGGATCGCGTTTCCGAAGTATTCCGGATCCAATTTCGGGCTCAACCTGTGGCGACAGTTAACGGCCATTCGAAACGTCGTCATTTTAGAGCTCGGAAGCTTCCTCGCTCGAGTAATCGCGCGCCAGAGCAACGCGCAGAGAGACTGAAACGACGAGATCTCCACGGTGGCGACGGTTTTGTTCAGTGTTTTCGAAACGGCGTCGTTTCTGCTGAGTAAACTCTCCAGCATTTCCGTCAGTTTACCGTTCTCTTTTCCGTTAAGTTTATCGTTGCTTTGCTTCCCCAACACCTCAACGCCGTTATCCACCGTCCAGCTTTTCTTCTTGTTCACCATTGCTTTCAGCTCAAGGATCTGTTCCCTAGTGAAACTGAAAATCCGTTCCCGTAACGGCTCGTTCTCGTCGAACGTCACCTTGGGCCCACCTTCAGGTACTTTGAGCACAGCCGGTGAGATTAGCACAGACTCCCGCGTAAAATCAGGCTGACGTGTCACATTCTTAACACCTCTGGACACCTCCGCGAACGTGTTGATGAAATTCCACAGCGATG